GACAATATCATATGCCTCAAGCTAATAATTGCAAGGGATATCATGTTTGATTGTCATAAACAATATTTAAAAATAAGTCCAGGGCCTCCCTGGTGGCACAAGGGGTTAGGACGCAACCCATGAAGCTATTCCCAACCACTGCAGTACGAGTTCCATCCCTGGCCTGCCAGGGAGCAGCCACATGGCACAGCAGGCCTCTCCTGCCTCGCTCACTGCTCCCCTCAGCAATGTACCTCAGTCCACCTGCCTGTTCTGTTTCCCCCTCTGTCTCTGGTGAATCCTCTTACCTTCCTGCACCTCTGGCCTGTTCCCCAGTTCTTTTCTGTGTAAATAAATAAATCTTTAAAAAAATAAAAATAAATAAAAATAAGTCCATTACTTCATTTTTCAAGATGTAGCCAGTAGAACCTAATACCCTAGTAATTTGATACTTGCTAAAATATTCAAATAAGCTCTTCCTTATCAGATCAAAATATTATGTTCCTATTTTGCTCATTATCTTTCTCTCCACTTAGTTCATAAAACCTGTTTTTCCTGTGAAGTTTTTTATTGCCTCTCGGTCATATTTTTTTGATATGTGTACACAAAAATATGTGTACACAAAAATATGTGTACAAATTGAAATACTCACATTTTAAAAGTTTCTTAAGACAGTAAGTCTTTTTTAAAAAGACTTATTTTTATTTATTTATGCATACAAGAATTGGGGTGTAGGCCAGAGATGTGGGGGGTGAGAGGATTCACCAGAGACAGAATGGGGAGCAGAACAGGTGGATCTGAAATACACTGCTGAGAGGAGCAGAGGGTGAGACAGGTCTGCTGCACCATGTGGGTTAGCTTAGCTACCTGGCTGGGGATTGAACTCAAGCTGCAGTGGCTGGTGATAGCTTGATACCGCTGAGACTTCAATCCCTGCATCACCAGGGAGGCTCAAGACAGTAAGACTTTTAAGTGTTAACATTTTCTTCTGTTCATAGCCATTTTCAGTACATATTTGATCAGGGCAACATAAATATAGCATTGATTTTGATCAATATTACATCTAAAAAGGACATTTAATTGTAAAGGCAGTTCAATCAGAAAGATGGATAGGACTTTTTTTGTTTTTAATTAGTCATGGATGAATGTTACTTGTAACTTGGATGAGACAGGATTCAGCATCCATTCTTTGTTTTCAATTTTAGATGTGAGGTCTAATCCATTTGCTTAGATAAATGGATAGGAATAGAAGATTTTAAAAGACGAAGTCTTTTAATTCTAAGAACTTTTCCCAAGTTAAACCAAATTCACCAAAAATCACACCATAATCTATCATAGTAAATTGTTTTTGATGTTGTATCAGTTGAAAACTCAATGAGTTGTCATTGAATTTTGTTGATAGCAAAGAATGGGACATCACTTGACCTGTAAAGGCATTTGTTGCTCAGTCTTTAGAGAGTCATTTCTTGTTCAACTTTTGAGAACTTTCAATGCCCCAAGGCATTAGACTTGCCACAAGTCTAAGGAAACATCTGGTGAGCAACCAGAGGAAAGGGGTCTGAAGGAATTCTCAGAAAAAACTGGGACAAAAGGAGATACCACATCAAAATAATGGCTGCTCTGTCAGCCTCCCCATGTGTCTCGTCTAAGTGTCTCTACATGTCTCTCCTCCATGTGTCTCTGTCCAAGCATACCAGGTAGAAGTCAGGCTGTAAAAGCAAGAGCTCTCTCCTCCAGAGCCCTTCTGCTTCCCTGTTAGAGAGCTTCACCTGGCCGCTCAGCTCTTCCCCTAGTTAAGCGGGGCAGGGCTCACCATACCTCCCTAACATGGTTTTAAAATGCATTGTACTATATAACAAAAATTATAGTTATTTGCAGAGCGGTAGTATAATAAAGTTATTTGCAAAGTGGTAGTATAATAAAAAGCAGGGTATTTGTGTGAAACAATTGAACTCTTACATTCAGTTTTTGGAGCAAATGAAATGGCTCATAAAGAAAAACTAAAAGTAACTTTATTAATTTAGTGGCTATTATGATTGATCTTTCCTTATGTATTCATCATAGTGAAAGGACAATGTCTCTAATGCTAAAAAGAATCAACTGGTCCAATAGCAGCTGCCAGTAGGCACTGAACAGCTCATGCAATGTCTCTTGTAAATCAAGTTTTCATGCAGGCATGGACTTATTTCTAAACTCTTCATTCAGTGCTACTGGTATAATTTTCGATTCTCAAGTCAACAGTGAATGATTATATCAATCACTATACCTCTGTAAGTCTTGAATTCTGATAGGTATCTTCTCCTCATTTCTCCAAAAGTGACTTAACTATTCTTGACTCTTTGCAAAAGTCTGAGTTTTAGAATTAACTTGTCAAATAAAAATTCTGTTGGGATTTGTTGTGATTTTAATTGGGATTGCATTAAATTTATAGACTTATTTGAGAGGTATAGATTTTTTATTTAATATATTTTATTTTATATAATTCTTCCATCATTTTTCATTTTTGCACAATGTATGCATTTTCATTTTGATTATATTCCCCATATAATTCTGCCCCCCTTATTTTGACCCTAATCTCTCCTCACCCCTCCCCTCCTCGTAGTGTGTCTCTAGTTTATAGTTGCTTGTTGATTTTGATTTTTTCTTTATTATAATTAGTCTTTTTCCTGGTCCCTTATTTAGGTTTTATAAATTCCTTCCATGAGTGAGACCATCCGGTATTTTTCTTTTTCTTTCTGGCTTATTTCGCTGAGCATGATCCCTTCCAGCTCCATCCATGTTGCTGCAAATTGCATGAGTTTTTCTTTTTGATTGCTGAGTAATATTCCATTGTGTATATATACCACATCTTCTTGATGAGAGGTATAGATATTTTTACAAGGTTTAGTCTTCCTATCCATGATCTTGGTATAATCCCTTCATATATTTAGATTTGTTGTTGTTGCACTTCAGCCTCCAGTATTCCTGAACTAGCTTGGAATTTTGCTAAAAATTTCTAATATTTTCCCATTTGTTGGTGATTTTAATTAGCCTCCACTGCTGCTTGTACTTAACTTACAAGTTCACCTCATCTTGGGCACTTCCTCCATTGCTCCTATTACTTGGAGTATAATTTTTTGCATGTAATTTGTAAAAAATTTTGCATCTATCTGCATGTGTGTGCATATGTATATATTTTGTATATAATTGCAAGAACAAATAGTTACTGATCGGTTATTCTACGCCAGACCACTGTGTGAAGCATGCTCTGAGCATTAATATAATCTCCAAAACAATCTTTGAAATCAGTGGTGGTAGTCTTATCTCCATTAACGAAAAAATATGTGTGCAAGTACACACAATGGGGCTGAGATGGTGCCAGAAAATGCATCCAAAGAGACTGGCTCCAGAGCCTGTGCTCTGACCACCATATGGCCCCTTCCAAGCAGCCGTCTTACTGTACTGCTATGGCTTACTTGCATTCATTCCTACAACCCAGAGAAAAACGTTTGAGAGCACTCACTGGATCAAGACTTTAAAAGGTGTTGTCTGGACATCTATTAAATAAAATCACACCAATAAACAAACAGGTACAAATTATGCTAAGTGCCCTGGATGGATGGGGATCGAGGGAGGAAAACCTAGGATTAGATGAATGAGAATTACAAGGGGGAGGATGGAAGGAGGCAGATGTAGGAGGGAGAACAGGTATCCTTAGCTGGAGGCTCCTGGAAGAGATGCGAAACCTAATTTGAGTGATTGGTGGATTCCCGCTACCAACAATCCTTATACCCTTTTGTCCCCCCACCCTCCCAGCCTCAGAAACCTCCGTTTGTATATCAATGTCTGATGGTTTATGATTATCTTGCTTTGTCAGTTCAGCAACTTTGCTCCATATTGGAGTTGTTCCTCCCTCTTTTGGATTGTTCTGCCCATAATGCTTCAAACAATTAAATTCCTGTCTTTCCTGCCGTCTCTGCCCTGAAACCTCTCCGCATGCAGTGGTCATCTGCTTGTCCTGGGGAATGGCTGGAGGGACCATTTGGTTTGAGCATGTGGAGCAGCAGAATTCTGCCTCCACTTGTTCTGCTCTTGTGCCTCTTATCCATGTATGGGGTTTTAGAACTCTATAAGCTAAGGTATATCCAGGCTGGGAAATGTTTGAAAAGTCGGTCGAATGAAAGGACCACCCTCTCGATGTAGCCTTAGATTCCTTCCTCTGGAGACCACACACACACACACACACACACACACACACACACACACCGCATTCTGTCTGTGGAAGTGTTGGGTGGGCTGGGCAGAGCCGGCTCAGGAGCAAACCCTGCCCGGAGCAGCGGCCTGGCAGGTTGCGCCGACGTCCGCTGGAGGGCGAGAGCCGCTCAGACTGCGGGCGACAGTGGCCTCGTCTCCTCTGCCATCGCCAGGGAGCGCCCATCTGCGATGGGTGGGCGAGAGCAGGCTCGGGAGAGGGGTGTGGTGCCCCAAGCAGTGGCTGCTCAGCCGCGAAGTCGGCGGTTGCGGGAGAAGGGGAGGCACAGCCCTTCTGGGAACGCGCGGGGCCCAGCTCCTGGCCTGGGCGAGAGACCCCTCCAGGATGGGGAGCAAGGGGCGGACCTAACGGGAGAAAAGGAAGGAGAGGCTGGAGAGACAGGTCCGAGGCACCCAGAGGCCAGCGGAGACTTTCCGTCTTAGTCGCCCCCAAAGCGCTGACAGAGGCAGGTGCGGACGCAGCAGGGGACCCGCGCGCCCAAACTGGCAGAATGAATGACCGTTCATGGCCGGCTTGGCAGCCCCGGGCGTGCCCGGGACAAGGGCAGCGCTTGCAAAGCCATGAGGTGCCAAGACTCAGACCGCTCCTAGAGGGCGGGTTCCGCGCACTGCAGCCCGCAGGCGCCTCCCGCAGCCGCCGGGCGGCGGAGCTGGGGGCAGGCGCATCCCTTCAACCCCGCGGGGTGGCCCCGCCCCGCAGCCGCCGGGCGGCTCCACCGTGGGGGGCGGAGTTGCTCCCGCCCCTTCATCCCCCCCGGATTGCAGCCACTTCTTAAGCCCGCGAAGCGTCAGGTTGCCCCTCACTAGCCTCGCCCGCCGGTCTCCCTCCCGCGCGCGATGGCCTCGGCGCTGAGCTATGTTTCCAAGTTCAAGTCCTTCGTGATCTTGTTCATCACCCCTCTACTACTGCTGCCATTCATCATTCTGATCCCAGCCAAGGTCAGTTGCGTCTCGGGGCAGCCCCACGGACCCTCAGCGCCTGGTGCCCGGCAGGGAGCACCGAACCAGGGACCTCTGAGCTGTAGCCCACGGTTTTCCTGGTGGGGCGGGCTCAGGTCCCCTGGGGCGCGCACCCGGGAGTTCCCGGTGCCTGATGGGAGGTGCCCTGCAAAGAATTAAGAGAGACACGGCGACCCCGGGGCGCACCGACCTCGGGGTTCACATATCCTGGGAGCAAAACCCTCCTGGCAAGCACAGAAAGTTAGAAGTTAGCACAGATCCTGGCCATCCTTAGACTCAGCCCTCAGAATCTCCCCAGTGTGTTTAATCACATCTCTCCCAATCCCATCCCCAAATGCCACCTGCGCCTGCAGCGTGCCTGTCTTTCCCTGCCTCTCTCACCTGCCTCTTCCTTAAGGTAATGGGGACATCCGGACTACAGTTGTTTCTGAGGTCCCTTTTGTGTAGGGAAGTGCAGGAAAAGATCATCACCTGACTGGATCCTGAGTGCCATCTTTGTCACTCTCTCTCCCTTTTTTTTGAGCCTGTTTCTTTATCACATTTCGTTTCAGCTCTTCACGCCTGGAAGCCACAGCTGAGTCTAAATCCCACTGCCCACTGAAAGGCAGGTCAGGGTTGGCCTGCTTTCCCCCCTGCCTGCTGTGGCTGTGGCAGGAGGCGGGACAGGTTCCCAGAGCTCACGCCTTGGGTGGCATGACCCAGGGCTGCAGGGAAGTGGTGTCCCATGCCCTGGCCTCTCGGAGGGAGGGAGGGAGAGAATGGCCTTGGCCACAGGGTGGGGGCAGAGCCCCCATGCGCTGGCCCAAGGCTGAGCTGGGTTGTGCGAAGCCTATTTGGCAGAGACCCGAGCCCTTTGAAGCCTTTTGTGGCTTCTGGCTGCTCCTTCGTCATTCCCTCTTTCAGCCCTTTCACTCTCAGCCCAGACAGGAAACCTTCCCCCTCCCCGACCCCCCCCTCCCCTAGCCTCCAGGCAGGTTTGGGAAACAGAGGAACTCTTTAGGGGATGCTCTGGGGGGTAGACCTGGAGGAGGGGATTTGTGCTGGAAAATCAGGGAGTCAACCTACAAGATAACTAGAACTTCCACTATTCACTCACCCTTGTGACTTTAGCCAAGCCCATTTCTGTGCTCTCTGGGCCTCAGTGTTCTCATCTGTACAATGGGTCAGGGTGGTTTAAGGTTCTGACACGTTATGGCTTTGGGTGCCAAAAGGGATGGGGGAGGGAGAGGCTGGGTGGAGCCTTTGGGTGGCCTGAGCATAGATAGTGAATGTGCCAAGAACAGCAGATCCAACTGTTGTGGCTCTTAAGTAAAATGTGATCAGCCATATTCTCTCTATGGAAAGAGATTTGGGTTGTTATTGTGCGTGGGAGGGAGCCAAGCAGGAGGGCTGTGATTTTAATTCTGCAGGTCGGGAGTGATGTTCCCCTGGAATAATTATAGTAGCTTAGCTGACCTTCCTGCTCCAGGAAAGCATGACTGATACCCCCCGCGCCCACACACACACTCACATGCATGCAGCCGGGCCACGAGCTGGGACCTCCAACTTGGGTGTGTATGTGTGTCATTAATCTGCCTTAGAAGCAAGAATCAGCCCAGGGGGTGGGGGAGGCGATATGGTGAGTGAACATCATTCCAAAGTGCTTTCCCTCCCAGAGGGTCAGGTGACTGGGATCCTGGAACTCTGTCTTGTTTTTCTCTTTTCGTGCTTCTGTTTGGGTCCACCAGGAGCTCCCCGCCCTGCTCCCATGGCCACACTGCTAGTTGTGTAAGGAACCCAGGGGCATCCCGCCTGGGGTGAAGCCCTCCACAGACTTTGGCAGCCTGGGTGGCACTGTCCAAGCTGGCACCTCCCAAGGCAGCCGCCTTGTGCTGGAGTCTGATCCCTCTCCTCCCTCCTTCTTCTCCAGACATCCTTCTTTTATTGTCTTTGTACCTTGCTTTCTGCCATCACCTCCGCTCCACTTTTTCTACCTTTAAAAAAAGTAACATTTCAATAAAATAAATGATACACTTATGTATAGTTTATTTTGTTAAGATTGTTCTTAAAATGTTATTTTTGAGGTCTGCACAATCAAGTCTGTAAAGTCAAAATGAATATATCCTCAAATCCCATCACACACACATGCATTCGCTTACCTACATGCTTTCACTAAACAACATGTCTGAGGCACCCTTATTTGTTAGTAAGTACACATGGTTTTGTTCACCTGTGCGTTTGGCATGTTTAGTAAGCCCCACCAAGTTCTAGGCGCTGTGTTGGGTGTTGACTTTTAAAATCCCATCACATGCTTTCATCTCAACTTTAAGTGCTTTTCCAGTCACATTCTCAGGAGCAGTCAAGTGCTCTGAAGTTACCCATAGGGAACCAAGCTCCTCTGCGCAGGTAGAATCCATCTCCCGGTGCTCTGGCCCCTGCCCACACTTCTCTGTCATCACTGGGCTGTTCTGCTTTGCCACCAGCACGGTGGGAACATCTAGGTGAGGGAGGGTCAAGTTTGCTGCCTGGTGTTATTCTAGGATGGGTGTCTCCTGGGTCTCCTAATCATGGTTTGGGATGAGGGGGTAGTTGGTTAGCCTTGCCCCTCCTTTCGTTGGTTGGTTTAGTTGCTTAGGGAGCTGTGTGCGAAGCTTGTTTGCATGGCACCTACGGTTTCTAAGATTAGACAATAAAAAAATCACTTAGCACTTTCTGTGTCGTAGGTCAAGAATGGGTACTCTTAAATCATTGATTTGAAGAGGAGGATGTGAATCAAGTGGGGGGTGGGTGGGGCCAGGGACTGGGAGCAGGAGGAGTATTTTGTTAATGACATAGTTGAGAATTATTATCACACGAACATACGAAGGAGAATGATTTTTAGATGGTGCTACTGCTTTTAAATTCTCTACAATGCACCTATCTTCTTGCCTGCTCTAGGAAGGGCACCACGCCCCTCCCCGCTTGACACCAAGGCCCAGGGAAGCTAGTGACTGAAAAGGCCAAACAATGGCAGACAGTGGACACTGATTGGTTTGGGGCTCAAAGCCTGCTCTTCCAACCACACCATTGTCCTGCCTTACTCGCTACATCAATCAACATTGACACTACAATCCCCTGTTCCACCCAGTGGACATTTGGTAAAGACTGGACACATATTTTGTTGTCACAACTAGAAAGAGGGCTACAGGCATCTAGTGGGCGGGCGGTGGTGGGGAGGCAGGGATGCTGCTAAGTATCTTACAATGTCAGGATGCTTTTCCCCGCCACCCCTCCAGCAAATAATATTGATGTCTCCCCCACCCCCATATCAAAGTGTCAAGGTTGAGAAGTCCTCCTTTAGACAATAGGGAGTTGTCCTGGGGTGTGTGGGATGTGGAAGGAAGATTTATTTTTTATGATTGATAATACAATCTATAAAGACTTTCCAAGTCTTCTCATTGTTTCCTGGATCTAATCTGTGCTCTTTCGGTTGATGATAAGCGGAGTGTTCCCGTGTGTTGGTTTTTGCCGCAGCAGCGTTCCAAACCATCGCTTGTGCTTCGCTAGTCCTTTTCTCTGCTAAATATTTGCTGAGCGTCTCCTGAGTCTCTGGTGTTGGGAAGGAAGAAAATCTTCCTTTACCCTTTTACTACTGGAAAATAATTAAATTGACACAAGAGAGATTAGCAAGAGAAAAGACAAACTTTAATTATACATGCAAGATTCATCAAGGCCCATGCATAGAATAATGGAAGGTTCCAGTTAGGTCATATACTCTCTAGAAAGGGAGCAGTACATTTAGAAGGGAGTGATAGAACAAAGCACAGTGCAACTTACAGAAATAGAGGTTTTGCAGGGCTTATCTATATGCACTTGGAAAACAGACCTAGTAAGCCCTAGCCTGGGGGGCAGAGCTGTAAGGCCTACGCTCACCTCCTGAACCACCACAGGGAAGATTTATTTACTGTTTTAAGGGAGGTAGATAATTAGGCAAAACCCATTATTCTTAGACCTTCTGTCTCTTAATTTCTTTCAATTCAAAATTGTCAGCTTGCCTCTTATATACATCCTGGGACAGTCTGTCTTCGGCTCCAACACTGGCATGTGCTGGAAGCTTGAGGACTCAGAACCCACAAACACTGATTCTGTCCTCCAGTGTTCTATGTTCGGTGGTGGTGGGGGACAGTTAAGGGCACAAGCAGTGACAACCCAGTGTGCAGAGACAGAGGGCGTCCTGAGTCATGGGAAGACCTTTGGCTTTTGTCCTGAGGCTTATTATTATTATTATTATTATTATTATTATTATTATTATTATTTTAAATAAGGGAGTGACATCAAATTTGCAAAAGAGAGCGGGGAACAACAGTGTGATGCAAGGAGAAAGGTCAAGTTATGAAGTAATTGCCGGTGGAGGACATGCGGCCTGAGCACAGGCTGTGGCCATGGGGTGAAGGCAGGAGTCCGGAGGGGGCCTGAGCATCCAAGGGTAGAAGTGACAGGTGTTGGTGACTGGTTTAATTGGAGGCCCCAGAATGAGGGAGCAGGCAGAGTCTGTGTAGTTAATAATGATTGTAATAAAAATGCTGATGAAACATAAAACCACCTCTAGAGGTGGGTGTTACCCACTTTTTAATAGGTGACCAGATTGAGCGCCAGAGGGGTTTAAAGTACTTGACCCACGTGCTGCAAGAAGAAGGGGCCAGGACTGGAAGCAGTTGCCCTGGAGCCCAGGTCTGTGTCTTCCAAGTCCCAGTGGCTAAGTGGTTAAGGGACTGGAATGGCAGCTCACATAAAATTAACTGCAAATAGCAAAGCTTTGTAACTAGAGAAACCTTTGTAGCTAGAGAAATGCTAATGAAAGCACCAAGTACCATCTTTTCAATGGCAATTTAAAAACAATGCTGGGAATACTCCATGCAAGCAATGTTCTGAATGAGCTGTACAGGGGGCAGGAAATTAGGAACAGATATCAGGAGTTGCAGGCTGTGCTTTCAGGAGCTTCTCCTCTGAATGGATTCAAAACAGCACGCTTTGGGTGGCAGAGAAGAAACAACACTTATTCCACCACAGAAAGGCAAAAAAGTGAAACCATCTTGTCAAATTTATGGAGGATCAGTTAGAAAAAAAAGATCATAATGGAGGTTATGTAGCCACATGAAAACAAAAACAACAAAAAACCCCAATGAGAACATCTTGAGAAAAGGAAGTAGGATTGAACAAGACCCTGGAGAAAATTGCACTTATTTTGCAAAATGGACAAGAATTGCACTTGTGTTGCAAAATGGCTTTAATTCTTAGAACAGGTCATTAAAATGGTATATATTCTTTGTTTCCTCCTTTTCCTTCATTTTTCTCCTTTCTACCCCTTTTCCTCCCTCTTTTCTTCATTCCCCACCTTGTCACCTCCCAATCTCCCTTCCACATCCTCCTGCTCTTCGTGTTTCCCAGGGTGAGGTGCACCCAGAACCACGCAGCTGGGAGACAGGGGCAGGAGTCTCTGGATGAGGCCTGGGTCCATTTACTGTCCTGCACCTGGAAGGCTGTGCTGATGAGGGCGGGGAAGCAGGGGACACTGAGGAATTTCCTCTGAAGTGATGACCCTGTCTTGGCAATCCTTGCGCTCTGGGGTGGGAATCAGGGGCAGCAGCAGCACACTGGGCTCAGAGCTGTCTCTGCAGTTTGGCAGGTGTGCCTATGTCATCATCCTCATGGCCATTTACTGGTGCTCAGAAGTCATCCCTATGGCTGTCACCGCCCTCATCCCTGTCCTGCTTTTCCCACTCTTCAAGATTCTGGACTCCAAGGAGGTGAGCAGACCTGGGGATCCTGGTGGCTTCCTGTCTTTGCTATGGGCTCATTCTTCAACCCCCAACTTGAGCTACCTAGGCCCCAGGTGACCCTCTGGCAGGGGAACCTGACACTTGACCCCCCCATCCCCACTCCAAACTGTCCCCGAAGACAACATCCAGTCTCCCCACCTGCCTCTGGGGACCTGGTGGCTTGGGCCCAAGCAGTGTGTGGCCAGGGGCCTCCATGATGGGGCCTCCCTGCCATCCTCCAGGTGTGTACCCAATATATGAAGGACACCAACATGCTATTCCTGGGTGGTCTCATCGTGGCCGTGGCTGTGGAACGTTGGAGGCTGCACAAGAGGATCGCCCTGCGCACGCTCCTCTGGATAGGGCCCAAGCCTGCACAGTAATTGCACCTTCTCTCTCTTGCTACAGGGCCCCAGGGCTGGGGTGTGGGTGTGGCACAGTCCAGGGGAGGCCTGACCATGGGCTTACTTGGGCTTGACAGGCAGGTGGGCCCTGGGTGGGGCATGTGGCAATCTAAGCTAGGGAGACCTGATGCATGGGGAGTGGAGGTGGGGATGCAGTGAGCAACAGTGAGAAGGGTTGGCTAAGACTTTGGAGGGGCTGCGGGGAACAAGGTGAGTGACGGCCGGGTCAAACCATCCCTGTCAGGGCACCTGTGGGGAAAGCAGGATAAAGGTGGCTCAGCTGCTCAGCTCAGGGGGCAGCAGACAGACCTCCCTCCTAAGCTGGCACACCTCTTCCCCTTCACAGAAGCTCTGGCCTCCTCTTCCCCTATTCATTCTGCACCTCACCCTTCTCCAAGGTTTCCCTCAACAATTTCACCCTTCTCCAAGGTTTCCCTCAACAATTGCAGGCTATTTCCAACCAACCCATGGAGTTGACAGTCTGAAACAGCGGGTACACTGAGCACCCACAGTGCCCCAGGCACCAAGCCTAGAGCTTATTTGTTATGCACTGAACTCTCACAACTCGGAGTCGTATCACCGCTACCACCCACCTTCTAACACCAGGAGTTCGTGGCAGAGAGGGGTTCAGTGACTTGCTGCCGATCAGATGGGGACTGGACATAGCCCATCTGAGGCTTTGCTCCCACACTGGGAACTCAGAGTCACCCCTCAGTGATGGCGTGTCCCAGCCCGGCCCTGCAAAGGCAGTGCTTGTCACAGAAATCCCTCCTGAGACGTCCCTTGTCAGAGCACGTGCAGACCTGGCCTCAGTGCCGGACCCCTGAGCAGAGGGCTTCATGGCTTTCTGAGCTGATAACCTGCATGGACTCAATCCCTCCACTGATTGGTTTACAGGGTCATATCAAAATCCATTGTATTTTCTAGAAATGTGAGACCTCCGGGGGTTCAGAATTCTTGTTCTTAGGATCCTTTGAGTGGCCAGTTTTCTCCATCAGCGGCTAGGGTCTCTTCTGGAATGTCCTGGAGGGCTTCCTTTCCCCAGACCGGGCAGCTCACACCTGCTTCCCTGCTCCTTCCTGACACCCGGCTCCCCTGAGCTAGGCTTGTGGTATCCATGACACTGCCTGTCCTGGGGTGGACTGTCTGTTGGGGCTGCTCGGTGCCTTGACGCATTGTTTTTAAGTGTCACTTGTGCAAACTCTTGACTCTCCTCTTCCCAAACTGGATCCCAGGCTCTGTTCTTGTAACTCCATGAGGTCTATCTGTGTGGATACCAGCAAGGTAGTACAGCCCACATGTCCTCTCTTCAGGCAAATGAGTGGCCTTGAGAGCAGCCTGACGCAGGGGGCATGGCAGCTGAGAGCACTGTGTTCCAGTGTTCCAGCCCGCCCTGAGCCCTAATGTTCCTGGCCTGTGCATGGGAACCAGGGAGAATCAGACCCTTGCTGGGCTCATGGTCTAAGGAGACAGATAACAGGGAAACAGGTCCCTAGAATCCAGCCAGTGTTGAGTATTGGAGGGAAGGAGGATGGAGGAGGGAGTGGTCATCCACCTGGTGTGCGCAGGGAAGGAACATTGTCTGGGGAGGCTTTGAGGGACCACAAAGAGTTTCCTATGCAGGTGGCAGAGGGGGTACATGGGTGGAAATGGGGGTATAAGTGAAGAGAACACATTTTGTGATTACCGTTTGTTTGACCTGGTCCATGGCAGAGTGGAGGGGCCAGGTATGTACAGAGAACTGGTGGGCAGGGGGCCCCCACAAGGGAGGTTCTTCTCCCATGGCCCTGCCTAGCTTAACCCTACCCCACGGCTGAATCTGAGCAGCTCCTCTGCTCTTCTGAGAGGAGCTGGGGCTGGGGCAGGTGGAAATCTTCTAGATAGAAGTGGAATGTTGGCACTGCCTATACGCAAAGCTGCTCCCCCAGGTCAGACCAGAGCCAACTGTCTTTGGATGCTGGTGCTCCCCTGTTAGACGGGGAGCTCTCAGAACCATGGTGGGGTCTGAGAAAGGCCTTGTAGTAATCCTGGCAGCCAGCAGAGTAGAAGTGAAGAAGGGGCACGGGGGAGATATGAGGCGGGGCACTAAAACTGCAACCCCCTCCAGGATGACTCAGTCTTAAACTGGCCTCAGCAGCTTGGCCCTGGCCCCTGGTGCCCCTGCTGGGGGACCTAGCTCTAGTTCCTTTCTAAGGGCTGGGGGACTCTCTGGCTTTCCTCCCTGCCCTTCCTTTGCAGGCTGATGCTGGGCTTCATGGGGGTCACAGCCTTTCTCTCCATGTGGATCAGCAACACAGCCGCCACGGCCATGATGGTGCCCATTGTGGAGGCCATGCTACAGCAGGTGGATGCCACCAGAACAGCCACCAGCACGGCCGCCGAGGCTGGCCTGGGCGCCCTGGAGCTGGTGGACAAGGGCAAGGCCAGCGAGCTGCCAGGTGAGACCCTGGCCAGGAGGCCGCCTGGATCTGAGATGGCAGGCTTCCCCCCTTGCCAACAGCTTGGGTCACCTCCCAGCTTTCAGGAGTGCTCCTTTAAACAAGCACACAGGGAGGTTACTTAGAAAGTGCTATTTTCATCAATTTTAGGAATGTCATTATTGTATAAGTTAGATCAACTAGTAGCGCTTATAGCAAGGTCTCACTCTCAGGTCCTGCCAATCACAGAATTCAGTGTGTGTTCTTTTGATGATTACGCATTTGGGCATCTTTTGAGCAGGTCCTGGGTGCCACTCACCCCTTGCTACTCCTGCTCATCAGGGAGGGCGTCCCAACAGTTCCCGTCCCTATGCTCTCTGGCCCCACAGGAACTGGGGTCAGTCGTCTTACATTTGCTCCCCGCTAGGCATGGCCTCAGGAGCCAGAGAACGTCTGCTTAATTCTTTGCTCGATACCCCACCCCCAAGGGAGCTCCTCAGGCTGGTTGCCAGCCCTCTGTCAGGTCTGGGGGCCACAGAGATGGAGCAGACACACTCTTACTGTGTCTTACCCCACCATGGTTCTGAGAGCTCCCCGTCTAGCAGGGGAGCACCAGCATCCAGAGAGAGTTGGCCCTGGTCTGACCTGGTCTGACCCAGCCAGGTGGGGTCAGGAGGCCCCTCGCACCAGTCATCTGACTCGGGAAGCCATGGGGTGCCATAAACCAGAGAGGTTTCTGAGAAGAATCAGGAGGGGGATTTTGAGTTGGCTTTGGACACCCCAGGTGGATGGAATAGTCAGCAAGAGTGAGAAAGCAGAAAGAAGGGGTGTGCCTCCGAGGATGCTGGATATGCATACGCTTTTTCATTTATGTATTATTTATATTTCATTTAATTAAGTTTTTTTTACATCATTGTTCATTTTTATTATTTATTTATTTATTTATTTATTTTAGAGATTTGTTTATTATTTATACAAGCACCGGGGTACAGTCCAGAGGCGCAGGAGAGTGAGAATTCACTTGAGATAAAGCAGAGAGCAGAACAGGCAGAAGGACTGAAATACACTGCTGAGGGGAGCAGCGGGCAAGACAGGAGAGGCCTGCTGTGTGCCATGTAGGAATCTCCCCTGCTAGCTGGGAATCGAACTGGTGCTGCAGAGGCTGCGGACAGCTTCACAATGCTGTGCTCAACCTGTTGCAACACTGGGGAGGTCCCATTGTTCATTTTTAAGCAATATTTGCTTCCCTTCCCCTTGGGTGTAGTCCCTGGTGAATTTCCTTCACCAATGCACCCACCCAGGCACCATCACCTCAGTCCCTTGGGCTCCTCTCTCCCTCCCTCTGATCACTCTCCCTCTCTTCCGCTGCAGGATGTCTCTGATTTATAATTGTCTGTTTTGTTTTATTGTGTTTTGTATTGTTGCTATTTTTTTACACTGATGTCTTATATATACACAATGGAATACTATTCAGCAGTCAAAAAAGATAAACTCATGCCATCCACAGCAACATGGATGGAACTGGAAAGAATTATGCGCAGTGAAATAAGCCAGAAGGAAAAAGAAAGATGTTGGATGGTTTCACTTATAGCAGGAATATAGGGGAAACAAATAAGACCTCAGTGGATTTGCATAAGCTTTTTTTTTTAAAAGATTTATTTATTCATGCGTACAAGAACCGGGGTACAGGCCAGATGCGTGGGAGGGTGAGAGGATTCACCAGAGACAAAGTGGGGAACAGAACAGGCAGACTGACTGAGCACACTGCTTCAGTGGAGCAGCGGGCGAGACAGGAGAGGTCTGCCGCGCCATGTAGGATTCTTGCTGGCCGGCGGGGATCGAACCTGTGCTACAGAGGCTGTGGACAGCTTCACAGCTTCACAGAGCTGCACTCAACCGCCTGTGCTACCAGGGGAGGCCCAGGATTTGCAAAAGCTTTAAGGGACCCTAGGGACAGCCTAGAAGCCACGTGTGGGAAGCTAATGGGCCAGATCATAGCTTTGGACTGGAGGCTGAAAGTCCTCTGGAGGGAGCTGGGAGAGCAGGTGTGCCCTGAGCCGTAGGTCAGGAGCTGGAGCTGGGCAGTGGCCCCTGGATGGCTCAGCTCATGGCAGTGTGCCCCCCACAGGGAACCAAGTGATTTTTGAAGCCCCTGCAATAGGGCAGCAGGAGGACAGAGACAAGAAGAACGTGTACAAGGCCATGAACCTGTGCTTGTGCTACGCGGCCAGCATCGGCGGCACGGCCACCCTGACCGGGACGGGGCCCAACGTGGTGCTCCTGGGCCAGATGAATGAGTGAGTCTCTGGCTGCGCCCTCTGGGGACAATACTGGGGATCTGGGCTTCTGGCCTACACCCACTTCTCCCCCTTCCCTAGCTGGTTCCTGGAGCTGGGGGTCTGGCAGCAGTGGGAGGATATACCCCATCAGCCTCTGTGTCCCAGCACCCCGGCTCCCACTCAGGACGTCCGGGGCGGGAGCTGACGTTCCACAGAGCTAGTTACTTTTGCCCTGCGGCGGGTCCTGCCTTTCTTCCCTGGACACGGCATTCTCACTCAGACAGGCCTGCGAGCTAAAGGACATGAGCTAAACTCTGAGCTAAAGACCTGGGAAATGACAATGTAGTTCTAAATGCTGGGTCCTGGAAAACAGACACCCTTGAAGATGCCCCCTCAGAGCTGGTTCCCTGACTTTGGTTGTTAGCAGTGCTGGTCCTACTGTGTTGGAGACCTGCAGATGGCACCAGGGTCCGAGGCTAGGACATTCTTGCCTCAGCACTTCATCCACTATAGCCCCTCCAATTGCCCTTGAGGTGACGGGTGCCCGTGTGAAGCCCCAGGGGTCCTCTGGGACCCTCCCGCCCGGCCACATAAGGGACACAAGCCTTGAGGACCTCAGCTCTGTGCCTGGCCTTATGCCAAGGGGGACTGGGGTCACAGACGAGGGAAAACCTGGGCCCTGCCTGTGGAACAGTCGTGGTTGGCTAAGGGAAGCAGACTCCTAGAGAGTTCCAAGAGGGTCTTGGCAAATAAATGCATTAGTGAGGTAAGTTCAAACTCTGGTGGCCGAGAGGGAAGGAAGAAAAGCAAGATGGCATCCTGCAGCAAGCTCCCTGGACAGGGGTCGTGAGGGCAGCTGGGAAGGGGGAAGGAGAGGCCTGGCTTGGGAGATACCTTAAATCCAGCAAGCAGACAGTTATAGGTCCTGGGAGTGTTTTCTGTAATGACAGCCTTGCAGGTCTCCATGGTGTTCCAGGGAGAAAGAGCCTGGGAAAGGCAGGCTGTCTGGGCTGAGTGGGGAAATCTCTGTGTCTGCTCTGACACCTTGGGCTAATGGGGTGGGTGGGGGGCTCTGGAGTGGGACTGACCCTCCTCCAGCCACCAGGAATGCCATCTGATCCCACCCTTGGAAGCTTGTGAGGGCTGCCTCCTAAGAGGGTCCTTCCCTTGCTGAAACCCACAGGGTGAGGTTCTGAGGGCCCCCCTAAGGCTGTTAGCCTAGTTAGGTGTGTACTAAGGTGTATTTTTGCAGAGTGAGGGGCCATAACTCTCATGAGCTTCTCAGTGGGGTCTGGGCCCATGGGAGAGTCACTTGGTTACTCCTCAGGCTTGTTTTGTGCTTTGGCCAGGATATGGCCAAAGAGGGGGCCCCCACTTGATTGGGGTGATGCCTGGTGATGAGCTTGGGTGGCTGGACCTCAGGGTCCAGCAGCTGCTCAGCCTCCAGCCATGAGGCCCAGCCTGCTCTGCACAGTCTGGCACCAGGTAGAGATGTGAACTATTCTCCCTTCAGATTGTTTCCTGACAGCAAAGACATCGTGAACTTTGCCTCTTGGTTTGGCTTTGCCTTCCCCAACATGGTGATAATGCTGCTGGTTTCCTGGTTGTGGCTCCAGTGTGCTTTTATGGGATTCAGGTAAGTTTGAACTGCTGATGAACAAAGAGTCTCATCATGCCACACCCCTGCAGCAAAGCCCTCGGATTCATTGGACGAGTCCACAGAGCTGTTCATGTCTGGCCCTGATTATTCCTGCAGCCCCATCTGCTCATCTGCCTTCCCCTTCTGACCACCCCAGGCTGCTCCCTGGGCCTTCGCCCATGCTGTTCTCACTTTCTGGAAGGCCATTCCCTACCTTCTTACTTTCTGAATCCCTCAGGCTTCAAGACCAGCTCAAGTGCTGCCAGCTTAGTGACACCCAACCCCCCTCCCCCAACCCCCATGCCTTCTTAGAAGAATTCCTTGCTCCTTCCCCCTGGCTTCCCTGAGCAGGTCATGGTCCTGTCCTTGGTACCTGTGCTGCTGTCTCAGCACTTCCCTCCCACCCCTGACTCCTTTCTGGGGCCTGTGTTGAGTCCTCTCTGTCCTCTGCACCCTGTCCAGGGAGAAAGAGTGGGTTGCCATCGACATCAGTCAAGCAGTTAGAGAGGCTCTTGCTCCCTCCCTTGTGTAGATGGACAAAAGCGGACAAGCTTCCACTTGGCTGCATGTGTCCATTACGCCAGTCACAACTGACTGTCCCATGACGTCCAAATCAACCCCAACCCAGACCTTTACTGAATGCCTACAATGTACCCAGCGGCGTGCCAGTTTCCAGAAAGTTTACCTTCCTGTTCCCAGCATACGGGCAAGTGCACAAGAGTCAACTTTGACGGCAGCCAGACTTTGGACAGAAACCATGATGTGTGACTGCCAAAGGCCTAAAAAAGTTGTTATTTTAAAAGACACAGATTTATCTATGGTACAAAGGTAACCCTCTCATATTGAGATACAAGAGTCTTAGCTGTGAGCTGTGCTCAGTGTCTTAATTCACAGGGAACTTTGGGCAAATGAAAAACAGGGCCAAAGTGTCAGAGACCTCAGGACTAAGAGGCAAAAGTTCCCCCTAGCCCATGCGTAATGGGGAACATGGGGTGTTTTGGTAAGTTTTCTTTTGAATGAGAGACTGTTATTGAATACTGGCATTAAAAAATCTCTACACATAATCAAAACAGCCATAACAGTGACGTGTGAGCCATGGGCATCCCTGCATGTGCAGGCCCCACGTGGATGCAAAGGGCTCTCTGTGCCCACCACGCAGCTCGGTTTTGATGGCAGCTCTTTGCCCTGTTTTTCAGATCTGCTCCAGAACCAAAGTCCTCCTCACTGACTCATGTCCGTCTGACAGGCCTCAGGAGATCAGTCTGAACCTGTGGCAGGTGGCAGGCGGGCATCTGTTTCTCCCCACCAGGTTGTAGTGATAATAACAACCAGTGTTTATCGAGTGCTTATTAAGTGCCAGGCACCATTTTTAAGCACTCTACATACAGTATCTTAATTTATCTTCACACCCATCTGTCAGTAGTTTTATTCCCAATTTACAGATAAGGCAACTGAGGCAGGGAGAGGTTAAATGGCCTATGCAGGGTTGTATATTTTGGAAGACCTGGGACTGAGATTTAAACTCTGGCAGTTTTGCTCCAAAGCCTGTGCTCATTACCCTGCTCCCGGTCTCAGTAAGTTCAGGCCGTAACAAAAATAACAGCCGTAACAAAACTCTGCAGATTGTGCAGCTTAAACCACAGGCATTGATTTATCGCAGTTCTGGAGGCTGCAAGTCCAAGATCAAGGTGCCAGCAGACTTGGTTCCTGGCGAGGACTCGCTTCCTGGTTTGCAGAAGGCTCACTGTGTCCTCACATGGAGGGGAGAGCCAGCGAGTTCTCGTGCCTTTCTGCTCTTGTATGGGCACTAATTCTCTCCTGAGGACCCCATCCTCATGACTGCATGTGTCCATTACGCCAGTCACAACTGACTGTCCCATGACGTCCAAATCAACCCCAACCCAGACCTTTACTGAATGCCTACAATGTACCCAGCGGCGTACCTAACTAATGTATGCCTAACTAAACCTGACTACCTAACTAAACCTAACTACCTCCAAAGTCCTCACTTCTGAATAGTATCACATCGGGGGTTAAATCTTCAATGTAGAAATTTGGGGGTTATACAATAAAGTCCATAATGTCCCTCTTGGGGAGGCCTGGGTGGCTGCCCTTGACTGTCTCAAGGCCTAGATACAGCCAGGGGTCAGGAGCACCGGTTGCAGCCTCCCCTCAGCCTGGGGGTTGGAGGCTGTCTTTAGCCCTGGGACCTCCCGAGTCCCCTGACAGAGCAAATAGAGGGGAGCTGGCCAAGCCCCAAGACTACCCACATGGGCACTGCCAGACTCCAGGGGTGGCCCTAGCCAAGAACCTGATGTGCCGTCCACCCAGCCCAGCATGGCTCCCACTGGGTCATTTTGGCCAGCTAGGATCCTAGGGATTTCCAGAGTCTGCCTGTGTTTGGGGTGCAGACTGTCACTTGTCCCACCCCTTCCTTGCAGACTGCTGTGGCTTAGGGACCCTTGCCAAGCACATGGGACTATGGCAGGTGGGGTGGGGTGGCCCGCAGGTAGCCTTGCTTCAGATACTGCTTTACAACTCGGCTTCAACAACAGGAATAGCAGAGGCTGTCCTCAGCCCAGGCCACATCCTGCCACATGCCAGCACCAGATGATTCTGGACTACCTCACTTGAGGCAAGGGAACACCTGTCTCAGCTGCAGGACGCCCCTCTACCATCACACCTGGCCCTCATGTGAATCCTCCTCTGAATGGTCATGGAGACCAACGTGAGGCACTCCCTCTAGCTTAATCTGGAAAACCTGTATCTTCCCGTGTCTAAGGGTGACTTCTTAGACCGTATTCAACCAACAGGGCCACAGATGCCCTCATGACCACCCAGGACTGATTGGATGTTACTGCTGCGTATGCCCAATTTTTCTAACCAGGTTAGCCCCTTGAATTAGGGATTAGGGTTCTTGTAGACCCCCGCCACGGCAGGGGCACTTGGGAGCAGTCCCAGTGCTTCTCCTTGGCTCTGCGGCATGGCCAGCCAGCTCTGCAGCATCGTTTGAGGGCTGCTCTGTGCAGAGCCCACCCCACCTGGCGCTCTGTATGCCCACCCCACCTGGTGCTCCAGCAGGCGGGCTAGATCCATTTGCCTCATCTCGTGCCAGCCTAGTGGTCACTAGATGGGATTAACCCAGACATGAGATAAACTGCTTTGTGTAAGAAGGTCCTGAAGACTTGGCATCAGCAAGGCTTGGGGTGGTGTGGGGGGTGTTAGCATCAGATGACTGCATTGATGATACAGCCCCCAAGGTTGCAACCCCTGTGGTGGGACAGTACCAGCTGGGCAGATAAGACCAACATTGCCCCTTTTTCTGGAAGTCTGGAGCCTCAGGCCCAGTCCCATGGTCCCCGAAATGACAGGGTGCAGCAGACTGGTACTTGTTAGAAACAGACTTTGCCATGCCAGAGGGGCAAGGGCAGAAAGACCCATCCCCCTACACTCACACCTTCAGAGTCACTTGCACACTGATCTGGAGGCTCTCCAACAGCTGACCATCTGAATGCACAGCCTCGCCCGCTTGTCCAGCAGAGATTCTGGCTTCCATTTTCTCTCCTGGCCTGAGCACCTCCAAGCTGCATCCTCGTGTCCCCATGCTGCAGGCCGTGTCCTGTCACCAGCATGGCCTCACCCTCTCAGAGCCTGTCATGTCAGGCACTAGCTGCAGGAGTCAGCACCTGTCCTGCAGCCTCTTCCTTCCTGAGAAGTCTGTCTCAGGGCCAGAAAGGTCTCCCACAAAGGAGGTCTTCCTAGCACAATCTTCTTGGCCTTGTCCACTGCCTTCAGACGTGGCCGCAGCGTAGGCACACCACCTGCAGAGAATCCCTCGGGACTTCCATCCCATGCACAGTGCCCCTATTTAGCCCCTCTCCGCAGCTGAGTGCTCGCTACCTCTCCCAGAATGTCTCCTTCCTGTCCACTCTAGCCAACACCTATCTAGGAGCAGTCCTGTGGGGAGCCGGGGGTGATCTGTGTCTGCCAATGTCTTCCTTCCATAGCCTCATGGCCTCATCTCTTGCTAGCTCTAGAGTCTCCCAGATCCCTAAGCCCTTCAGCTCCTCAGAACACAAACACCTACCAGCTTCTGCCATGGTGGGGGAGGAAGACTTGAGGAGAATGTTAGGGAGCCCTAGTCTCACCTGGAGCCAGTTCCACAACTTCTCACAGTCCCCCGATCCAGTTGATGGGGACAGCCATGCTCCAGACCAGTTGCTACCTGCCAGGTCCCCTTTGCCAGGGGTGGCCTCAGTTTTGTTATTTATTTCTGCCCCCTATGCTCCTAGGTACACCCTCCCCACTTTCAGGCTTCCATTCCATGGGGGCTGAGGATGACAACCTGCTCTGTGTTCTTCTTTTTTTTTTTTTTAATTTATACAAGCACTGGGTACAGTCAGAAGCACGGGAGGGTGAGAGAATTCACCAGAGCCAGAGTGGGGAACAGAACAGGCAGACTGACGAAGTACACTGCTGAGGGGAGCAGTGGGTGCGGCAGGAGAGGTCTGTGCGCCATGTGGGACCCTCGCTGGTGGCCGGGGATTGAATTGGCGCTGCAGAGGTTGCCAGCAACTTCGCAGCCCGGTGATTAACTGCTGTGCCACGAGGGGAGGCCCTGCCCTGTGTTCTTTTTGCTTCCTTTAGTTTTAAGAAGACTTGGGGCTGTGGGCTGGAGAGGAAGGCCAATGAGCAGGCTGCCTACGAGCTGCTGCAGGAGGAGTACAGGAAGCTGGGGCCCTTGTCCTTTGCTGAGTTAAACGTCCTGCTCTGCTTCCTCCTGCTGGTGAGCCTGTGGTTCTCCCGGGACCCCGGCTTCATGCCCGGCTGGCTGTCGCTCCTCAGTGCCGAGGACGAGAAGACCAGGTAAGTGGCAGGAAACGCACCCTTATTCAGCGCTTGTTGGTTTCACGGTCATTGTTTTTCTTGCCAATCTTCATGACAAGCCCGTAGGGGTGTTCCTTGGCCCCTCCTGCCCCAATAGGCCACAGAAAAGAAGTGGTTGGGCAGGGTGGCGGGGCTGTAATAGACTTGTTGGGTGGGCTAGAAATGGGGCACCCAGAGCTCTGGGTTCCAAATCTGCTCTGCCATCTTCCTTTCTTGTTTTTCTTCAGACCTGGGTGAATCTCTCTAAAGACACACATCTAGGAGTCCAGAAGCTTCTTTAGACAGAGACTGGACACACGGGGTATATTGTTATGTGGCCAGAATGGGAGAAAAGTAGGGAGACTAGATCTTATAAGACCAGAATAGGGAGCCAGGTGCCCATTAGTGTTTATTCCACTTGGAAGGTCTTTGTGGGTCAGACTCCAAAGTTCTTGTGGACAGCTGGTGAACCCAGAATTTGAGGTCACCAGATTTACCCATAGAGCAGTGCAGGCAGAGAGCAGTGAGCTGTTCAGGGTGCAGAGCCAGGTCACGAATGAGGGTGTCTTGGTTCCCAGGCAGGATTCAGTCTGCCCACCACCCTGACTGACCTTGGGCTTTGGGGCTCCTGTTCTTATACTCAGTCAAGTCTGTCTCTTCGTGTAGGAGCACCCACAGCCAGGAACACTCACAGCCAGGACTGCCGAGTCAGATTGGCTCAGTGGCAGCCACGGCAGCGTGCTGGGCTGAACTCCCATGTGCTCCTCCCTACCTAGGTACATCTCTGACGCCACCGTAGCCATCTTTGTGGCCATCTTGCTCTTCATCGTGCCTTCCGAGAAGCCCAAGTTCAACTTCTGCAGTCAGACTGAGGAAGGTAAGACCCATGCTGGCCCCTTCCTACTGTTGGGGTCCTGGCAGCTGTGGATGTCTGTGAAATTCCCTGGGCCCAGGAGAGAGAAAACCCCACTCTTGAAAAGAGGACCAGCTGGATTATAGACAGCTGGGGAGAGGGCATTTGTCAAACCTTCCCTGGGTGAGCTAAAGCTCTTTTTCTTCTCAAATACTTGAAATCCGATTTCTATTCCAACAGGAGTAGAAAGGTGTTCCAGATTTCCCAGAGTGACTTCAGTTTTTTTTTCCCTCTTTCTCCCCATCTTTGTATGCATACATATTACTTAGCTGACATCAACACAGACACAATTTTAATCCTGTGTCTTTATTTCTGCTTTTGCTGGGGTTATACTACAAACATTTTTCGCTCTTGTCTCAGACTTCACATTTATTCCCTGTTAACTGCATGCTACTGCATCTGAGGGGCAGTGAGAATTCTCCTGTTATGGAACATTCTGTTTCAAATTTTTGACTATTATAAATTACCATTTTCCTGTCTGTAGCTTTGTCTTTCAGAGTGTTTCTTCTTTACAATAAGTTTCCAGGAATCAAGTTGCTGGGGGCAAAAGAATATAGATGTCTTAATGACTCTTACACCTTCCTCCCCACTGCTTTTCACAAGACTGTACCCCATACCGTGCTGCTGGGCGTGTACAATAGCTGCACCATATCCTCACCCGCCAGGGGTGGGGTCATTATTGTGAAGAGTAGCTGATTTCAGACCATTGTCCTCATAGGCTTCTATTGATATCTCTTGTTAATTAATGCTGCTGGGGGGGGGTGGTGGTGTTGTTCCATTGTTCTTCTCAGAAAGGAAAACTCCATTTTATCCCCCGCCACTGCTGAACTGGAAGGTGGTCCAGGAGAAAGTGCCCTGGGGTATCGTGCTGCTCCTGGGGGGCGGATTTGCTGTGGCTAAAGGATGCGAGGTAACTTCAGCTGTGGCGGCCTAGGGCCGCCTTTTGCACCAACGAGGTGCTAAAGAACTGCTGTGTCCCCTGTGCCCCTGGCTGCACCTGGATGCTTTCCTGTCTCCCCCACATCACTGCATGCTCTTGAGGATAGGGACCCTCTTGTCATCTAGGAGCCCTGTGCTGTGGCCTGTGCCTGGAGTAGAGAAGGTGACTTCTCTCTCTGTGACGGCAGAAGTGAGTGAATAAGTGACCCTGGTTAGCCAAGAGGAGCAGAGGTGCTGGGAGGTCTCCTTTGGCATTTGGTAATGTTGATCTCTCCTTGCTTGATTTATTCTAGGGAAATCTTTGTCTTAAGTCTTATAAATATTCTCACTATTAGTTTTGGTTCTTCTACCTACTGAACATTTTACTAATATGGTTGCCATTATGAAGGAAAACACCCCCAAAATGTCATTTTCTTGCCCCCACCCTTTTCTTCCTAAGGAAGAAATGAGCCAGAGGGAGAGGTAAACCAGACTGGTCCTACTATATTCCATCCATCCATCCATCCATCCATCCATCCATTCATCCATTCATCTCCACCCTCCACCCATCCCTCCACCCCTCCATCCCAGAATAGAAGGCAACGTGTAAACTTGGTCTCTCTTATGGCTGCTCCCTCAGCATCTAGACTATAGCCTGGCACCTAGTGGTGCTTGGATATTTTTGGATGAACAAAGGCATCCATCTAGTCACCTCTCTCTTCAGTCATCTAGTCATCCATCCCTCCCTTTATCTCTCCACTGTTCATTCATTTATTTATCAAACATTCCTATTTTGCCAGTATCAGGCCAGGCATGGAGGTTCAAGAGGAGATGGAGATATAGCCCCCATTCTTGAGGACTTCAAAGTCTATAAAGGGGGCCATATCTGGAAGGGCATTTTAGGAAGAAGTGACACAGGAGTTAAGGAATCAGCATGTGATGTCCTGCTGAGGAACAGCAAAAGATGGGGCTGGTGAGGCTGGCAGAAGCCACTTCACCGAGGGTCTTTAATTCAAGTTAGGAAGTGAACAGCTACTGAAGTGTTGAGGTCAGAGAGTGACTTGGTTGGATCTGTACTTGAGAACAATCACTCTGATGTCTGGAGTGGAGGCCTGGGCAGGGTAGGGGCTGGGAGAGGCCCAGTAGACACTCTAAGTTCTTCATCTAACTCAATCTCAGTGCACTATGTCCATGGGGCCTCCTCTCCTTTTTTTTTTTTTTAAGATTTATTTATTTATTTAACAAGATTCAGGGTATAGACCAGATGCATGGGAGAGTGAGAGAATTCACTAGAGACAGAGCGGGGAACAGAACAGGCAGACTGAGGAAATACACTGCTGAGGGGAGCAGCGGGCGCGACAGGAGAGGTCCACCCCGCCATGTGGGACCCTCGCAGGCGGCCGGGATCGAACCCGCGCTGCAGAGGCTGCGTGGCGCTCAACCGCCTGCGCCACCAGGGGAGGCCCCGGTATTTTTCTTTTTCTTTCTGGCTTATTTTGCTGAGCATGATCCCTTCCAGCTTCATCCATATTTTGGAGATGGTATATTGAGTATGGAGACTAAAATTGTGGCATGGATGAGGTCACCTATGGAACATATACAGAGACATAATCAGAAGTGGAGGGGTGGTTGAGCTCCTGGAGAAAGATGAGGGTGCCTTTTGGCACAGGCTTAAGTATAAACGAGCAGCCTTGCATTAACTCCCTCCCTGTGCTTCCCAGGCCTCAGGGCTGTCTGAATGGATGGGGAAGCAGATGGAGCCTTTGCGCACCATGTCGCCGGCAGTCATCACCTTGATCTTGTCCTTGCTCATTGCTGTGTTCACAGAGTGCACCAGCAATGTGGCCACTGCCACCCTGTTCCTGCCCATCTTTGCTTCCATGGTAAGTAACCCTGCTGGGCTGAGGGGCTGACCCTCAACCATTATTTCATAGAGCATGTGGACTATAAGCATGTCCTGAGTCCCTAGAGAGGCAGCAAAATCAAGGGCCAGAGTCTGGCCAGGTTTTGGAGACATGATTCTGGCCCAGGTTCTGACAGACTCTTGTGCCCTTCAGGACTCTGGGCCTGCCCTCAAGGTGTTTCTCATTCATCTTTGTGTTCTCCATGCTGACCAAAGTGCTAAGCCCCAACCAGGTGCTTAGAATGGGCTGACTTACAAATGTAATTGATTATTTCTCCAGTGGGGGAGACAGGATGTACCTAGGAGGAGTGGGCCAGTGCCAGGGCAGAGTGCTAGCGGCTCTCTGAGTACGTAGCATGGGTGTACAGGAGGACAGCAGAGCAGGGAGCATCACTGGCTGGGACCCACTGGGAAGAGGTGTTGGGTAAGGTAGGACTTGGGAGTTGTGGGAGGGGAGATGTTCTGAGAAGATGGTAGCCCAAGTAAAGGAAATGGGGGGCATAATCGAAGACTGCCAGAAACCAGAGGCCAGGCACCTGTGAGAACTGAGCCCAGAGAGGTAGTGAGTGGTGATGGTGGAGGGGGCTGCAGCATGCTGGGCTAAAAAGTTTTTGCCTGGACATGCATGCTTTGGAGTTGGAGTTGAGAAGAAAGTGGAGCTAATAAGAAAACCAGCGTAATCTTTCCCTTTCTTGCATATCCTTCTGTCACTCCATATGGCAGCACCAACCTCAGGCTGGTACAGAAATTGTCTAGGCTTAGAGTTAGAAGACCTGTGTTTACATTTATTTGATCCCCCAACATGTCACCCAAGTTCTTTCTTCCTGGACTTGGGCTGAGTGTCCACTAAGATGAGAGCTATGAAAATCCTCGGTAGACAGCAAAACAAACCTGAGAGAGGCCGGTGTGGTCATTGTGGGGTTGGGAGATAGAATTACAAAGGTCTGAACGCAGGATTGCAGTTGGTACATTTCCACTTGCTGCCTGGTTGTCCACGTGGAGAAAAAGCAAAGTGGATTTCTCCTACCATCCAAGAGAAGTGACAGCATTAAAAATAGCGAGGCAGGCCCGTCTTCCCTCCCCCAAGCAGGCTGCCCACACAGATGCCAAGGAGAATCTTTTGATGCAGGGCATGCGGTGGTGGCCTCTACTTCCCTAGTAGGAAGCTTTGTTACCTCCAGTCCCAGCACAGCCCCCGGGGCTCCAAGCAGGACCTTCACCCAAGCAGGTCATCAGGCCCTTTGAAAACATTTCTAGAACCAGAAGCCCCAAGTAGGATTGCCTGTAGTTACTTCCAAGGGTCCCTTGCTGGCAGGAAAGGGAAAGGGGTGATCTTCTAGCCAGTTCACAGAGCACGTGGGTACATGGACCATGGGTACCCAAGGCCAGGACAAGTGGGGGAGCCACAGACAGATGGGGCCCCTGCCAGGGGCCGCTCAGGTGGCAGGAGCAATGTGATTTTGTGCAACCTTTTCAGACACCAGTTTACCAACAGGTGCCATAACTTGAAACCTGAAACCCTCTCACCCAGCAATTTCATGTCCAGGACTATATCGCAGGACAATAGTCAGAGATGCCTACAAGCATTATAAAGATGAGCATCACAGAATTAATTATAAAATTATTTCCATAAGAGTAGGGCAGAATAAGTTACATATATCCACACAATGCAATGCTGTCAAGCCATTAAAAAATTAGTTTTGAAGGATATTTAATAAAATGGAAATATGTGCAATTTTAAAGTTGAAAATGTAATTCATACACATGGCTAAGAAATGTCTAATGATGCAAAACAGTATACAGGACTTATCCCTCTAGGCCTTCCCTAAGACAACTTCTGATAGGGATTTCTTAAGTATTCTGGATCTCTCTCTCTCTATTTTTTTAAAATTTATTTTTATTTATTTATGCATACAAGAACTCGGATATAGGCCAGAGGTGTAGGGGTGAGAGGATTCACCAGAGACAGAGGAGTGGGGAGCAGAGCAGGTCAATTTACTGAAATACACTGCTGAGGGGAGCAGTGGGAAAGACAGGGGAGGTCTGCTGCTCCACGTGGGTTTGTTCCCTGGCTGGAGATCGAACTTGTGCTGCAGTGGCTTGTGATTGCTTGATGGTGCTATGACTTAATCCCTTGCTGCACCAGGGAGGCCCCCTTCTCTCTCTCTTTAAATGAATGGTCTCATTCTCTGTCCTGTTCTTTATCTTAATTTTTTCTTTATCTAACCATAAATCTTGGAGAGCTTTCCATGTTAGCACATGAAACCTGCCCAGTTCTCTACAGCTATGAACATTCCATTGTTTGCATAAACGTAATTTATTGAACCCTTCTGCTATTGATAGCTGTTGAGTCTGTTTCCTGGGTGTTGTTGCTGTTATAATGTTGCAGTGAGCATCTTGAGGACACATACCTGTCCTCATGTGCATGTATATCAGCATGACAGATGATTAATTTTGATAGATATTGACAGATATTATGAATTACATTATAATAGCCTTCATTCAAGAAATATTTAATGAGTGTCTGTCTACTATGTGCTAGGTGCTGTTTTATGTGGCCGAATTTTAAGATGCAGAGTAAAAAAGGTGGATACCATTTCATATGCAAAATTCTCTCAGTTGTGTATAGAAACACAGACACATGTGGATGCATGCCCAGGCAAGAGGTGGTCCTCATCCTTTTCCATCTGTGCAGGACAGACAGACACCCCTGCACACAAGGGCTGCAGGAACACCACAGAATTCATTGCAGTCTTCATGCCCAGCCTGGTCTCTGGCACATTGTAGGTGCCCAAGAAACTAATGTTCAGTGAATTGAAGGGGTTTAGGAAAGCCTCCCAGGGCCTGAGTTCAGCCTCCTGCTGAGTCCACCAGTGTCATCGTCCAGGTTGAGAGAGTAGGGTAGTGGGCCAGGCAGGACAAGGGCGCAGGGGATGTACACGCATTAGGGAATACTTTCCAGAATTATGGTCCCCGGAGTTTTTGTTTTCCACTTCTGTGACCTTACTACGCTGTGTTTTGCCCCAGTCACGTTCCATTGGCCTCAACCCGCTGTACGTCATGCTCCCTTGTACCCTGAGTGCGTCCTTTGCCTTCATGTTGCCTGTGGCCACCCCACCTAACTCCATCGTGTTTGCCTATGGACATCTCAAGGTTTCTGACATGGTAACGCAGTCACTTTTATTTATTCCTACAGTTACTCACTGTTTTCGGGAGGGACGCCCCATTTTTAGTGACATGTGATGTCATGCAATTTGGGACTGTCATCCAACATCTAGATCACATTCATTATTTGCATTTATAAGCAGCCTTTTTTTTTTGAAGTGATATCAAGTTTTATAGACAATTCTGAATCCCAGAGGTGAGAGGCAGGTTATGGCCTGTCACCTACCTGGGGGAGTCGAGCCATCACCAGAAGAGCTCTTGAAAGGGGTGGGTGTGGGGGTTCCAGGTGGCCAAGATGGACTTGGAAGCAAGAACCATGAGGACAGTCAGGAGGGGCAAGGCTGAGATGAGGAAGCCATGTGCATGACAGCCAGAGATTTGTAGAGATGTTGGAGGGTTGGGGAAAGAGGGTGGATGAGGCCTTGGAAACAAAAGCCATGGAAAGAGAAACTCTAGGTCTGCTCTGGCTTTGTCACCTCTGAGGAGAAAGGGAGTGTACGAGGCGGGGAGGCCAGAAATGAAGCTCCCTACCTCAGCCCAGGCAGATGTCAGTCCTCTCATAGCCTCCTGGGCATCTTGGGGTCTCCATGGGGTACTCTCACAGAAAGTGGGTCCCTGAAGCCAGGGTGCAAGTGCAATGTCAATCTGCAGGAAAAAATATCTACAACAGGATTTTCAGTCAGTGGCTGATGGCATTTGGAAAGAACGTAGAGCAGGCATCAGTAAGAGCCACAGGTAGCACTCAGGAAGCCGCACGGGCTTGTGGGACCTGGTCAGAACCCCAACTCCCCAGTGGCTCCCTGGGTGGACTGGGCCTGTGGCCTCACATCGCCTCCCTGAGGCCCACTTTTCCAAATGCTCAGGTAGGCAGAGACCGCCCTCCCCCACCCTCCCCACGCCTGTCCTGCCTGTGTCACAGGGGTACCACTGCACCGTTGATACTTTCTGGACAGGAAGTTGCTTTGTTTGGGTGTGGGGTGGGCACAGAGCAGGGGCCAGCGTGGGTGGCCCAGTAAGGAGCCTGGGGCCACTTCTCCCCCAGCGCAAGTGCCCATTGTGCTGTTTGCCTTTGTTCTGACAACCCAGCAGGCTCCAGAGAACTGACTGACCCTGCTTTTTTCCTCCCCAGGTGAAAACAGGATTTATGATGAACATAATTGGAGTCTTCTGTGTGTTTCTGGCAATCAACACCTGGGGACGGGTCATATTTGACTTGGATCATTTCCCTGCCTGGGCAAATATGACACATGTTGACACTTAAGAAGAGCCACAGGACCAGCCACACACCCCCTGTCCTCCCGAGAACTCCCGAACCTTCCGGCACACCTTGCAGCACATCTTTGGGCTTCACACCCCAAAGTGATCCAATGACGCCCCCACCCCATCGAGACCCAAATGGGCCACCTCTTCATCAGGGCCCCAGTGCAGAGGTGGGGATGGGCTCGGAGGCAAAGTGCCTCTCAGGAGGCTGCCACTGTCCAGTCCATCTTTCCAGGGTCCCTGCTGTCATGGCTGGGGTGGCCAGGCTCCCATTCAGCCTTGCACTGGCCCCACACTGGACCCTGCCATCCACCTGTGTAGCCCCAGGATCTTCTGGGTAGGACTCAGGGCCCCAGCTCTGGAGGTGAGAAAACACCTTCCAGAATCAATGCCTCTTTCAGCTTCCCTGGGCTGCCTTGGATCACTCTCCTGTCATCAGAAGGGGCCGACCCACCCCAGGGACAGTGTGTGGTCCTGGGCAGCTTCCTGCTGCAGGAGTGAAAGCAGGATGCGGAGTCTTGTAGGACTGCTGGGGAGTGTGGCTGGGGATATGGTTCCACAAAAAGGGCTGGGACCTGGAGTTGCTGATTCTGGAGGACGCCCCCACAGCACGCCATTGGCTTCCCTGCTCCCTCCTTCCCTCGCTCCATTCTAATGATAGTCTGACCCCTTTCCTAGTGCCTCCTTCAACTCCTCAGTCCCTTTGTTGTCTGGCCAACATTTGCTGGAATCCACGGGCTGGGGTGCTCCAGCACCCCTCTTTTTCTGGAGTTCAGTTGGCCCTCTGGGAGCCACCCCTACACAACTGGAACGGCGCTCCAAGTACTAGCAGTGATGGCTCTTTGGGGACGACAGAGGAGTGTCTATCTCCTTCCTCTCCTGCAGGCTCAGTGGACACGGCACCGTTACTTCAGAGTCTGTCAGCCGCCCCCTTGGTGACTGGTCTTCACAGCAATGCCCAGGGGTGACCGAGCATCACTGAGCAGATAGCCCCTGCCCCTGAGCCAATCTACCTGAAGTTACTGGGCACAGTCCAGCAAGAGTGTGGAGCCCTCAGGACCCCTGTGAGGGAGATATGAGGGACACACACCCCCTTCCTCTTGGAACCTATTTTGTTTCCTTGTGCTGTCCTGGGAAAGAGGCAGAGGCAAATATATGAGGACCATCAGGGGCATTCCTCAGGGCAGGAGAAAGCATGAGAACCCAAGGAAACTGTTCAAGGATCAACCAGAACCTGGCTTCTCGGGCGGGGTGATTCCTGGCCAAACCTGCTGCCCTGGGAAGGCACGCCATGCTCTCTGTGGTGTTAGGGGTGTAGGGGCGGGGGATGGAGCACTCACGCCCACCTCCTGTGTGCAGGCCTCCCTGTGTGGCACACCCACTGGCTCCTCCTTCCACCTCTGCAGCCCCCTGTGAGAAGGCAGGTGTGAATCTCCTCCTTTGTCTTTGAGAATACTGGGGCTCAGACAGGTCAAGTCACACGTCCAAAGTCATACTTCAGGTTCACGCAGTGAAGGTTCCAATCCAGATCTTCCACCTCCACGGCCACTTCTCCATAAGGGTCTTGTTTTTATGGGGACTGTAGGGAAAGATGGGTGACCAAGAACAAATCCACCCCAAGACCCTGACTGGTCAGGGAAGGTCAGGGGACCAGAGCCCCCTTCTGCCTCCCTTGAGGGCTCAGGACAGTGAGCTTTTGGTTGGAGAGAGCAATATGAAATGGCCACCTGCCCCCATGAGATAAAACCCACCCCTCCATTGCTGCTCTCCAAGCTGCTGCTGTTGACATGTCTGGCCCAGCTGTGCGAGGGCTCTCTGAGGACTTGTACTTCCTGCTCAGTCTGGTGCAGGCCGCCACAGTGTGATTGGTAAATAAACACTTGATGAGCAGTCAATTAGATGTACACTTCTGGTAGCAGCCAAGGTCAGTGGAGGTCATCGAAGGTGGGCCTCGAAGGATACATGGGACCAGGGAGACTAGTGGCAGAGGGTGAATGGGTGGGGTCCTCCACCAGACTCCACTTGTTTAAGCTCTGACAGGAAGGCTGGGTGGGGCTTCAGGAGAGTAAATCCCAAGGCTTCGGAGGCAAACCAAAGCTGTTTGTAAACTTCAAGCTGACAGGAGTGGCACTACCATGGCTGGTGCCCATTAGGAATGCTTTTGGGTGCAAGTGAGAGAACCCCCAGCTAACAGAGGCTTAAACCATAAGGCCATTTACTGTTCCCTGAGTGGGAAGTCTGGAGGGAGACAGTCATGGACACTGGTTCAGCCTTTCACTGAGGTCACCTGGACTCTGGCTCTAGTCCTCTCTGCCATGCTAAGAGTAACCTGCCTTTATTACCCTCATGCCACACACACAACTGCATTTAGAGCAGGGGCACAATGATGCCAATTGCATGTTTCCCTATCGGAAAGCAAGTCCACCTCAGAAAGCCCTACAGGTTTCACGTTATGTCTTATTAGCCAGAACTAGGTTATATGCTTGCTCACACTGCCAATCACCAACAAAGGGAAATTAGAATAGCACGAGTAATTAGGACTCATCTCTTGGACTTGGGGAATTGCCTGTTTCCTGAAATCAAGAGGTTTCCCCCCATTGCAAAATCTAGCTTCTAGTAGAAAAAAAAGATGGGGGGACTGTTGGGTAGGTGGCAAGTAGGGTCTGGTATTACCATTCTTTGAGAAGGCTGCCCTCACTCCAGGGTACTTGAATGGCTCCCTTTCCATGGAATTCAATAGAAACATGCTTTTAGGTAGGAGGAGTGTGGCTTGGTCAAGCACTTCAGCTCTGCCTCCACTTCACAAAGGCCTGGACTCCTCCAGACCCACTGGATTGGGAGGCTAGCAGCTGAGTCACAGACTGAGCTTGGTCCATGCTCCACTAATTGGTGTACAATTTGGGCCTTGGTTTCTGTCAGGAAGGGGCTGGACTAGAGGATCTAAGGGCATTTCCCCAGAAACATGTGTCCCTTTACTGACCCCCACTGACCTCCAATATGTTTGGACTAGATGAAGTCCTCACAAGTCCTCATGTTTTTGCAGCTTGGAGTCTATCACATGGCCCACTCCTACCCTGTCTGGACCTTAGCCATTTGCCAAAGTGCCTTTCCACCACTCAAATCTTCCTCTAACAAGTTGTAAAGAGAATCTACCCCAAACCTTTCAGTTCTCCCTTCTTGGCATCTGAAACAGAGATCTGGGCCCAAGGTTTGCTGAACACATACTCTGCCCGGGATCATGCTGATTTTTTCTCAGGACTTAAGACTTCACAGGCTTCCAAAGGTCGGGCCCCCTACCGTCTGGTCTCAGAATTAGGATCTCAGGTGGGTGGGCCACAGTTCTCCTTCCCTGTCCCTTGGAGTCAAGAATTCCCTTGGGAGAGACCTGGTGGGTGCAGTGAGCAGGGCCTCTCTGGGGACCAGTGAAGTCTTCTCCCCATCATCCCTCACACACGAATGAAAATAAAGGATAGTGAGACTTGCTCGATCACAAGCAGGAAGTCAGTTCACCAGCAGAGTCCACTTTTCACAACGAATATGGACATTTTGGGGTGAGACCCTTCATGGCCTGTTCTTATTTGAGGAAATAAGGACCAAAGGCTGGATTCTCTGATTCAAAACTGCAGCTGGCAGTCCTATTCCTGCTCAGAACTCCTTCCAGCTTCTCTCTGTCTCCCAAACAAACAGGGCAGCTCATTAAAAAAAAAAGTTTCATCAAGATAAATTTTCCACACCATGGAATGGGTTTTTACATTCTTCAACATAGTGTAAACAGGATTCTTACCATTTCAGGCTGAGAGTCTTGACATCAGATATTTAGTTGATTTCACTTGGCGTCCTGGGCTAGGACTTGGGTTCTCACCTCCCTGCCCTGGGCGTGTCTTCCAGATGTTTCCCTGATCTACAAGTCAAGATGCCCATTTCTATCCTCAGAGACACAGACGCCCTCCACGGGCAGTTTTAGAGCACCGTTTATCTCCCTGCTTTAGCTATGAAGGCTCAAGAAATATTAAAATTCAACCTCAGAACACCCTGGTATCCAATCAAAACATTCTAACTAGTTTTATGTTAAAATTTAATATGTACACAGTGAAAGAAATTCCAACAGTACAAACCTTGAGAGCCCTCATCCCCCGTTTCTGCACTCCAGAAGGGCAACCGATGAATGATTTCCTACGTATCCTCCCAGAAATATTACGTATATCCAAGCTTATGTAATCGCTCCTCTTTTTACTTATGGGAGAAGATTACACCTCTGTCCTTATTTCCACTCTCTGCCCCCCACCTACCAATTTATTTGGGGATCATTCCACATCAGGACATAATTTGGCCAGTTTTCTTTCCCACTCAATAGAAACTTTGTTTTGAAAAATTATATTCGGTGAAAGGCACAGATCCTAAGTGCACAATTTCAGATTCTGCATATAGAATGCGAGCAACCCTCCATTTCCGTCTCTTTCCCTCCCCACCCCAGAAAGTTCTCCATTCTCTTCTCTGAGTAACCATGCATCTTCTCTGAGTAACCACTGTTGATTTCTGTTGCATTGGGTTTGTTTTGCCTGTTGAACTTTCAAGGAGTGGGATCATGCAGCACATATTATTTTGGGTCTGATACCTTTTACTTAACAAAATACTTTTGAAATTCATTCCTGTTGTGTGTATCCAATGATTTCTTTTATTATTGTTGCAAAGTGGTGTTGCATTACTTTGTGATGGAATCTGCCGAAATTTGTTTATTCTCTCTTGATGGACATTTGGGTTGTTCCCATTGGGGGCTCTGATGCATAAAGCTAATACAAAATTCTCTGTGCAAGTCTTTTTGTTTTGGACATATGCTTTCATTTCTACTAGATGTGTGCCTAGGAGTAAACCTCAGTCTTTTGAGAGCTTGTTTGGAGGTTCTAGTAGGGGAGCACAGCTACTCCTATACCCTCGATCCACGACCGGTCCGTCTCTATTCCGGGAAGTCTTTCCTCTTTGACCGAGCGCGCAGCTTCGGGAGGGACACACAGGGAGCAGTGAGGGAGGAAGGGACACCCGCCTAGCCAGCCAGAGCAGCCGAATCAACCCTGGCGATCAATGGGGTGACAGATGTCGCAGCCAGATCACCCTCACATCCGACCTCAGTCTTTTGAAAGGCTGCGTCAACTCTATGTGAATGTACACCAAATAATGAACAAGTTCCCTCTTAATGGGCACTGAGGTCATTTCAGTCTGATGCAAATATTGTAACAAACATACTTCCGCTTACATCTTTGTGAACGTGTGTGAGAATACGTTCCCGGAATGACGTGTGCTGGATGAAGGGGTATTATACTTAAGTCTGGAACAGCTATTTCCAAACTGCTTTTCAAAGAGACTGCGTCAATATATAGTCTCAAGAACTGAGCATGAGACCTTACTCTCACACACCCTTGGCAACTCTCTGTATAATCAGATCTCAGTTTTCACTAATCTAATAATTGAATCATGCTATTTCCTGATTTTCATTTTATTTTCTTTAAATTGCAAGCAATGTTGAACTTCCCCCCACATATTTATAACACATTTGGGTATCTTTTTTTGGCGGTATATTCTATTTTTCCCATTTTCAAAAAAGGAAAAAAAATTCCTTTTTATTTGTAAGAACTCTTTATATATTAAGAAAATTATTTGTCTTTCATAGGAATATTTATAGTACATGTTAGAGCTGCTGAAGGTAGTTACTCTATTTAGTCTTCTTTAAAATTTTCCCTCCTAACTATTCACACGTTTTTTATAAGAATTTCTGAATCAGCTTCTTTTGTTCCCAAAAAGCCCCTGGTTTACTTCTCTGGCTATCTCTCCTACTGCTTTCCTCCCTCTCCAGGGTTCATTGACCTCAGCACTAATGGCATTTTGGAACGAGAACTTCTTTGTTGTAGGGAGATGTTCCCTGTAAGGTGGGATATTCTATTCAGCAGCATTTTGGTTGCTATTCACCAGCTGCCAAAGGCACACCCCCTCACCTCCAGTTATAACAGGTGTTGCCAAATGTTGGGAGCCACTGACTCCCTCTGAGCCAGCTGCACTGGTCTCCTTCAAGCTCACAGAGTTTTGCAAAGGGCAGTCCTGCTCTCTCACCTTCAAATCTCTGCTCAAAGGCTACTTATCACCTATTTCAAAGCATAATGTCCCCACCTGCTCCCACTCTCTGCACTGTCCTTTGTTTTTTCCATTGCATCTTCCATCTTCTAATACACTATATAATTTACTTCTGCAGTGCTGTATTTTGCCTGTCTCTTCCGCATCTTGGAGAATGCGAGACCCACAAGGATGGGGATTTTTGTTGATATTGTTTGCTCCTGTTTCTCCTGTCCTACAACACACCTGGCACATGGAAGTCAGCAAGGCGTGGATGAATGACTGAATCGGAGTAGATCTGTAGATTAGGCTGGGGAGAAATGACATTGCAGTAACATTGATTATCCTATAAAGCAAAATGGCTTTTCCATATAATGAAAGTTTCCTTTTATGTCTTCCTGGAAAGTCTAAAAGTTTCTTACGAATGAGAATTCTCAATGCTGTTTGTAGAGAACATTTGCTCTTCTCTGCTTGAGATCAACTGCCTGACTCATGGCTTTGGGGGAGCAGGTTATGAGTGAACAGAGTGACCCTGGGTCTTCGGTGACATCTGGAGGCCCTCACTGTCCCTCTCCGCTTTCACCCAGGCAGAGCTCTTTCTCAGTCTCTCAGAAGGGCCACTGCATTGACTGGTGGTGCTTCCTGGCCATCTGTGGGCCCCAGCCAAGAGACATGGGAGGGACGCTGCTCAGAGATCGAGGGTTGATCTCTGACTTCTCCGGCCGGCAGGTGTTAGATGGCAGAGGGGGAACTTGCCTCTCCCGGCCAGTTCCCTCGCCTAACAGGAGGGGCCTGCACCTGGGGCCCTGTGCTCCCAAGGATTCCTGCACTGTTCTGTGGAACAGGGGTTTTGGAGAAGATACTTTTCCCAGTAAGCTTCTGCGAGGACAGAGAAAGAGGGGTCTTCCTTCCCCTCCTCTGCATCCCCAGCTCCTTCTAGGTTGGCCCTGCTCCGCACCTCACACTGCACCCTGCCCAGGCCTGTGGTGTGGGAGTGGGGCAATCAGAGGCCCACTTGAGCTCTGGACCTTCCTCCTGGATGTGGTGAAGGCACCTGTGAAATGGGTGCAATCATCCAAGGTTCCGAGACCTCTGAAGTGGCACATGGGGGCACTTGCTCAAGGGTCTGGTTCTCCCCAGGGCCTCCTTTTCTGCAGGGCCTAGAGCCCATCAGGACAATGTGAGCCTCAGGTCCACCCAAAGTCACCCTGGCTGAGCCTGAGGCAGCCTCCAGATGGGTCTGAAGTGGGATCTGGTGCCATCGCCAGCAGGCGTAAGACCTTCAGAAGCAGTAAGCTACTAAAAGATTATGGGGCTCTCCTTCTTGGGGTAGTCATATAAAACAAGGTGGTGCTTCTGAGGCCAACTGACTATTGGCATATAAGGTGCTGTGTGACCTCTTGCCCATCATGGCCCCCCTCCGGCCTTGCACTGTGCCTGGGACATCCCTGCGGGAGGCCTGGTGGGCAGTCCTGCAGCTGGTAGGGAGGCCAGGGGCAGGCGCCTGCCTGCTGTGGGGCTGCGGTAGTGTCCCGTGGTTCACCACTTCACATTTATAGCTACAGTGCTTCTCAGCTTACTGTCCCTGTGGTGGGAGGCCTGGCTCTCTGGAAACCACAGCTGTGGTTACTTGGGTGTCTGACTGAATGCTGAGCTGTGAAGGAGGCTCAGAAGTTTCCTAGGACATGGGGCCCAGCACCCTCTCGAGCCTGCCCTGGTCTTAGAACAAGGGTTGGTGCTAGAGGGAGCTGACAGTTTACTGAGGAACCTTGGTACCCATCCCTAAATTGGTCCCCTGTGAGGGACAGAAACCTTGCTGGATTGTGGGTGCTTCCTAGGCCCTAATGGGGCTCTGGGATAAGGGGTCATATGGAGGAGGTTAGAGAAAGACTTGAGGCTAGAGAAGGGCAAGAGCCGGGTGACAAAGGACCTCTTACCCCCCTGGTACTATGGTCAGTGCTGTTTTAGATTTATTTATTTATGCATACAAGAACTGGGGTACAGGCCAGTGGTGGGGGGGTTGTGAGAGCATTCACCAGAGACAGAGTGAGGAACAGAACAGGCAGACTGACTGAAATACACTGCTGAGGGGAGCAGCAGGCGAGGCAGGAGAGGTCTGCTGCGTCATGTGGGTAGCTCCCTGGCAGGGGATTGATCTCATGCTGTAGTGGCCGTGGATAGCTTGATAGTGCTGTGTCTTAACCCCTTGCCCCACCGGGAAGGCCCCGGTCAGTGCTGTTTTTACAGCCACTGAGATAGAACCAGCTCTTCGTCCACTGCAGTGGCCAAGGTGGGCCCAGCTGGCCGCTCACAGGACCTGGGCTAGGTTGCTGGCGCTTGTGCCCTAGTGAGCACTCAGGAAGCACAGAGCTGCTGCTTTCCAGGCAGAATGTCTTTCCCTGCTGGGTGTCATAGGTGGTCTCACTGCTGGAGGGGCCAGTCCTGTCCTTTCCCTGGCCTGGGTGTGACTCCAGCAAGCCAGTGAGGGTCTGGGGCTGGCCCAGGTTAGGCTAGCTACAGATGGAGTCCTGTCGGCTGTGCACCCCCGTGACTCTACCTTGCTCTGCTTCAGTTAATAGGCCACCCAGTGTCAGCCTGACTCCCTGCCCTGGCTCTCCTCACCCCAGGTCCTAATAACCTGACTCTGGCCTGCTGCTCCTCCAACTCTGGGATTTGATGGGCAGGTCGGTGGTGGGGAGGGAGGGAGTCTGGGGCCAGGCATGAGACAAGCCCCTGGGGTGTCTGGAATCTCACACCCTGCAATCGAAGGAAACCCCAGAGAGCAAACAGGGAGTGGAGTGGCAGGTAGGGCCATGATTACCAGATGGGTGTGGAGAGACCCACGGGAGGGCCAGCCCACCTTGGGGAGGGGAGCAGGAAGGCAGCTGCCTAAAAATGGAGCTGATTTTCATATAAATAGAACACCTATTGGGTGTGTTTCTTTTTTTAAAGTTATTTTATTTCCCTGTTCCTTTCCTTAGCAAACATCGTTGGCATGCCAGCCCACGGTGGTTTCAGCCTGGAGACATGGGGCAGCTGGCTGGCTCAGGTCACGGTGACTTTAATCTGGGTCTCTGAAACACAGAATAATTCAATCCAACCTTTACTGACCCCGGCCAGATGCCTGTTCTGAGAGATGGGGTCACAGAGAAGAATCAGTTTCTGTCCCTGCCCTGGAGGTTGTTTCTAAGTTACAACCACCCTACAGAGAATAGAAGAAGGGAGAGGGTTACCTTATCTGTGTGATTCAGGACTGGCATCCCAGGATCTATTCTAAGGACGAGCGGGAGGCTTCAGACTCTTCTTTGGTCTTGCAACAAACAGTTACGAAGCACCTACAATGGGCCAGGTATCAAAATAGTGACAGACAGGACACAGTCTGCCCTGAGTTTAGTAGGAGACAGTTCTATGAAGAGTGAAGACGTAATGTCTTTAAATGTTAAGATAGAAGTGTAAGATGCGGAGGAGGCTTGAGGAGGCTGGAAGAGGGAACTTCTAAGAGCAGAAGAGAGAGCTGGAATCCGAGTGGGAGCAGGCATACTTGTCCTGGGGCTTAGTGGAGGCAGGGGGCCTGTGTGCAGCAGGGAAGTTGAGCTAAGAGATCCGGATTGGGATTCTTTAGGCCCAAGTGCTTAGCAAGTTGCCCAAGGGCATGTGCCCACCTAGCAGTGCCAGGAGCGGGACTGGTGGTGTCTGGTCAGTTGCCTGTGGACAAGCTGTGTGGCGTGAGGGTGTTTGCAAACATCTTTCATGCGTGAGCTGGGTGGCCTCAAGGCCCGTGCTTCACCTCTCTGAGCTCCATGTCCTCATGCATAAAGTGGAAATTGTGATAATGTTAGTCACGCCTACTTGGCAGGGTGATGAGAGTAACTAATATACATGAAGGGCCTCAGATGATCACAGTCGTGTGGGTAATCAACAGATTAGAGCCGGTTGTCTCCCACACTGGCTGCCTGGGACAGGCCTGGGTGTGGGGTGCTGCTGGGAGGGCAGTGGTGCAGTGGTGCACCAGGTCTGTGAGTGGGGACCTGGTCCCACCCTCACTCTGTCAGGGGGGGTGAGTATTTGTGGGGGATGGTAAGTGGATGGATCCCAGGATGGAGAGGAGCTATTTTCTACTGCATGGGGAGGAGTTGGGGGGAGGCTGCTTAGTCTCAGGGACCCCTGTGTGTGAGACTGCCTCCTTTTTCTTTTTCTCCTCTGAAGTAGACCCCACTGGGCCATTCCAATCTATGACAGCTGTGCCCAAAAGCCAGGCCTTATCCCGTCTAAGTCCATAACCCAATCAGGGTCAGGGAGAGAGCAGGAATCAGCATGTAGAGGCTCCGAGGCTGGCCTGCTTGAGGATGGCACTCCCCTCTGCTCTACTCTCCAGGCCCCCAGCTCCGGCCTGAGGCTCAGACTGGCCAAAATGAAGTATCCCAATTGCTCACGAGCATCAGTGGTCTTGTCCAAAGTCCCGTGCTGACTTGGCCTTTGTGCAGGCTGCCCTGGGAGGGGCTCCAACAAGACGGGCCTTGTGAAAGACCCGTTACCTGCCAGTACTTGGCATCCAAAATAGAATCTTGAGGAGCAGCAAAGCCTTTAATTCAATGTGTCCCAACAGCGGGTCGGTGTGGGGATAACTATGATCTGACTGGCCGTGAGCTATAATTATGGAGTCAGAATAAAAAATTACAGGCATTGTGTGGGCTTGTTTTAAATATAACGTAATCCATACCGTCCTCTCTCTTATTTGCTAGATTTGAGGTGGAGTCTTTGGCCGTTGGCACAGGTTTTGCCTGACGTGTTGCAGATAAAAATGGCCCTTGCCAGTGAAAAGGGCACAGTGGGAGGCCTCCGCGACCCCTAATGTTCTCGACTGGCCTGGGCCCACAGCCACGGGTGCTGGCATTCGCGTAGCCTCCCCCAGCCAGTCCACCAGAAGCAGCTCCGTAAAACACAGTCCAGATGCCCAAGAACACAGGAATGGCGCCTGGCAGAGGGTAACTCAAAACTCCAAATTCCTTCATGTCTTGGCCTTAAAGCCCTGCTCAGCAGCATGCTGGGAACAGCAGCTACAAAAGAGAGGTGACGTTCAAGAGCCCTGGGGTGTGACTGTGTCGATGCACATGGGGGCTCCACCTCTGTGGGGTGACTGAGTCACTAAGGAACTAAGGTTCCTTAATCTGTGTGCTTTAGCTTCTCCACTATTGTTGTAGGTTGTGAACTTGGGAGGAGATTACATTCTCTGACTCACCTATTCCCTGTTCCTCACCATCCTTCAGTTAACCTATTGAAAAAACGTAACAGACTGTCTTTCAATCTGGTTTTTTTTTTTAATGCTATTTCTTGGTATAGCTGACTGTATGTGGTGATTGGCATGTGCTAGTCCAAACTTTCTGGAAAGCAAAAGAGAAATACATGTGCAAAGTCTTAAAACACGTGTCTGCTATAGGAGTAGGATATAACCTGTGGGGAAAATCTGTGAATAAAGATTTATATTTGAAGATATTTTACTTTAGCGTGTTATGTTATACTCTTAAAAAGCTGAAAACATAAATGTCCAACATTTGGGTAACAGAAGTATTTATGGTATATCCATTCAAAAGCCTCTTAAGCAGTCATTAAAAGGGTTCATGAAGAATATTTCATTATATTGAAAATCTTTACCATGAAGTGAACAAAATGGATATAAAATCGAATATATGATCTCAGTGATAAAAAAACATATACAATAGAAAGTTGAGATAGATAGAAATATAACAGCAGTGACCTCCCTGGTGACACAAGGGGTTAAGAAACAACCTATAAAGCTGACTGCACCCACTGCACCATGAGTTCGATCCCCGGCCAGAGAACAACCCACATGGTGGAGCAGACCTCTCCTGACTCACCTGCTGCTCCCCTCAGCAGTGTATTTCAGTAGATCTGCCTGTTCTGTTCCCCACGCTGTCTCTGGTGAATCCTCATACCCCCCATACCTCTGGCCTGTACTCCTGTTCTTGTATGCATAAATAAATAAATCTTAAAAAAAAGAAATGTAACAGCAGTTATCTTATAGATTCCTATAAGTTGATCATTTATTATTTTCTGTATATCAAATATTTTAGAATGGACAAGCATTACTTGTATAAAAACAATTTTAAGAAGAGTTCAGTGTTAAAATGTTAAATAAAACAAGAGGGTAGAACTTGATGTCTGAATTCCCTTCTAGCTTTTAAGGATCTCTGATTCTAATGCACTGGGGCCACCCACAGGGCCTGAGCTGTGATGCAGAGACTGAAACTCTGAAGGTCCACCCTTCTCAGCAACAAGCAGTGACAAGGGAGGTCTGGTGTTGGAATCAGCAAGTGGCCAACCTGGGGGTTCACTATGTGCATCTGCCTTTCTAAAGGCAGATGGAGGTCAGCTGCCTTTCTAAAGGCTTTCTGAAAAGTGCCCTAAGTGCCCAAGAACCTTCAATGCCGCTGGCAGTGGGCAGGTCTCCAGCCCAACTCTGGAGTGCTGGCGGCCCCGTGCACCAGTGGGTCTCCCACCTGAGAGGTGAGCTCTGTCTGCTGCTGCAGACACGGCACCCACTGGAGCAGGGAGACAGGCTGAGCTGCTCTCCCTGCTATGGGCAGTTCTGCTGTCCACACATTTGGATGGTGGGGACCCCACTCACTGACTGTCAGATCCCCAACTGCCAGGACACACAGTCCCACCTGGTGAGCTGTCCTGAGGGTGGAGAGCCTGAACACTCACTGGAGGAGGTCACTGAGGGACAGCCTGGTCACCTCACCCATTTCTCAGGAGGTCAGCCTAAATGAGGACACCTGGAGAGATGAAGGGGGCCCTTATGAGCCCTGGCAGAAGGAAGGGCCCTGAGTTCAGCAAGGGGGAGGCCTTCAAGGCCAATGGCCCATGTCTGGCTCTAGCTGGCAGCTGTCAGCACTTGTCCAGGACCTCCAGGAGCCGCCGTGTGCCTGCCCAGTTAGAAACCACCGAGGAGTCAGGAGCTGAGACTCTGAGGCTGACAGACGTGGGGATAGGAAACAGAACACAGTGAGAGGCAGAGGTGGAGACACGGACTGAGAAACATATAGCAGCTGCGATGCAGGGCTGTGGGGGGCAGGAAGGCCATCGCCGAGGGGGGCTATGGAAGTTAGATGGGCAGCATCTAGAACACGCATGTTCTCGCTGTAATCAGAGATATGTAGATTGCAGTAGCCTAATGTGCCATTTTACACCTACTAAATTAGCAAACATTAACGAAATTATAACGTCTCACACTATTGAGACTGAAGGAAAACCAGCTTAAACACACTGCCAGGGGCTGTGTAAATTAGCACAGCATTTTAGGGAAGAAATTAGGCAATACGGCTCCAGAGTTATTAGAATCTTCATCCCTCTTAACGTGGTAATTCCACTCCTGGGAATGTGCTGCAAGGAAATAATTCAATAGAAAAGTAAAAGGCTGGCAGGTAAATGATGAAGGCAGTGCTGTGATATCTGACACGCTGTGCACGTTTCCTAGGGCAGAGACTATGAAGACTATGACATCTCAGGACGCTTAGGGTAGGTGCAAACAAGCAAAGATAAAAACCACCTGTAATGGAGATTAATAATGACGTGAAACAGCTGCGTGGATGCTGGGGCGGTCCCAGCCTTGCTGGCCCTTGACTCCTGGCTGGCCAGACATTCCTGTCTTCCCACCGAGCAACCTGCCCTGCCGCTCCCTGTCTGGACCTCTCCTAACCATGAAGCCTAATCCGCAGACCTCAGATTAGTGGGGAGACAGTCTCAGCCAGGATGCCCACCTGGTCGGCTTACTCCAGCAGCCCCGGGAGTCCAGGCGGTGCTGCTGAGTCACTCCCACGTCACACCTCAAGAATCCAAATCAGAACAGAAATGGTGGAGCTGGGTCCTTATTTAAGAAAAGGGATAAAGTGATTGTGCAGGCTCTGAAGCGTGTTGCTACTGCCAAGTGCAGCAATCCATTTAAGCCAGCTAAACTCTGGACTCCTAGTTGGATTATCAGGGGGTGAAAGCAATTTATAACATACTGATGGCAAAGGGAGAAGAAATCATGGGGTCACCCTCTCAACCTGCCCCAACAGTAGGCACTGATCTGATTCTCAGTTTGAATCATCCAGTCCTACGTCTTCCCTCAGCCCCTTGGGGCCATGGCAGAAGCTGGCACTGAGCGGGAACTCAGTAAATCTGGTGAATGAAAGAAGTTGAAAAGACCATGGAGTATATGAAGGAGTATGTGTCACCAAACAGTTCTGGTTTTATTCACAGCCTGTCTGCTTTCTGGCTGTGTCCCTAAATGTGCTCTGGAGTAGCTAAGCCCCCTGCACTTGCCCTGCTTACCGCCAGGGAATGCCCTGCCTCGCGAAGACAGAGAACATGGCCATGCCTGTGTCCACACAAACTAAACTTTGCTCACTTGGCAAGGTGGGGAGTCAGGGACAGGAGGCAGATGGGCCAGTTTTGGATGCTGTAAATAGAAGATGAATCTAGGCCACTGAGGACAGGTGTCCAGGCTATGTAGTCTGGTGCTCAGGAGAGATGCCTGGGCAGGAGGCGTCATCAACATTCGGGAAGTGGTTGCCATGGTGTAGGTGTGCAAAGTGAGAAAGAAGCCCGAGGAAATAATTCTGGGGACATTTGACACTGGTGGGGTTTGGAATGGAAGGAGAGGACATAGTGAAAGGAGAACATGGAAACCAATGGCGGAGAAATTTTTGAGGAGGGCATATTCCCTCGTGTCAAATGCTGCACTAGGGAGAATGGGGGTGAAGAGGCCACTGGATTAGACACTGGGTGCTTTCAAAGCCCCGAGACAAGAGTCCAAACTGGGGGTGGGGAATGCCAAGTGGCTGCAGCAATGCCCTCTGGAGAACACCTGGACATTCTTGGAAGGACCGAGGCACTTGTGGAGTCTCTCTCAGAAGCTGTCACCCCTGAAGGCAAATGGGCTGGATTTTCTGTTAACCACTGTCACCCCAGGCTCCTGTCCTGCTTGGCATTTCTTGGGGTTCTGTTCATTCAAGGATCAGCCTTGCCACTGGGCAGGGATTGTCTGACCTCTGCTGTCTGCTGTATGTCATGGCACGGGCTTAAAGATGGCCACCGACAGGGCGGGGTGGGGTGGGGAGCCTCAGACATGCACTTTTCTCCAAGTTTTTTGATCATGTTAAATAATGAAAATTCCAGATGGATTAATTGTAAAATTCTAATTGGATTTATTAAACAGTTTATGAATTGGGGAGCAGTCCATCTAACAAGTAGAAGAGAGTTACGAAAAGCTGTACGAAAGGAAAAGTTTTTTTTTAAATTATTATTAATTTTATATATTTTTTACATCATTTTTCATTTTTGCACAATGTATACATTTTCATCTTGGTTATAGTCCCCATACAATTCCCACCCCCTCTTGTTTTGATCCTACTCCCTCCTCCCCACCCTGTAGGGTGTCTCTGGTTTATAGTTGCTTGTTGACTTTAATTTTTACTTTATTATAATTAGTCTTATGGCAGATTCGCTCATCTTCCTTTGGGGAATGGAAAAAGCTACTTCATGAATGCTGACCAGAAAATTCCATATTGAACAGTTAAGACTCTCTCCCTGACGAAGATGGAAACTGCAGTTAGGTAAGCTATTAAGTCCTCGTGGGCTTAGCATAAGTGCATCCATTTGGAGACTAGCATTTTCTTTTTAACAAGGGTAACTCCCCAAATTAACATATTTTGTACTCAGTGAAACATGAGTTTCACTAAATAATTTTTACTTTCACTGTGTAAGCACTCTGATTATTTTCCTATTTTGTTTCATTAATAAGAAAAATGCTGATTACAATCTACTAAATTGATGTCATAGTCCTGGCTTTTCTCTTGGAGTTCAAAAAACCATTTAGTTTCCCAAAACTTCAGCCAGTGTGTACCATATCACTTTCAAATCTTTGGCCATATCCAATTGCTTATGGAATTAATTTTTCCCTTTAAATCAAATTAACTTAAACATATTCAAATGCCCACCATAGAAAAATATTTGTAAAATTATAATTTTGAGGGCTTGTATTTTTTTCCTGAATATATACTAAGATAGATATTTATTGAATTAAAATGTACTTCCATACTTCCTAAATCACCTGGTCTGCCTCCTTCATTTTATGAATCATGAATCTAGAGATTGGCCCAAACATTTTACTATATAGTAGGGACAGTGAGGCCCAGAGAGGTGAATTCATTAACCTGAGGTTAATTGCGGGAAAAATGTGCTATTTGGTAATAGGAGGGAAAAAAGAAAATGAAGGAAACTTATTTCTAGCCTGCCCCAGAAAGGCCGCAACAGCTAAACTCTGCTTGGTCTAATGTTCTGACCGCTTTTGGAGACAGTCTCCTACCAACCATCTCCTCAGAGTCCTGATGTCTGTCCATAGCTACCTCAGCACAGCCATTTAAAGCCTCTGTAGGTCTTAGACAGCTTTATTTATGGAGATCCTGATCCTTACCATAGCATGCATATTAAAATTATTTACATTTTCTTAATAATTTCAATTTTTCTTTGTTAATTTTAAAGTCAATTAATTTTCCCACACTTCAGCCATTTTTGCAGACCTTGATAAAGTTCACAGGCCCTAAGTTGTGCCTAATGGAAGAAGTGACCCTGGAACAGAAAAAAGGAACCCTAAGCAATGCAGACACACTACCGGGCACTTTACTTACAATTGCCAAGTGCTGTGTGACCAGAAAGAAGCTTTTACCCTGGGGCTCACATACTTCATTAAGATGACGGGACCAGGTCCTCCCCGGTGGTGCAGCGGGTTGAGTGCATCACTGTGAAGCTGTCCACAGCCTCTGCAGAGCGGATTCGATTCCTGGCTGGACAGGGAGAAACCCACATGGTGTGGCAGACCTCTCTTGTCTCGCCCGCTGCTCCCCTCAGCAGTGTATTTTGGCTGTCTGCCTGTTCTGCTCGCCACTCTCTCTGGTGAATCCTCTCACCCTCCCATGCCTCTGGCCTATACCCCAGCTATTGTATAAAAAGAAAGAAAAAAAAAGTACAGTTGTCCTTATTAAAAAAAAAAAAAAAAAAAAAAGATGAAGCGATGAAGGGACCGGACTAGACTGATGATTAGGAAACCAGGTGTAGTGGCAGGATGGGCACAGTGCAGGTGTTCTATGACCTAGCAAACAGGATAAAGGAGGAGAGTCCTGGAGCCCTCGGTGGCTTGTTTCAGGTTTTTATGGGGATTTACCAGGTACACGGCAGGCAAGGGGGCCAGGAGGCCTGCCTGCCAGGGAATCTTCACTCTTTCTGGGCTCTCCGGCCTTCTCTCGTGGCCTCTGCTTCTCTCTTCTCTGTCTGGTCTCTCTTTCACTCTTTGTCTCTGCTCTTCCCTTGGCCACCACTCCTATAAGCCCAGCCTCTCAGTCCAGGTGTACCCACCTACGGATGCCCACACCCAAGTCCAGGTGCCCGCCATCAGGCATGCATTCAGGACCACAGAGATCCATCATCAACCCTAATGGCGGGGGGGCAGAAAAGCCTGATACTTTTTTACTTTACCCTATACCAGGTAAGATAAAGGTCATAAAGTGCTTATTTTGCTGAGTATTTGGTTTATAACAAGAGTAACTATCTTTTGAAAGTTTAAAAAATAATAATTATCAATATATTAAAAGCCACAAACTTTGAGGTTATGTTTGCGACACAGAATTTGTTGAAAACATTTAAAGGACTCATAAAACTCAGTAAGAAAAACATAAGAGGGCCTCCCTGGTGGCCTAGGGGTTAAGTCTCAGTTCTGTCACACCTGTGGCTTGGGTTTGATCCCCTCGGGCCAGGAAGGTGACCCACATGGCGCAGCACACCTCTCCTCTCTCACCCAATGCTCCCCTCAGCAGTGTATTTCAGTAGATCCATCTGTTCTGCTCCCCACTCTGTCTCTGGTGAATCCTCTCACACCCTGTACCTCTGGCCTATACCCCAGTTCTACTAAATAAAAATAATAAAATTTTCAAAATTAAAAAAAATAGTTTAAAAGAAAAACAGAAGAAGAAAAGTAATCAAGAATATGAACAGTTTGTTTGTTCTCAGAAAAGGAAACCTGCATAGATAATAACATAAGAATGAATGTCAGGACTAGACATGAAGAGAATGGTATTCAAATCTATAGCAGTAGAGTGAGGAACCCCTTAGCTGAAAGGGTGTTGGCTGGCTGCTGCTGGTTTTGGTGGTGTTCTGAAGTGGGGTGCAATGAAGTGGATTCTTCAAATATTGGAACATTGTGTAACAGGGTGGTCCCCAGGAAAGGGGGAGGTTCCCTGCCCCACCCAAGGGAGGGTGGAGCTGAGCAGGAAGAGGAGAAGCTGCAGAAGAGACTGAGGAAGGAAGCAGGATGGAGCCAGGAGACCTGGAGGAGGCGCATGGAGCCTAGAGACACGTGAAGAAACTGCGCTTGTCTTTTGGTCGTGGACTGGGTGACACAGATGTGGGTGAGACCTGTGGGGAGGTGACCATGGCAGCTTTTATCTTGATGTTGATTTTGCTCCTTTCCTTCCGGGCTTGTCCGGTTGTTTGTGACCCTTTTCTGTGGGTCCCCACTGGAAGATGCTTTAGACTTGTGGCAGGCCTTGGGGCCTTGCTCTGGGCCAATCCCATTTGGATGGACTTTTACCCACGAGGGGACGGGTAACTTTGGGTGCTTCATTTAGAAACTAGACTCTTTGCCTTACCTGTATTGTTTCCTAGTTTTATTAAAGTTCCTTTTCATTAAAGTCTCCTATGTTTTGTGTTGATGCGGCGGATGGCAGAACCCATTTAGAATAGGCAGGTTTGCGGGGTTTGGGCTGCCCCTCTCCCTGTCCTATAACAATTGCAGAGTGGACTCGGTTTCTGCTAAGACCCTGCTGCTGCCCGGGCCGGTAAGTGTGGCTGGTGTAATGCTCATAGGAACCACAAGGAGGCAGGATGCCCACAGATAGCAGACAGGAAGAAGTTGATGTCCTCTGTCCTTGAGGCTTCTCCTAATGTTCCTTATTGATTGAGCTCAACATGGAGCCAGCGGGCAAAGCAGGAATGTGATTTATAGAGTCATAAGCTCAGCTACAATGTGGAAAATGGAAGGGGGATTTGGAGTCAAGAGATGAAAACTTAACTGCCATAGCCCACTGTAGGGCAAGGTAAAAAGTATCAGGCTTTTCTGCCCTCCCGCCATTAGGATTGATGATGGATCCCTGTGGTCCTGAATGCATGCCTGATGGCGGGCACCTGGAGTAGGGTGTGGGCATGTGTAAGTGGGTACAACTGAGAGACTGGGCTTATAAGGGCGGCGACACGGGGACACCAGCAGAGAGAGAGAACCGCAAGAAGAGAAGCAGAACCACGAAAGAACGTGAACGCCGGAGAGCCCAGAGTGAAGGCTTGCTGGGGGCTGGGGGGCCTGCCAGCCTCCTGGCACCCCTGCCTGCTGTGTACCTAGTAAGTCCCAATGAAAGCCTGAGAAGCCACTGAGGGCTCCAGGAGTTCTCCTTACCCCGTCTGCTTGGATCATAGAGATCCTGCTCCATGTCTTCCTGCCCCTACACCCACTATATTGGTTAATAAACTTCCATACCAAAAGAAAAACAATTTGCTTCTAACACAATGCAACTAGTCTTTATTGAATAAAGCTGCTATTACCTACTCTCCCAAAAAGGGACATAAAGTCCCCACAGTCACTGTACCATCTTGGGGGACAGTTAGACTGTCTACTTCTTGGCTAGAGTAATAACTCCACACAAACATATTCCCACCTGAATATTCCGTTACCTAAAGACTAAACTGTAAAGTTAACCGCCAAAAAATCTTAAATAAGGACACTTGCAAGGTGGAGTAACAGGGATTGGATCTAGATTTACCCTCCTGCCTAGAATATCTAAAAAAACCCAGCTGAAAGATGAGTTCTATAACTGGTACAGCTAACTGCCTGGAGAAAGCTTTGGGGGTGGGGTAGGGGGGTGGTGGTGGTGGTGGTAGTGGTAGTGGGTATGTATGTGTCTTGGGGGGGTAGGGAGGGTGTTCCAGCAGAGTCCTCCAGTCTTCCTAAGTTGAGAGGACAGCACTAGTGGTCTGGATAATTCAAGGCAGCCAGAGTTTGCAGGGCAGCATAATGAAAATGAGGGCGCTACAGAGAGAGAACAAGCAGCAGTTGGCCCTGAGCATTGAGCTGAGTGCTCATCACCACAAGCACGTGAAAGCAGTAAGAGATACCCCTGACAATAAAGGGAAGCATCCCCGAAGTTCACGTAATGCTGAAAATCACACCTGTTCTTGTCAGCGACAGTGGAAAACCTCATAATCTGGGGGTTGGGAGTGGGGATATGAGACAGAGCAATCAGAAGTACTTTGCTCACTGATGGGAAAAAATTAGCTCTTGATTTAACACTGCTCTGACCCATTGAACAAAGTTTAAAAGCAAGACATAAAAAGGTTAAAACTGTTTCCAAGTAACTTTTTAAAGGGGTTCGAGGACAAAGTTCAAGAAATTTGTAAGAAAACAAAGATATCCAACACTCAACAAGGTAAAATTCACAATGTCAGCAGTGCAAACAAAAATCATCAGGAAAGCAAAATCATAAGTAAGCACAACCCCTAATGAGAAAAAACATCAATCAATGAAAGCCAGAAATGACACAGATGACATATCTAATAGGCAAAGACATTAAGATGGTTATTACAACTATGCTGATCCAAATTGAACTATTAGAGATGACTGAGGTTTAAAAAAAACAAACCACTGGATTATGACAGATAAAACATTATAGATAAAAGATTAGAGGACCTGAAGACATAGCAATAGAAACTACCCAGAGAAAAAGATAAAGAAAAGTGAACATCAGTGTGTTGTGGGAAAACAAGAAGTAGCCTAATATACTTGTAATTGAGGGCCATGAGGATAGTGTGGCAGAAAAAATATTTGAAAGAATAAGAGACAAAAAATTTCCTAACTTGACAAAAACTATAAAACCAAAGATTCAAAAAATGCAATGAAACCCAGGGACAAGAAACATGAAGAAAACTATACAAGATAACAAAATCAAAAAACCGAAAACTACACAAAGGCACATTACAACTCAATTGCTTAGAACTAATGATAAAGAGGGCCTCCCTGGTGGTGCAGTGGTTGAGCGCTGGGAGCGAAGCTGCCTGCAGCTCTGCAGCGCCGGTTTGATCCCTGGCTGGCCAGTGAGGGTCCCACATGGCACGGAGACCTCTCCTGCTGCGCCCACTGCTCCCCTCAGCAATGTATTTCGTCAGTCTGCCTGTTCTGTTCCCTGCTATGGTGAATTCTCTCACCCTCCTGTGCTTCTGACTGTACCCAGTGCTTATATGAATAAATAAATCTTTAAAAAAAATCTTAAAAAAAAAGAATTAATGATAGAGTGTAGGGTAAATGAAGATTGCTCGGGCTTTTATGCCACTGGCCTCTGTGGTTATCACCTGCGGCCTTGATTGTGCTAATATAGGAGGCACTTGGGAGCATGGATGCTGGGCACACATGCCTGATTGAGGGTGGACACCTGGAGTATGGTGTGGGCATGCGTGAGTGGGCACACCTGAGCCTGGAGGCTGAGGCTATAAGGGTGGCATCACATAGGATGGGGAGACTGCTATGAGAGGAAGAGACCACCAGAGAATGCGGCAGAGAAAAAGACAAGATTCCCAGGGTGCTGGGGGCCCTTTCTGCCTGCCCGCCCTACACCTGAGTGCCACTACAAAGAGAACAAAAATGATAAAGATAATAAAGAAGTCTTAGAGAAGCCTTTATGCAGAGGAATAATGATTAGGAGAGCGCAAATTTCCCGTTGGAAATAATGCTAGTCAGAAGGCAGTAAAAAAAACACTTTTAAATACTTGGAAAGAAACTAAGAATTTTTTACCACTAAATAAAGATTTTAGTGGACATACAAAAAGTGACAGAATATATCACCAGCAAACCTGCACTAGAAGAAATGATTAACCAAGTCCTCTCTAAGCAGAAGGAAATGCTCCCAGATGGGAATATGGATCTACACAAAGGAAAGACAAGCAACCAAATTGGCAGCTATGTGAGTGAATATAAAGAACTTTTAAACACTATTTAAGTTTGTTTAAAAGAAAATCAGCTGCTTAAAACAAATATGCTAATAATGTACTCTAGAATTGATAACATGCATAATTAAAATGTATGGCCACAATAACAAAGAGGTGGGGAAATAAGGAAGTATTCTCTTGTAAGTTTCTCATACTGAATGTATAGAGTAGAATGTCATATGAAGGTAGAGTAAGTTAAAAATATTTGCTATAAACCCTAGTGAAACTACTAAAATAAAAAAGAGCAATAAGCCAAGTAAGGAGGGAAAATGGAATAGTTAGAAATGATTAATCCAAAACAAAAGAGGGAGAAAATCAAACAAAGACCAGATGGAGCAAACAGAAACAAATAGCTACATGGAAGATTTAAATTCAGCCATATCAATAATTACAGAAAATATAAATTGACTAAACATACATTTAAAAGGCAGGTTGGATTAAATACAAAACCCGATATAATACAAGACACTTTATTTTATTTTGCCTTTTTGTGACTGGTTTATGTCTTTTAGCATAATATCCTCAAGACTCATGCATGTAGTAACAGACATCAGATTGTCCTTCCTTTTTCAAGGCCGAATAATACTTCTTTGTATGTAGAGATCACATTTTGTTTATCTTTTAATTCACTGATGGATTCTTGGGTTACTCCCACCTTTTAGCTACTGTGAATAATGCTGCTGTGAACAAGGGCATACTAATATCTAAGACTCTGCTGTCAACTCTTTTAGGTATGTACCCAGAAGTGGAATTATTGAAATAAACCCACTTTCAATAAATAGACATAAAAAGGTTGAAAGTAAAATGTAGATGAATGCACCACCTGGATAATAATCAAAGAAAGCTTGAGAAGCTATATTACTGTGAAATAAAATAGATTTCAGAGCAAAGAAGATTGCCAGTGATAAATGATAAATGGGTCAATTCACCAAGAACATTTAACATGATGAGGTAATGTTTATGTGTCTAATATCAGGGTTACAAAACAGTAATGAAATGTTCTTAGAACCTCAAAGGAATGAGCGTGTGATGCTATGTAGAATTCTACATAAATGTTACTTCTGTTTTCCTTCCTTAGTATTATTCACTATGCTCAATGTAAATTGAAATTAAGGACATTATACTTACCTTTATTTGACTATTTAATGAAACTATCCTGGAAGGCAGTGAATAGTGGTTGTAAGAATCTCTGCTTTTGGTAAGTTACTTTTGGCTTCTCTGGGCTTCAGTTTTTCCATCTGTACCATAAAAATCAACTGTTTTGGAAAAAAACATATATACCATATAACAGGTGGAACCTTGGAGAGGCTGGATCAAGTATCCTGGGCGTGGACACTTGCTCTAGCCACACTGGGATGGGAGCAACAGCAGGAATGAAGGAACAGGAGTCCTGGGAGATCTAGAGGCCAACTTGAGCCAAATATCTGTGCCAAATTTTGTCAGCTGCCCTCAGCCTATATATACACAAATGGATTAGGAGAAACATGGCTGGCACTGACTTCTTCCTCGGAATGATTTGTACTTATTTTTATCAAACTAGCCTGGTTAGCAATAACTGAAGGCAAGCCACAGCTATGCAGTAGCACAATACATCTAAAGGATTGGTGGACAGAGATACTACGGACTTTCTTTTCAGGGAATGGAGGGACAGCACTGCTCTTGGCTCTTTATTATATACATACTGGGCTCAGCTTATATACCACGTCACAGATACAACAGCACCACATCCAACCCCATCTCCTTCAGCGCTTCCAATGAAGGACAATATAGGGTGGATGACACACACAGCAGTATAGGTAGCACACACTTCAAATATGCAGCAAGTACATTAAAAAATCGTGATAGATATAAGTTTCTTTAACATACAGGATCATTTTAAAGCTGTGGAACCTCATATGTAAAATGGTACATATGTTAAATACCTTATCATATTAATTTCCTTCTGGACTGTTGTCTTTTTTTTGGATACTAACATGCTCTGTGTATAACTTAGGATTTCAGTTTTGAAACGTGGATAAATGAGATTTGTCTTACCTAGGAATAAACCAGGTAAAACTCTTTTTAAAACAAGGGCAACAAAAAAGAAGATGCTACCAGGATCCTACATTCTTTCAAGAGAATCAGTCATCTAGAAGCCCAGTCTTTGGCTTTTTCACAGTGAACTTCCGAACAGCCTTCCAGGTACTACTAAGAATGGGACAGAAGCATTTAATGCAGCAAGGTTTGGAAGGATACACACAGGTGGCTGACATTGCTTCCAGAGGATGGAAATGGAAGATGACAAATTACTGCAGTTTTCTTTACACATTTTAAAGTTACTTCATTAGTTACATTAAGCACATATCACTTTGTAGTAAAAATGTTAAGAAGGAACATTGTTAAAGAAAAGCAACTATCCATTCATTTTAAAAAGACAGATTAAGAGTGTCTGTAGATAAAGCATACAGTCTGTCACATTTAAAAGAATTAGTAAGCTCACCAAAGACTAAAATTCTGAAGTCTAGTTATGAGTTTCTAGCTGAATTTTATGAGGCAGAAGCATGACAGCAGTCTTTGGGCTTTTGTAATATTGGCTTGGCCTGAACTCGTCCCCTACTGGACAGTCCAGTACACACCCCTGCAATTCAATGTAGTGTGGGTGATGATTTAGAACTGCACATGGCAATAGCAAGTATCGACACCTCACAATGAAGTCCAACGGAATCAAGGTCATTCACATCCTGCTAGATTTTCTCCTGAGGTAAATATCACATAAATTATGGAAAGCAGAGATGTAAGATTCCCCCTCAAACAACATATCCCTCTCCTCTGAGAGCTCCTGCCCTGAATTAGACAGAGGTGACAGCTCGAATCCTCTTCCATAAACAATCCTGCTATGAAGTGGGGTGTTTCCCACAAGACACCTCACTCTAGACTTTCAAGCCACTAGAATCTTCCAAGTTTTTCAACCTTGGCACTACACACATTTTGGGCAGAGTGATTCTTTGTTATCAGAGTGGGTGGGGGATAAGCTATGTATTAAGGTTGTTTAGCAGCAACCTTGGCCTCTGTCAGTTGCATCCAACACCCACAGTTGTGACACAAATATCTCATGGGGCAAAATTGTCCCCAGTGGAGAACCACTACAGAGATCAATTCAGTCACTCTTCAGTCATCGAAAGAAAACCTGGGGCTAGGACTACACATTAATATAGATATAATGCTCCTCCCCCCCACCTCAAAAATAAAAAAGAAAAACTTGAACTTCTGAATCTGTTTTAAAACCTTCTTTCTAGGAGTAGTGTAAAAACCAAGTTTTTGGAAGCATTTTTCTTATATTTTAGTGCAAACCTTCACCCTTATTTGTGGCTGCTAAAGGACTATAGGCAAGGAAAAATTAGATAGGACAAACCAGGCCCCGAGGGCCAAAACTGAACTGATTTTCTCTTCTAAGCCTGATCTTCACCTAGTATTTCTCATCTCAGAGAATGGTGCCTCCAAACCATACATTAAACTGCTCAAGTCAAAATTTAGAAATCATCCTGGAGTCTTCTATTCCTCTTTCCTTCACCTTCCATATTCACTAGCAAAATCAGCTCTGCCTCCAAAACATATTCCTAACCCGCCCTCTTTTCTCAAGCACCCCTGGACCACAGCATCAGCTGCCTGACAGATATGCATTTCTTCTCTTGTTCCCTACATCAGCATTTCCTAACCTAAAACTGTTGACATTTTGGGCAAATCCTTTATTGGCGGGGGTAGTGCAGTCGTGTTCATTGTAGGATGCTTAACAGCATCCCTCCCTGGTGTCCACTAGAGATGTCAGTAGCACTCTCTGATTGTGACAAACAAAAATATCTCTAGGCAATGCCAATTGTACCCTGGGGGACAAAATCACCCCTGGTGCAGAACCTACACCCTACACAGAGAAGACAGGTTGTTTTAAAGATGTAAATTGCATCATATCTGTCCCATGTTGAAAGCCCTCCAAAGTCTTCCCCTTGACTTTAGAGCAAAGCCCAAGCTCCTTCCTGTGGCTTACTGTAAGATCTCTATGAAGTGGCTGCGGCATACTTCTCCAATACCCTCTCTTCCCTACTGTCCTCACCCTCCAGACACATTGATCTTACTGTTGCTTTTGCATGCTTGCTCCCATTGCCCTTTGCATCTATTTTTCCCTCTGCCTACAATGTTCTCCCCCAGATCTCTGCAAACCTCAGCTAAACTGCTGCATACTCAGCAAGGCCTTCCCTAACCATCCTATCTACTTCCCTAACCATCCTATCTACAAGGCCTTCCCTAACCATCCTATCTAACCCCCTTACTTTCATTCTCTTCCACATTCCCCACTATATCCTTCATAGTGCTAATCACAGTAGAAAATGGTCTTGCTTTGTCATTTGCTTCTTCACAGAATGCAAGCTCTTCTCTAGAGCTGGGATCGTGCCTGCCTTGTTTACTGCCTCTCAGCAAGTGCTAGAATAAAGCCTGGGCAGAGGAGGTAATCAAATATTCCTCCCCGCTAACCGCAGGTCAAGTTGGCAAGCCCTTCTTTCACTTTCTCTTCTAAGATTATTTCTGATTGTTGATGATGTTTGCCTTCACAGTTCATCTTTAACATTTGCCCTATGTTAAAAAGTGTATGGGTGGGGAGAAACCATGCACAAAGGTTCAGCATAAATAACTACTTTTCAGAAACATAAAAAAGTCAATTCACGAATGACTGCAAATCTGTTCCCCGCCCTCAGGTTTTCGGCAAGCATTGACAGTCCTTCCACTGGTCATGACCTCAGTTTCGCTCCTAATCCCTAAATTTGATGCACTGAAGGTCTTTCAGGTCTTTCCCAAACTCACCTGCTCAGAGCCTCTTTGTCAACCCAATTTATACAGTAGCATGGGCCTGAAAGCTTTTTGTGCTGGCTTCCAGCTAAAACTGTTCAGTGGGTCAAAGGCAAATGGTCCAGGGTGCAGCATGGTCAACAAATGTTGGCTGAGTCCCCAAAACGCAGCTTGGTTATTTCTTATATTGATTTATGGGCTGTTTCCATGAAACCGGAGATGATTGGGCCACTGAGCTGCTGGCTGACGGCAAACTGGAGGCAATTCCATCCTGGCTGAGGGCCCGTGGCCCTTCTGTGGCCTTTGGGAAGCAATTCATCGGGTGGTTTTTACGTTCTGGCGGGCTGCCGGCTTGTCCCGCCGGGGCGGGCTCTCCACGCGGTGCACGCACGTCTCCACCCGCAGGGACGAGGCCTTGACGTGGCGGGAGGACGTTTCTGTGCGCTGCGAGGACGTTTCCACGTGCTGGGAAGACACCTCGAGGACCTGAGGGAGTCGTTTTCCAGACGGGGAGAACAAAGACCCCTCGCTGTGGCGCTGGGAAGTCTCCACTTGCCGGAAAGACGACTGCACCTGCCGAGAGGATGTCTCCACGCGGTGGGACGATGTCTCCACGCGAACCGTCGACGTCTCCTTGTAACGGATGGTGTCCACCCGGGGGGCAGAGGCCTTGCCCCGAAGAGGTGAGGCCATTCTGTGCAGAGGTGGGGCGTGTGAGGCCTGGGGGGGGGGGCCGCCCCGCCCAGTCTCTGTATAGTCTCACGTCTCTGGGTGACGTCACAAGATAAAGAATGACGTCAGAGCAACATGTTGCGTCACCGCAGGCACAAGGATGGACGAGTGCCACGGCGCGGTGACGCAGGGGTCCGGTGGGGGCTGCAACATCCCTTCAAATACTGGGCGCTGCCCCTCGCCGCTCCGCCCGCCCCCGCTCCTCTCCCTACCCTTTTGGGAGCATCTGAGGGCGGAGCCCGGGCGGGGCGGGGCTACGCCGTGCGGGGCGGGCCCTGGATGGGCGTGGCCACTCGCCTCCGCGCGCGGCTGGGCCCGCCCCCGCTTCCCACTCTGCCCCGCGACAGGAAGAGGGAGCCGTGGCTTCCGGACCCGCCCCCGCTCCTCCGGGAGGCTCGTCTCTCCCGGTTGCCTGAGGCTCACGGTCTGTACTTGTGATGGCCGCGGCTGTCGCTATGGAGACAGGTCAGTATCCCGGAGTCTTCACAAATAGAGGTGTCCTCGACCCAGACTCTTCCTCCTGCTTCTCCGGGGGCTCCTCCAGGCCTCAGGCCCGGCAGGGTTAGAACGCGGAGCTGCAGGGGCCAGGACTCCTGTGGCGTCTGAAAGGCGAAGGTAGCCTGGCCTGCTCGCAGGTCCTTTCCCTCACTTTGTATTCAAACACCGACGCCTCCGCTTCCCAGCACGGGGGAGACTCTGAGCACTTGGACCTTAAACGGTCTCCTCGATCGGTTTTCTGCGTTTCCAATGAGCTTGAGTAAGTTTGAAATACCTGCGACAAACTTGTGTGTCTTTGTGTCACCGATGCTTCTCACGGTGGCACACTCCGTCCTGGACTCTCTCCGTTTGCATTCTGAACCTTTACTGAGTGTTTTATCATTCACTTAGCTTTTGCTTAGCTTATTCACGTAACAGTTGTTGCAATGAATGGTTACAATAGAGGAAGACACAATTGTAACTGTTATAATCTCTACAGAGTGGCTCTCTGGTGGTATATATTCTGCCCCGTGTGTATTCCTGTTTTCTTTGATGACTTATCTCTAACTTTAGAGAAACTTCTAACTTACTCCTTTTAATCAGGGCTCTGCTTAGACTTTTTAGAAAGGCCTATCTCTGCTCACTCTCAATTTGGGAAAACCACTATGTACTTTTGTATGTGGAAATGTATCTCAGCATTAGGTTTCTTTACTTTTGGATTTTTTCTACAAATTATACAGTGACGTTTATTTTGGATGATTTTACTGTCTTCTCTTCTAGACGATGCTGGAAATCGACTTCGGTTTCAGCTGGAATTGGAATTTGTGCAGTGTTTAGCCAACCCAAATTACCTTAATTGTAAGTTGTTGAGCACCTCATTGAATTGAGTAATTACTTGATGACTTCTGATAGAACTTGCAATTCATAATAGTATCTGCTTTTATACATAGGCAATTGAATAGAATAACTGCCAATTTATCTATGATAATTGAGATTTGTGTTTTGAATTTAGTGTGTGTTGGTGGTGGGTATGTTATGTAAATAGATTTTCTATGTTAGGGGTTCACAAGTCAGTAGTCCAGGGATTGGTTTGCTCTACAGATGTATTTTTTTTTTTATGCCTTTCAGTTCTTGCCCAAAGAGGTTACTTCAAAGACAAAGCTTTTGTTAATTATCTTAAGTACTTGCTTTACTGGAAAGAACCAGAATATGCCAAGTATCTAAAGTAAGTTTAATTTTTATAGTCTTAAACTTGTGTAATACTTTATTATACTCTAACTTGATAGTTAATAGATTTTTTTCGTTTCACATTGGAAAAAAATTATTATGAATCTTCATTTTGTTTTAGTTGCCACCACTTAAATATAAGACATCCCCATCTCAATTCAGATTACTTGAGTAATTTACTCACTGGTTAGCTCACCTTCCACTCTTTCTTCTCTTTTGCCATCTTCCCACCCCAAAACAAACAAGATGAAACAGTTTTTTTACACAGACACCAACATGAGCTCTAAAAATGTAAACCACGTCATGCCATTTTCTCCCTTTGAACCTTTCAGTGGCTTTCCATTAACACTCAGAATAAAATTCATTCTTTTTTCTTGAGATAAAGCCCTGTATATTCTGGCTCTGTCTTGTCTGACCTTATCTTACACCACCACTCTATTTTACTGGATTTCTCCCTGGTGGAACCCACAATCTATAAATGCAACAACATAGCGTAGATGGAAAGTGAATGGGTAATTGTAAGTAAGGTTTTCTGGAGTAAGTAACCTTAGGAGTCTTTAACAGTTGCTGTCTTTTTTTTTTTTTTTTTTTTTTTTTTAATAGGGCCTCCTGTATGCTAAGCACTATGCTCAGTTTAAACACACACATGCACACACACAGAACAAATCCTTGAATAGCATTGTCATTTCATTATAAGGATTTTAAGAAAAAATAGTCCTCACTGATGAAGTGTTATTGAAGGGCCTGCTTTCTTATACATTGTTTCACAGAGTAGCAGTTTCCAAGAATCTATCCACTGCATTCTTACTGTATCTTATTCAAGTTGTACAACAGATGCTTTAGTTTTTAAGGTTTACTAGGCTGCAAAAGGCATGTTACAATCACAAGATGATTCCCTTTTAATAGTAAAAAATAAACTTTTAACTTATATTTTTGCTTTTTCTTAACTAGGTAGTCAAACAGCAATAGTGAAACTTTTTCATTTTTCCCCTGAACAAACACATTTGAGAGAAAAATGGTTGAAACTTGCACTTTACCCAAGTCACTTCAACTGAGTCATGAAGTCCACAACCTCCTGCTCCTTATAGGACCCTTTGCACCTTTACTGGCCCTTTATGAACAACCACTTATAATCCAGATAAAGTATTTTATTTTTTATTAGATTGAAACACATATGTATATAGACTCTCAGTGTTGGCCACTAAACCTTAGGCACCATCAAGTTCAGTCTTATCTACAACGTTGCTAAGGTGGAGGACGTTTCTAGAGAGCACATACTGTTTTCTGTTCAGGGACAGCCAGTTCCATTGTTAGCTAGATGTAAAAAGTTTTTCCTTATATCATGATATATTTCCATGTCATATACCTCCACAAGTGGGTGGCTTTAACCTGAGCTCCAGTTTTGCCCCAGAATTAATCCAGAAGCATGCCTCTTGAGGCAAGAACATTTGAAATATTTAATTTCAACAGAAGTTGTAAATTAACCCCTGTGGGCATTTCATTCAATCTGCACAAGGTTTTCATTTTTTTTAATAGTTGCCAACATTTAATGATTGGAAAGTTTCACATAGTAATCCAGATTTCCAGCCGTATTTTAAAATCTGTACAGTCATTCCACGTAGGTTATTCTCCAAGTCAGTGGCTGGGTAGAGCAGAGGAACAGCTGTCACTTCTAGATACTGTATTCTAGATAGTAATAGCCAGTACTTGCAACTATAATGTCTCTTATATCTCTTTTTCTCAACTACATGTAGCCATGCCCTCTTTTGGATATTTTGCATTTGGGCCACATGCTATTCAGCCAAGAACTAAATAGGCTTTCAGATGTGATTGGGGTATGGTGGACCAGACAACATTCCTTTCTTCACTATACACACTACAATTCTGTTAGTTCAACCTAAGTTTCCATGCATTACCTATTTTGGGGGGATAGGATTCACATTGTTGACCTTCTGGGAGCTTTATGTCAACTAAAATACTTCAGTTATTTTTATCAGTGCTATTGAGTTCTTTATGTCTTGTTTACTATTTAAAAATCTGAATGCAGACTTCCCTTTTGTACTTTATTTCCTCTTGTTTAATGCTATAATTGTAGCCCACTCAGAATATTTATAACTCCTTATTTTGTTATTTACTGTTTTTGAGCATTGTCTTCTACAAGTTTGATAAATATCACTGTATGTCTAAATTCCAGTTGTTAACTAAATGCTACTTGAGATTATCCTCTTGGTTGTCACATTATTTTACAGATGAAAAAACTAAACCTTAGAGAGGTTAAGTACCTTGTTCAAGGCCACCCGGCTGGTGAATGACAGAGCTGGTATTCAAACTCAGATCTTAACTACCAATGCCTTTATGAAAAGCAAGGTCAGGGTAGATGTGAGTTAGTTAGGGTATCCCAGGCTTAGCTACCAACAACTATCAATATAAGCAACTGTGTCTTTGGAGTGTAGAAAGCAAATCTCTAATATCTTATTAGACACATTGATATCACTTGGAAGCTTGTTAGAAATACAGAGCTCAGGTCCCACCCTAGGTCTTCTAAACCAGAATCTGTATTTTAAGAGGTGATAATGTGCACATTAAAATTTGAGATTACCTATGTGTACTGTTCCCAAATTTAAGTCATCTGTATACCACTTATGCCATTTTGGCTCTGTGTACACCCTTTAAGATCTCATGGTTTTCAATAGTCTCACTTAAGTTTTATGTTTTCTATTAGAAATAACTTTACTTACAAGATAGCTGGAAAAAAATAAAGAAAATTCCTGTATATTATTCTCTAGATATTTTAAATGTTAACATCTTATATAACTACAGTATAATAAAAACCAGAACAGTTATGTATTATTTAATCCTATTATCTAATCTACAAACCTCATTTTGCAGCTGTTGCTAGTGCCCTTACAGTGTCCAGTCTGGGTTCATGCTGCATTTTGTTGTCCTGTTTTCTTTAGTCTCCTTTAATCTTGAGTTCCTTGTTTTTTTTTCCCCTCCATATCTTGACACAGAAGTGATGTCTCCTTGGTATCTCATAATAGGAGTCACAGGAAGTTAGTTTGTCCCAATGGTGATGATGTTTAGGTGTGGCTGCCAGGTTTCTTCACACTGGGTTACTTTTTTTTCCTTTTTTATTTAATGGGTATCTTACAAAGAAATACTTTGAGACTATATAATATTTTGTTTCATGTCACAGTTTTACCCACTAATTTTAGCTTCTGTTGAAAATATTAGAAGTTCTTACTGTAATGAATCTTTTAATTCCATCATTCTTTCTATATTTATTGGAATTAAGTTGTAAGGATTTATTCGTGGAAAAAAATCACATCAGTATGGACTCATGGATTCTTATTTTAATCTTGTGGATTATAATTATGTATATTTTTGCTCTAATGATTCCATATTTGGTCATTGGGGGGGGGGTCTTCCAAATTAGTTCCTTGGGCACATTTGATATATCCTCATTTATTTGAGCACTTTTTTTTTCTGGCATTAGAGAAAAACTACTGTTCCAAGCTGATCTTGTACTTTCCCAGTCTTAGCCTTGGAATCAGGCAACCTGATTCCTTAGCCCAAGGAACCCTGGAAAATGCTATTTAAAATCCATGTTTAGGGCGCTGGTGTACTCCTTGGAATTAATGTTGCTTCCAGGCCCTTTCAGCACACACAGCTAGGAAGTGTGTGTGTGGATGTGTCTATGTCTATTTCTAAATCCTTGTTTATATATTAAAAACCATGAGTCCCTATAATGATGTTTTCCGATCCAGCTCAATAACACAGGGCTCACTAGCCTTCCCCTTTTCTTATCTATGACTCCTTTTCTGATAGCCAAAAATTTGGGTTCTTTATATTTATGTGCTAGCTCAATCTTAGGTTGCAGAATTGCTGTATATCTGGAAAACTAGTGTATACTATTTGTGCATATTTCTTCATTTTCAAATAAAGGTATTTTATCATACTGATAACCTACAGTTACCAATTAAGCACACAATTCTTAAAATAAAAAGTTTTTATATTCCGTATTTTGGAACTACTAGAATAGAATACATGACTTGCCCCCAAACATTGAATCTGCTTACCAGTTACTGTGTGGTCTTGGGCAAGTTATTTGATCTTTCTGAACTTTCTTTTCTCATTTTTGAAAATTTTGCTTAATGGTGACTTTTTGGTAACTAGAGTCTTTGCATAAGTACTACTGAAGTGTACTAAGTTATTGTGATAGAATTTGTAGGCCGCAAGATCATTTATACGTAACTGGATTAGAGCTTGACTTTTTATTGACTTAAATTATGTCAATCATTAAACTTAAACCCAGGTATCCTCAGTGTTTACACATGTTAGAACTGCTCCAATATGAACACTTCCGCAAGGAGCTGGTGAATGCTCAGTGTGCGAAATTTATTGATGAGCAGCAAATTCTGCACTGGCAGCACTATTCCCGGAAGCGGATGCGCCTTCAGCAAGCCCTGGCAGAGCAGCAACAGCAAAATAACACATCAGGAAAATGAAAAACTGGATCCAGACCAGGCTCTTAAGACATGTATATATTGCTTTTGTACAGTGAAGACAAAAAAAAAAAAAAAAAAAGACTTCTACCTACTTTTATTGTGGTAGCTAGCACCTAGAACCTCTAGTGTGCTACTAATTCAATGGACCTTTATTGTTAATAGATTATTTCTGTTAAATTAGAACTGTTTTACTTTGATTTTCCTGTGGATTTGTTAACTTTCATTAGTATTTAACAATCAACTGGCTAAGAATAGCCAGGTGTTAGGTGCTTTAGACCAATTTAAGGTGGCATTGGGGCATGGGTAAGGGGAATTCCACTATATATCCCCAACTCTAAGCCTGGCTCTGTTCTTGATGTACCTTGGGCTTTAGCAGATCTTTCTCTTGGAACCTTAGTGGTCCTCAGATCAGCTGCCCCATCCCTCTTATCTATAGATTGAGAAGATGCAGGCACTGCATAAAGGTTCTTAGATTCTGCAGGAGAGGAAGACATACCTATAATACTACTTGTTGGAAGAATCACTGATGTGTCAGTGACACATAAGTGTCACTGGTGATGGCAGGGATAAGATCACAGCTAGCTACTAATTGGACTCATGACATTAGGCTAGAACAAAGTTGAGGAATTTCAACTACATGTGCTCATTCAGGAAAGCTAATGTTTATTTACTTGACCAATTCCACGTTGTTAAATGTATCATTGCACTTATGGTAACACTCCTGTTCATAGAGGAGGAAACTGAAGTTTAGACAGGTTAAGTATTAAGTAACTTGCTTATAGTTAACATGGCTATTAAGTGGTAATCAGTGTACTGACTCATGGATTGGCTTTTTTTCCACTGCTAGATTTATATAGCCTCTGACCTCTGCAACCCACCTCATTCCAGGTAGTCAGGCACATTCAGATAGCTACAAAACAAAACTGCTTGCATCTGGGTTAGATTTGCTGTACTTTCCTCCAGTGGGCAGGTTAAGTTCTAAAGCCAAAGAAGGTGTTTGGGAAATATCAGTTCTTTGTAAATTCATGGAATTTAAGGTAAAATATCCTAACTACTTTTAGAGATTTAGAGCTGACTGTTGCACTAGGGACTTGCAGATATTTCTGTTACCACCAGTGGCACAATCCTTTGTGCCATTATTGCTGCTCCTGAAGAGTTATTGTATATGTAAAAGACACTCATGTTACAAGAAAAGTGAGGGTTCATGAGCATTTTAATAGCATACTATTGTTTAGCCATATGCCAGGGGTTTTTTTTTTCCACACCATTATTTATTAACATGAATTCCAGTCATGTATGCAGTTTATTTTATTCTAGAGCAAATCAGGAGATCAAGACACAATTGCCATCACTAAATCTTAATCTTCAGAGAATAACATCTCCACGAGGTTGGCCTGAAGACACCCAGATTCTACCAGTTTTTGAGGCTGTAACAGAAAACAGTCAAATCTTAGCCCGTAACTACAAAAAATGTTACTAGGAGCCAAATGAATGACATAAATCTTGGAACAGAGAAATTATGCCTTTCAGATAGTGTCAACTAGTTGTAACAACTAGTCGTAACAAGTTTTATGAACAGTTAAATATCTGCCTTAAGAGCAATCATTGAAATACTTGGTTCGGTAGATTAAAACAGGAGACAGCAAGCCCAGCGCCATCCCCATAATTTTTTAATACAGAATTCCAGGCTCATGACTAGAGAAATGCCCTTTCTTTTCAGCCAGAATTAAGGATTAAATAGAGAATAACCACTGATGCCAGTCTTTCTGAGCAGTGCTTATAGAATTTAGTTTTAAAATATAAACAAAGTATTTTAAGTATTTACATAACTAATGGGTTATTGGGACTGACCATAGGGATGGATGTTTTTAATGCTTTCTGAATAGCAATGTTTGGGATGAAATCTCAAGAACTTCAAATTTTAATGAAGCAGAAATCAAAAAGAGCTTGACAGAGGGTGACTTGTAGCCCCAACAAAATGAAAGAATGATACTCACTGTTCCATATTTAAGTAGTGTAGGCACTGCAGTTATTTTCAGATGTTTTCTGAAGTCATTATTTGGATCTTTCCAACTATTTTAAAAAGAAAAAGTGGCCATGAAAAACTTACTTGGTTTCTTGCAGTTTGCTTAATATTTGACATATTCCTGTATTTTGGCTTACTAATTGTTTTTGTTGTAAACATTTAAAAATCTTGAGGACTTTGATCTATCACCCTGTGCAAACTTTTCATTTAAAGTGACTAAAATACAAAATGTAAATGTAAAATGCAAAGACAGTTACGAACTAACACCAGGCCAAATTCACTGAATTGCCGAACTTACATAATACAAGTGGTTGAACATTAGAATTTTATATTGAATAGCTTCTAATTGCTTGACTCAACCGACAGCACCTTAGAACGCATAAGTTGAGTCCCCTAGACCTTTCCACCTAAGTCTGCAACAGTTCTAGTGCATAGTTGGGAAACCGTATACATTGCCACTTACTACGGTTTTTCTCCTACTTGACAGTAGATGAACACACATCCTTCTCTAATGTGTTTCAGCCCCTCTCGTACCACCGGTTCAGCTAAAAAAAAAAATTGATATAAAATGATTACATAGCAACTCTGCAAACATATCAACTATCAGATAGGCACCGATAAACAGCGTCCCTCTCCTTCCCCTCCACCACCCCAGTCTTGGAAAGTACTCAAACTTTAACCTGCAGTTAACTGAGGAGGTTAATATAAGTCAGTGATTTGAGGGCACTTTAAGGGTGAGGATCAAGTCCGAGTCCTGATCTATCCCTATGCCAAACTGCCCAGAGAACTAAAAGCACACATATTTGCCTACTTACGGGAAGCACAACTTTCGTCTGTAAGACGCTATTCATATGGGGAAGTGAAAAGTTTAAAAAGACTAGCTTCCAAGATCAGGAGGAGAATGGTAGAAAGTGGAATGGCAGGGCAGGGCAAGACAAGAGAAGGAAAGGAGTAAGGGGCTCGGGCGAGAGGACAGAGAGCTCCGAGGGTCTCCTTTCCGAGCTCACTGGCCGTATCCTAGGCCTGTCTGCCATTTCCGCTGGGCAGCGGCTCCCGAATCCCGGCCTCACCCAGCGTGCAGTCGGGGCACCAGCTTTGTCCTTCGGCATCCTTAGACCCGGTGAAGTAGGCGAAAATGGTCTTGCCTTCGTGCTGCTTCACAGCCCCTTCGAACTCCTGGAAGCCGGACACGCGTATCTCCTCGTACGGTGCCATCGGGAGAAGGCGCGGCTGGGGGCGGGGGCGCGCTGGAGACCCGATTGCGGCGGGGCGGGGCCCCGCGTGGGGCGGGGCGAGGCGGGTACCGGCTGGGCAGGGCGGGGCCTAAAAGGGCCGCCAAAGGCTCGGGCTGCTACGGGAGCCCCTGACGGACATAATTCTTTCGCGTCGTCCTTCTGCCTCGCTTCACAGCTCTTTCGATGCTGACGCCACTTCGAAACCTAGACTTCTGCCTTAGTGTAGTCCAGGCCCCGTGTTCAGGGGCTGCAAAACTCGCCGTGCAGGCCCTTAATTAAGTGGCTCCGGAGCCTTAACGACGCCCGAGCCGTTCTGCGCCTGTTGCTATGGCGACTGAGCTAGCGACCGGAAGCGAGGCCTAGTTTCCCCCTCCCCCCTTGCTCGCTTCCCGGTAGGCGCGCCTCGCCCGAGGCCAGGTGGGCTCGGGCCGGGGCTAGGGGGATTCTGGGAAGCTGCGTTAGGAGTCCTGGATCTCGGGAAGCGGAGACCTTGAGCCGGGGCACATCCTTTCGCTCCGTCGCCCATAATTATCTTTTCTCCAACCGAGGCTTTAAGGGCCCGGGACCGGGGCGGGGGGCGGGCTCCGGGACTGGGGGAAGCGAGGGCGAGGTGGGGGCTGGAGTCCAGAGTGTGAGTTTGTGTGGAGCCGCCTTGGGAGCCAAGTGCTGAGAAAGACAGGTCCTGGGGCTGCGTTAGGGAAGCCGGGAATTGTCCTCGAGCTATGAGCAGGGCAACTGGCCGTGAGTCCTGGCGGCGTGGGGGCGAGCCAGCGGCAGAGATGCCCGGCCGCTGTGTGGGACCCAGCAGGTCAGGGCGGGGAGTTCGGCGGCCATGGGGGAAGAGATGGGATACAGGGGCATCCCCAGGCCGTGGAACTAGGCGCCGGGCTAAGTCTTCAGTTTGGGGGACGCGCTGTGTGCGTGCAGAAAGGCTGCAGGACTGTCGGCGGCCATGGGGGAGAAGACTAGCGGCACAGATAGGCGAGGACGCTGGGGTGAACGAGGTTTTGGGGGTACTTGGCACTGAAAGCTCCATCGAGGTTGCAAGGGACCCTGGGACTGTGCGGGTGAATGGGACTGTGGGGGAACCCCAGGTGGTGGGGCCTGCTGGGTCCGTGTGGGTGACAGGTACTGGGAAGGAGGAGGAGGAGGAGATAGTTTACTGGAGTCCCCGGAGCTGTGAAAAAAAAGGTCGTCCGGGATCTATGGGGCATGAGAGCATTCTGGAACTGTGGTTGAAGGTGCAGGCTATGAGGGCAGCTTCAGGATGTGAGGAAGGAAGCAGAGTGGAGCTCCATCCTCTGCCTGCGGGAGATTGGCCAGTTGAAAGGGGTATCCCTGGACAGGCATCATGGATAGAGACTACTCACGGGGGAGTCACAGGACCATGGGTGAAAAGCCAGACTATGGCAGTTCCCCAAGCCACAGGAGTGACTACAGCTATGAGGCTCAGGGCGGTTTGTGAGAGGGTCTCTGCCTTGTGTGGGCAGAGACCTGCTGTGAGGGTCTCTCCTTCCAGTGTGCCTGAGACTGTGGAGATAAGTGCTGATATTATCCCACACCAGCTGGGTAGAGTACAGGCCTCAAGGATGCCTGGGACAGTGGAGGAACTAGGCTATGGGGTTGCCTCAGGTTCTTGGGGAAAAGGACCAACTCTGAGGGTACCTGGGACTGTGGGGTGCCCTGAGGCTGCAGAGGTACCTAGAGCTGTGGAGGGAGTTATAGGCTATGGGGGTGCTCCAGGTCTGAGAGAGAGGGGACAGTCTGTGCAGGTGCCAGGGACTCTGGCATATGGAGCAGCCTGTTCTGGGGATATCCCCGGCTTATGGGGCAGTGGACAGGCTGTGGAGTTGCCTGATACTGGAGGGATGCCCAGAGTTATGGAGGAGGAAACTACCTCTGTGGGAGTCCCAGGCGTGTGGCAGAGACAGGTTGTGGAGGAGACAGGCTCTGGAGGTGTTCCTGGTCTGTGGGCCACAAGACAGCCTGTAGAGGTACCCTGTGCAACTGAGGAATTGAGATATGGAGGTGACCCAGGATTCAGGGAGCGGGGACAGGCTGTGTGGGGAGAGACAGGTTCTGGAGATGAACTGGCATCATGGGAGGAAACTGCACAAACTGCAGAGGTGTCTGGTCCTGAGGAGCAGGAGGCAGGTCCCGGGGATGCCCCAGGCCTGTGGGCTATAGAACAGGCTGTGGAAGTACCTCAGGCTTTGGGGAAGGATGCAGGCTGTGGAGGTGTCCCTAGTCTGTGGGGAATAGAACAGCCTGTGGGAGTGTCTCAGGCTGTGGCAGAACCTGGAGCCCTGGGAGAACAGACAAAGTGTGGTGGTGTCCTCGGCCTATGGGAAAGGCAGCAGGCTTCAGGGGTGCCTCTGGCTGAGGCAGTGCCAGAGGTTGTTGGAGATGAGATATGCGGTGGGAATGACCTGAGCCTATGGGAGAGGAGACAGGCTGCAGCAGAACAGATGGCTCTGGTACCTCCAGCTTTAGGGATATCTGGGCCTGTGGACCCAGAGACTGGCTGTGGGGATGCTTCATGTCTGTGCGGCAGGAAACAGGCGGTGGGGCTGTCTGAGACAGTGGCGAGACCTGGGGTGGCAGATGTGCCCAAGCACAGGTGTGCCCCAGCAGGGGCGCCTGCCGCTGTGGGTGTGCCCAGGTCTGGAAGCGTACCTACCAGGGTACCTGCCGCTGTGTGGGTGTCTGGCCCTGTGGATCAGGAAAGCCCCTCGAGAGATGTCTTGAACCTGTGGGAAAGGGCTGATTCTGTCAGAATAGCCTCAGCCCCTGAGGAGCTATGGTCTGTGGGAGAGGAGGATGGCTCTGCAGCTTTCCCAGGAGCGTGGGGAAGGAGCCAGGCTATCGGGGTTCCGATGACCACCAGAATTTCCATGGCTTCTGAGGTGCCTGGACTTGTGGGGGCGGATGCTGACTTTGGGGGTTTGCCAAGATCTTCAGGAAGGAGACAGAGTGACTGGGTTCCTGTGGCTGCTGAAATACCTGAGGCTCCTAGAGTGTCTGGTTCTCGGGAGGTAGATAATGCCTCTGGGGGTTTCTCAGGCTTGCCAGGAAGGAGACAGAATGTAGGAGTACCTGTGACTACAGGAGTGTCCACCAGTGGTGGGGTGCCCGTGGCTCCCAGGGCACCTAGGCTTGTACAGGAGGAGACTGACTCTGGAGGTATCTCAGGCTTGTGTGGAGCAAGAGAAACAGTGAGACGTCCTGCTGATGGCATAGGTCACACAAGGATGGGGGTGCTCATAGCTGCCAGGATGCCTGGGCCCCTGAGGGAAAGAGCAGGCCCTAGGGGCATCTCAGACTTGTCCGGAAGGAGACAGACTGCAGGATTATCCATGGCTGGGGAAGTGTGCACAGCCACCGGGATGCCTGGGCCTGTGGGAGAGGAGGCACTCTCTGGGGGTCTCTTGGGCTTCCCAGGCAGAAGACAGACTGCTGAGATGGCTGAGGCCTCTGGAGTTTCCATGACGGTGGGAGTGCCGGCAGCCCAGGCCCCTGGGCTGATGGTGGTGCATACTAGCTCTGGGGATATCCCAGGTGTCTGGGGTAGGAGACGAGTCACTGAGGTGCCTGCTGTTGCCAGGGCTTCTGGATCTGTGGACGGGGAGAGTGGCTCTGAGACAGGGCCATGGAGAAGGAGACCTAATGGACCAGTCCCTGAGGCTCCGAGGATACCACTGTCTTTGGGAGTGCTCCCAGCGGTAGGAGTTCCTGCAGCCGGCCGTGCGCCTGCTGCAGTGTGGGTAACTGGGTCTGCAGGAAAAGACACAAGAGCATCTGTGTCAGGCCTCACTGCGGTGAGGAGACAATCCACAGAGGGACCTGGGGCTTCAGGGGAGATGGGAGGTAGAAGTGTCCTGGGCCTGGACAGGAGGAGCCAGGCACCAGGGGTGTCTTATACCTGTGGGCGAGGGACCAGGTTATGGAGCTCCCCAAGGTCTGTGAGGGAAGAAATAGACTCTGAGAATGTGCCAGGAGTGTCAGGGACCAGAACAACACAAGGGATGCCAGAAGTTGTGGAAGTACTGCCTGTTGTCAGGGAGGATTCAGGTTTTGGCCGTTTCAGAGCTCACTCACAGCAGAATGGGAGAAGACCGATTAGAGGAGTGTGTGGAATGCGAGTGGGGGAAAACAACTTGAGAGATAATTATATGGAGGAGGACAGGTTTAGGGGGTCATTCCAGTAGTAGGTATCGGGAACAAGTTGGGGGGAATTCTGGGGCACTTTGGGAGGGAACAGGTTTGGGGGGATGGTTTGTCCTGGGTTGTGGATAAAAGCATAGAGGATAGGGGTTGCCTCTCTGGATGGGGGAGAGATGTTCCAGGCTATATAGGGTAACAAATTGGGAGGTTTCCTGGAGCAATGGGGAAGGACAAGTGGCAAAGAGAGTGGTGCCTCAGGATTGTGTACAGGGGGACAGTTTGGGGGTGAACTTTGTGTGTGTGTGTATGTGTGTGTGTGTGCAGCATCACTTGAGAAATCCTGGAACTGTGGGGATCATCAGTGTTTTTTCCCAGTGGAGAATGGATTATTAGCATCCAGCAGGAAAGTGCTGACCACATAACAGTTGCAGACGCCCTCGCCCCAATTCTGCAGGCTTCTTCATTCTGGGCTCTGGTCCCTAAACAGTCGGGTGTCAAGCCAATTGGGATTTGCCTCGCTCATGAGCCTCCTCCCATCTTCATTTCTGATCATGTTTCTGCAGCCTTAGAAATGAGGCGTCTTGGACAATTGCCTTTATGTTCCTGCAGTTGTTTCTGTCGTAAATCCAGTATACAAACCTTGGGTTTATTCTAAAATTTAGAGTTTTTTAAAACCTACATTTCCCAATTGATTTACTATAGGATTCCGAGAGAACAAATTCCCCAGTACATTTAAAAGACAGTTTTATGGAAAATCAGCTTAATTCAACAAATGTTGAGTTAAATTGTCTGCTATGCTCAAAGCACTGTATTATGGGAAATACCAGAGAAGAGCAAGACAAGGCCCTCTCCTCAAGGAACCTTGTCTAGCGGGGAAGATGAGACATATACCTGGGAAATAGGTAAATAAAATGAGACAAGTGTGTGGTAAAAACACATTCTTTGCAGAGGGCAGGGCTAATAAAGTACTTATAAAGAGGCAGTCAGAAACGGGTGATGCAATGATACAAGTAGCCCATAACAGCTTGCAAAATGTTTTCATGTGTTTTATTTCACTGTGAGAATGAAGGGGGGGCTGGAAAGAGAGAGGGAAATTGAAGATTAGACAGGACTAGGTAGTGGCAGGGCCTGATAAATCTAGGTATTCTGACCCTGCAGGTTTACTTTGAGTCATTCAGAGTTGTAGCCTTTTAAGCTACCCAGAAGAGTGAAGCATACTGTGTTCTGACTAGTGGTGAGGATTTATTCTAACTGCCCTCCTGGGAAGTGTTTGTTTGCCATAGCAGAGCTCTGTTTTTTGAATCATGTCTTAACTGGAGACCCTTGAGATTAGAAATTTGGTAAAGGGTTCAAGAGATTGTCATTAAAATAGTGTGGTTGCCTATTCTCCTGGAAAATCAAATTTCAAAACTTTTTTTTTTTTTTTGTAAGTGGAGAACACTATCATATCTGCCCCCTTCAGCATTTGTTCTTCAGTATGAGGTTGCTGTAGTGTAGACAACCTGTAGAATATTGTTGCACCGGCATGACATTTTCTTTGGTTTGATGACTGTGGAATCTCAAAGTAGCTTTCTTTGATTTTAGGCAATAGTTCTAGGAACTGTTGGCCGATGACCAGGCTTGCACAGTTATTCTACACTGTCTGATACGATGGGACCCGGCTGGCCAGCTTCAACCTGTGTTCATCTAGCATCTAGTGACCAACCAGGTGGGATGAGTGACCTCAGGAGACTTCAGACTCAGGTAGTTTTGTTTTCTTTTTGATTCAGGTTTTGTTATGGAGCAATTTTTTTGGGGGGGAGGGGAAAGCAACACCTTTTAAATGACTTTCCATATTTCAACAACTATGAGCCATTTGTTCCATTTTTCTGTCTACCCATCTCTAAAAATTTAGCAGAACCATTTTAAAGTAAGTTATAAGCATCATGACACTTCTAAATATTTTAGATTACTGCTCCTAAAAATGAACTCCTATTTAACCATATTACCGTTATCACACTTAAGAAAATGGACAAAACATTTCCTAATATTATCCAGTAACCATTATATTCAGCTTCACCCAGTTGTCCCAAAATATCTTCTCCCCCAACATTGTATTATGAAAATATTTAGCAAACATACAGCAAAATCATTTTTACAGTGAACACCCGGATCCCATTTTTATTTCACTGTATTTCTTTCTTTGCACATCTGTCCTTTAGTTTATCCCTCTAGTATTCATTCATCAACCCATCTTATTTTTTGACTCATATCAAAGTAAATTGCAGACATGAATACTGTAACTACTTTAGAACAGGTACCGCACACAGGAATTCATTGTTTACCATTATTTTTTTTGATAAAAATTTTACATCTGAAATGAACACAGTAAATGGTATATGCTTATAACATTGACTGAGTTTTGACAAATGTGTACACCTGTGTAACCTGTACACACAGATCATGTCTGTTAACCAGAAAGTTCTCATGTCCCTTCCTAGTCTGACCCCACTCCTACTCTTCAGAAGCAGCCACTGTTCTTACTTTTTTCCTAATCAGATTGGTTTTGCATGTTCTTGAACTTTGTGTAAATGGAATATACTGTGCATGTATAACTCTTCTGTGACCTGACATCATGTTTTTGAGGTTCATCCATATTGTTGCGTATATCAATAGCTTGCTACTTTTTAATACTGTGAGTCTTCCATAGGGGAGTGTACTACAGCTTATCCATTCTCCAGTTTTCTAGTTTGAATTATTTAAATGCAGCTGCTATAAATATTCTTATACAAAAATTTTTTTTTTTTGTATATTTTCTTGGATAATAAAATACCTGGAATTGAAATCACTGGGTCATAAGTAAGTGTATGTTTAGTTTTTTAAACTTTTCCCAAAGTGGTTGTACCATTTTACATTCCTACCAGTCAGGTATGAGAGTTCCTATGCTCTACATTTTTGCCAAGATTTTGCATATTTTTAAAATTATAACCATTCTGGTGTATGTGTAGTGTGGTTTATGAAGAATTTTGAAAAATTTTGACATAATTTCAGACAATTCAAAAGAATTTTGACATAATTGCAGGCTGATAGGTCACAAGAATAGTACACAGAAGTACATACTGTTCTCCTAGATTTCCTAAATGTTGACATTTCTCTCCCTTTTTCTCTCTTCCCATGCACCACCCATTATTTGCCATACAGTTTAAGGTTAAGTTGCAGACATAATGCCTTTTATTCTAAGAACTTGTATGTATGTTTCCTAAAAACTGCGACTTCTCTTATATAATCATAGTATAGTGATCAAATCAGGAAATTAACATTAATAAAATGCCATCATATAATTTATAGACCTTGCTGAGGTTTTGTTAGTTGTACCTATAATGTCCTTTTAGCAAAAGAAAATCCAAGATCATACTCTGCATTATCTGTCATGTATCTTTAGTTCCCTTTAATCTGAACCATTTCCGAGTCTATGTTTTGTGACATTGGCATTTTCGGAAAAGACAGACCAGTTGCTTGAAGATTTTCTCAGTTTGGGTACATCTGAATTTTTTTTATAATTACATTCATGTTATGCAAGTGTGGTGGGCAAACTGCTGAAGCAACACTGAGTTCTCAAGGCATCTCTATCAGGAGGTACATATTGTCTCTTAGTCCTATTACAGGCACTGGTTACTTCAGTCATTGAAGGTGGTACTGCCAGGCTTTCTATTGTAAAGTCATTCTTTTACCTTTTGTAATTGAAAGTATCTGTTGTCTTTGGGACTATATTGATATCCCCAAACTTTCAATGACTAGTTTTAGCATACATTGTTGAATTTTGCCTGAATCAAAAGTTTTTTATTATGATGGTTGGCAAATGAGGACTTACTTATATCGGTGAAGGCTCAGAATCTTCAGTTACTCAGTAGGCTATAATCTCTTACCTTTTATTTCAATATCCAGATACTTATTTCAGTGTTCAAATGGTCTCTGATGTGGCCAGTAAAAGCCACTTCAAGCTAGCTGTCTTTTGTCCCTTTTTTGTGTTTCCATCAAAGTTACTGCATTTTTGGTATAAAAATATATTCCAGGCACTAACCATGGAAGCAGTCATTTATTCAAGGAGCTTTCATTCCTTTAGTGCAGAATGGAATTTAGAAATCAGTATCTGGGACTCAGTGCTCATTGGTCCTCAGGTTTCAGTGTGTCAAGGCCCTCTCAGAGCCTGGAGCTGGAAGCAGCTGCAGGTGCCCATGTGCCCATAGCCACATCCACCTGCGGATCTACACTCAGGTCTCTCCTGCCCCCTCCTCTTTCTCCATTCTTCCCACCCTTCCGTGTACCTGCCTGTCTCTGTGATAACCTATGAGTTCACTCAGATCTCCACAATTCTAATTTGACCTTTCCATATTTTTAATTCTCTTATTCAGCAGTGAGAAACCTGGCTCCAACTATTCAAATTATTTGCTCAATCCAAGAGTGTACAAACTTGCAGAATTGCGATTCATGTCTCTGCCAAAACTGGACCCTACAAATTAGAGTTCATATTTGTTTAGAATACTTTTTGTCTTTAGCCTGAGATCATAAAATCGAGATGCTGTGTTCAAAAGATAGATTGTTTTTCTTAATTCACTTTTTAGCGTGGTTATGTTATTTGAAATTCAGTTTGGTTTGTTGGTTTCTGTTAGTGTTAATTTTTAGGGTTTCTCTCCATCCTTAAGGATTTTACTCCCTTTCTCCCTCTTTTCTTCTCTCCCTTTCTCTCTTTCTAGTATATGTGCAACATTAACGTTGTTCCAAATACACCTGTACAGAAAGAAAGTGTTATCCTCACTCCCATTCCCTCTTTCATTTATACCCAATTCCTACCCATACCCTGTAGATTTAATCTCTGGTTTTTCTTTCTTGTATACTACTTTTGTCCAGATGATCAGATACATGCATATTTTCTCATGTTTCCTTTTTTCTTATAGGGCGCATGTAATATGTTGTAGGTACTCTTTCTGTACTCTGCCTTTTTCACTGAACAGAGTGTCTGAGAAATCCCTCCAAGTCAGTTTGTAGAGATTCTTTTGTATATCTATCAAAATCTTACTCCTTTGTGTGGAAATGGCAGAGTTTATTCAGTCACTCTCCTATACATGGGCATTTTGGTTGATGCCAACATTTTGCAGTTACAGGCAACACAGCAATGAGTAATCCTGTGCATATGTATTGTTGGGGGATGTATCTTGATGATAACTTCCTAGAAGTGAGACTGCTGGCTCAAATAGTAACCACATACATAGTCTTGTTAGCTGTTGCCAAATTCTCCTCCCTAAGGGTTTTACCAATTTGCTTTTCCAATTTGCTTCTCGCATGCTGCGAGAGTGCCTCTTTTCCTGTAGCCTCACCAATAGCAAATGTTACACTTTTTAATTTTGACTAATCTGTTGGCATTTTACTGTGTTTTAATTGTATTTTTATGAGATTCACCAACTTTTCTTGTTTAAGGGTCATATTTGTATTTTATTTTGTGAATTGTTCTTGTGTTTTTCCATTTTTCTACTGAATTTTAATCTCTTCTCACCTCAGTTTTTAAGACTTAAATATAGGGAGCCCTTTGTGTTTACAAATAATTTTCTCCAGTTTTGCAATTCTTCTTTGTATTTGCTTATGGTGCTTTTTAATTGTGAAATACATGCAACAATTTTTAAAATTTTTACTTTTTGCAATTCTTCTTTGTATTTGCTTATGGTGCTTTTTAATTGTGAAATACATGCAACAATTTTTAAAATTTTTACTTTAACAAAGTTAAAATTTATCACTCTTTCATCACTTGGGGATTTTGAGTCATAGTTAGGACAGCTTTCAATATACCAGTTTAAAGAGGAATTCAGGGCCTCCCCGGTGGCGCAGCGGTTGAGCGCTGGGCTGCGAAGCTGCCCGAAGCCTCTGCAATGCCGGTTCGATCCCTGGCCGCTGGCGAGGGTCCTACATGACGCGCGACCTCTCCTGCCGCCCACTGCTCTCCTCAGCAGTGTACTTTGGTCCATCTGCCTGTTCTGTTCCCCGCTCTGGCTCTGGTGAGTTCTCTCACCCTCCCGTGACTCTGACTGTACCCAGTGCTCATATAAATAAATAAATAAATCTAAAAAAAAAAAAAAAAAGTTAAAGAGGAATTCACCCTTTTTTTTTTTCTAGTCCTTTTTTTTTCTAGCACCCCCCCAGGTACTTTAGATTATTTTTATTTTTTAGAGTAAAGACTTTTTACAAGTAAAACTGTAAGTTTGAAGCACCATTCATCAGCCTGCATTGTTCAAGTGTAATCATTTTTTTTTCTTTTCTCTTAACTTGTAGTGAGCTTTTTAAATACTTCCCACTCCCCCACAATTACTTTCCTGAAGTTTAAGCACATGGATTTATTTTAAAATGACTCTTCATCCTCATTATTATATAAACACAGTTTATGTAAGAGTTGGGGAGGTCCCAATTCTCCAAGATAAAGGTATCACAGCACAGCTTGCATTGAATTTGTAGGTACGGTGTCTTCTAGGGCTGCTTACCTAAAATTGACAGGTCCAAAGCCATAAAATTGTTCCCTTTGAACCAGTTATAACAAAACAGGTGATTTATCCTAAGGAAATAAAGTGTGAAAAGGCTAAATGCATGGAGATCTTAATTGAAGTAATATTTGTATTAGTGAACAACTGGAATAATCTAAATGATTGCTAATAATATTATGTTTAGTTGATTTAAGCATGGAAAAACCATTCACTGGATTTTGGAAAATAAACCATGAAAAATAATAAAAATTGTGGAAATATGAAAACATACCTATATTTGTTAAGTGAAAAACGAAACAAAATTACTATTACAGTTCAAAGTGACAAAAACTTAATCCTGTTTAATAAAATGTAAATGGACTGTTTGGAGCAAGATGCACTTAGGTGCAGGGAAGATGTGGTCCAACCTCCAGATGAAAAGTCTCAGGAAGACCCAAAGAAATATTTTAAATGTGGCTGTTTAAAGGTCCAGGTGTGGCTGTTGGACCTGTAGGAAAACTCATAATGGGTTGAGTTGCTGGAACCCAACATTTTGAAGCAGGACAAAAGCCCATAACTGGAGAATTGAGGAATGTACTGGCTGTTGTTTGGAGCTTTAAGGATTGACTTTTAGAGGAAGAACCCAACATGCTGTTAGCCAAAAGGATAATATTGTGGGCATGGGTGAGTGTGGACAGCTCCCCAGGGGTAGGTGATGAATTTAAGGGTGTAGGAGAGTGGCTGATTCTATTGGCATAACAGAAAAATATCTCTTAGCACTAATAATTGTGTGGGTGAAATTTTTGAAACTTGATTAGAGACATATACCAACTATGCAATATGTTATTTTTCTAATCTGTGCTTATTTTTGTTTTTTTTTTAAGACCCAGCTGCAGTTTAATAGGAATGTTCCTACACATTCAAGCAACTTGGCAATCCAATATTCTTGCCCACATGCAATTAGAATTGAAAAACTGAAGCACTCATACAATGAGTCATACCATTGTAAAAATTTGGATTTTAGAGATGGTCCTGACCTAAGCAGTTCTGTTTCATTTTCTGTCATATCAGAAGAGAGACTTAGCTATGCTGTCCACCTAGCCAAAAGAGATGTGAAACGAAGACAATTTGAAGAACATATAAAAGAACATCATCTCAGAAGTCAACCCCAAATCTCTCAGAAATATGGACACACTAAGCATAAAATATCTGACCACAGGGTGGAAAGGAAGGAATCAAAGAGTCGGGAAGTCTATCAGTGTAGCCACCAGCCATCCAAAGCAGAAATTTCCCGCTCAGGTGCCAAGGTATACCTGTACACATCTCACTGGGGACAGTCAGATCTTACCATGCCAAATTCACCACCCACTCGTGATCCAGGGCTCCAGCCACCTGCCAGAATAAGTGACCACAAAAACCTGTGTGAACACAAGTGCCTGCTAGAAGTTCAGAGACTCCGGAAAGAATTGAGCAGTTGTATCCGTAAAATTGAAGAAGTTGCTAAAAGAGGTGAGAACGATTTGATTTTTTACTTTGAAGAGGTGCCATGAGAGCAGGATAGTTCAAATGTAATCCTTTAACATCCTTTTCCCTCTCTTGCCTCCCCCACCCCCAACAAATTCTGCTTCCTCCTCCTGTGGACCTTGAGTTTTAATAGAAATGCTCCTACACATTCAGTGTCTTTTGACCAGTGTCTTTTTCTCCTAAGAACTGACCCTGCCTAGCCCTCTTTCCAGCAGAGGGCATGGAAGAGCTCCTTCCTTGTCTGCTGCACTCGATAAGGTGACAGACTCAGGGCCCAGTGTGGGTGGGCCCTGCTGCCTGATCCTTAGGTCTTCTGACATTTGAATGCAAACTCTCCTGTAATGTGATTTTTTAAATTATTTTTAAAAGAACATAGTTTATGTGAATTGTAGATAAATCCAGTTCTAAGTTAGACTGTTTAGCTGAGACACAGAAATGAAAAGGGAATTTGTGGATATATGTTTAAAATATTTGACCACAGGGTAGAAAGAAAGGTGTATAATATTGTTCTCTGCAATTTTTCAGTATTCTCTATGCCCTTGTGTTTCCCTGGGAGGAGGGGATTGATTCCATGTGGAGAATTTGGGGTTACCGCATCTAACAAGTAGGGAATCAGGTTCAGCTTTCAGAATAGGGAGTATCAAAAGGAGCTACTGTGCTTGGCGTGTACATGGTCTAAAATGATCTTTTGTGTTTTAAATTTAATTCGCAAATGCATTTGAACATAAATGCATGTTGTATAAGGAATTTAAGGTTTAAGGCTTATAAAATATCTGTAATAAAAAAGATAGAATAAAAAAATGTAAATGAGAATATTGTGTTACAGAACAAATCAAGGAAAGGAAAAATAAGATTTACTAGGGATGGGTTACAAATTTGTTTCTGAGTTTGCAGTCAGCTGAGGAGGAAATGCGATCATTTGACCGAGTCTGAAACAGAAAAAACAGTTGTGCAAAGAAAAAAATTATTCCTCATATTGAGGCTGGAAAGAAATTTCTCCTGTGGGTCTTCATAAAGAGTATGTTGTGTAATACCATAAACTATCCAAGAACATTCCTGCATCAAGTAATAGAAGTGTGTGGCTCTTTGCTTATAGCATTGCTCAGGGGCAGTCTGTGGCGTGGTCCCTTGGCATACTTTGAGAAGCCTTGCTGCCAGGGGCTTGGGACCACAAAGTCCACTGCTGTGGTGAGGTGACCTATTACAGGGGACCGTCACAGCAGCGTTTTTCAAGCATTCCTTGGGTACTTTTATATTTTTGTTTTTAAATTTTCAACCTGTCCCAAGTCAAAACTTTGTGAAGTATAATAAAATGTCATAGGAGTCACACGTTGCTCTAAAAACCTGTAAATGCCTATTTTCAATTTCTGCACTTAGCTGGGTGTAGACTGGTCACCAGTTGTGACAGCTCCTATCTGCAGCCCACCCTCTCAGTAGCCTTGAAGTACGCATGTACTTCCCACACTTTTTGCATCAGAATTATCTACAAGGTGAGCAGTTAGAAACCCTGCCTGGGTCACCATGGTTAACAGGAATGTCAGATGCACAGCTGGAGTTTCCCCTGGGGTGCAGGCGGCAATTTGGTTTGCAGGCTCCTGTGAGACTTCATCTGTATCTATAACTCTGGATTTCAAATTTTTGCTTTCTTCAAAACAGCCTTACCACTTCAAGTTTGACATTTTAATGAGTAAAGACTAAACATTTGTATTTATAAAGTACACTTTTACTGGTTAAAAATACTGATTTTATCTGAGTTGTATAGTGGAGTTTTGCTTAAGAATTGATTTTCTATAAACATATTAGCAAGCTATTAACTAGAAGGAATGACTGTACCATACATCTCTTAGGCAATCTTCCAGAAACAATTTATTTGGACCAATCTTTGGAAAGGGTGCAGCGCCACTGTGTATGTGGGGTTACTTCCTGACCAATACTAGAAGGCTTTGGATTTTCAAATAATTTTAGCACTTGCTATCTTAATCTGTTGGAGAAAGGAATTCTGCTTTGGATTCAAGATGAGAACGTATAAAAGAAATCTTGCTAAACATAAAAATTGGCCAATAAAGAGTTTTTGAAAACATTGAAAGCATCACAGATTTTGGCTCAATGTAAAGAATTTTAAAATAGTAAAAGATGCCTAACAGTGGCCGAGGCTGTCCAGTGGGATTTGGTATGGGAATCCTGCATGGAGGAGAGCTGGCTCTAGTTAATGTCCTGTGTTACTTCCTCCTCTGAGTCTGTACGTTTCTAGTTTCTTGGCTGATGGAATGAAATATTTTATTAAAACAGCCTCATTGTTTTCCTTAATGAAGCTAAAGATTTTCAGCTTTCTTTTCTTGACTAATTGAAATTCTATGAGTTTTTATATGTGGTTTATGTAATTCACTTTGGGGGAAAATTATTTTTTAGATCGAATAGAAGACGCTTTGGATCCAGATGAAGAACGGCGAGTGCGTGTCCGGAGGCAGGAGCATGCCGCTCGTTCTGCCCGCACCCTGTACGTCCTCCAGCAGCAGGTGTGGCTCCCTGGGGTGGGGGACATGCACCCCTGGGCATTGCCTCTCAGGGAAATTGTTTCCATTTGCATCCTATGAGAATTCTAATGTGTTTGTGAAGCTAAATTTCCCAAATACTTGGACAAATAGTTCTTTGTTTATTTTTTATTTTGTTATCTGCTTTTATGTGCATTTGTAAATTTTGTGTAGATGAGATGACCAAACTCCTTAAATAATCATTTTTGACTTCAGAGGGTCATACACACTTGAGAATCTACTAAATAAAGCCATTGATCTTTTCCCTACAAAAAATGCTTATTTATACAACTATGGTCAGGTAGATCAGTTGTCCTGAAACTCTTGGTCCCAGTTATAAACTCTAGTTTTAGAGGATGGACCTTGTTATTTTTCCATCTGTCTCATGTTTAAAATGTACTAGAAGCTTAGAGAGTCGAGTTAATCTGAATAACTTTATTAAACTGTAAAGAATGAAAACCACGCTAAGTGTCTTTCAGTACACATTTAATGGCTAATAAATAGGTATTCACATTTTTTACACTGCAGATAGATATTAAAAAAGTTTTCATTTTAATGCCTTATTAATAAGCCTTTAACTCATTTCTGGCTGGCCCCTGAAGTCACATGTTGGCCTTATTCCTTGAACCAAAACGTGGACATTTTCATTTGAAAGGAAATGCCTGAGTTAGATTTTCTGTATTCTCTTTGGGTTCTCCCTATCAGTTGCTGATCTATACTGCTGCCATGGAGAACCTCCTAAAACACAAATCTTACCTTACCCTGTTCGTCCTCTGCTCCAAAGACTTCAATGACTCTGTAACATAGAGGATGAAAGCTGAGCATGGTACTTAAGCATGGCACTGAAGAGTTATGACTTGGCTCTCCTCCCTTTCCAGAGTCACCTCCACCTTCGCTCCTTCATGTTAAATTCCTCTTACATTGGGGACCAAGGGATGGAAGGTGAACACTGCTTTTTTGACCATCTTGAACTGGAAACCAGTAACTTTTTTAGGGGGCATGAATGAAGAGCCTTGTCTCATTTTCAAGTCACTTGAATTAATAATGGTTATTTTTGGACAAGACAAGATGTATCCTTGTCTACAAAAAAGATCAGTGGAAAGGTATGAAATTTTCGTTTTTCCCCCTTTACAAAACAGGTTAAAGAAATCCAGGAAGAATTGGATAAGTTGAGTCCACATAAAATTAAACACACTAAGAAGGTATGATGCAATTCAGTTATGATTAATACTTGTTATTTATAAATTACATCTCCAGTGTTTTGTTAGTGCTGTGTGTGGGTTCTCTGCACTATTATTTTCAGCATTTGTAGAAACTGTTGGGAGTGAGCACCTTAAATATTCTGAATTTGGGGTGATTTTCTGAGAGCTATTGTTGCTGTTGGTATAAGAAACTGAGATTTTGTCACAAAACCTTTGAACTTCATAATTTTCTTTTACTGTACATTTCAGAATAGAAGTAGCTCAATAAAGAAAGAAGATAGATATAAATATTTTTAAGGGGAGGGGCTAAAGTTCGGAAGTTCTGAATGTTGAAATAACTTCTCACGTCTTATTTATTGCCAGTCATGGGCAATGTCCAGGCTGGCAGCTGCCCATCGAGGAGCCATTCGGGCCTTACAGATGTTCGTTACTCAGTTTACTGACCGAGGGGAGCACCCAGTTCCTTCTCGGTGTAGGGAACTGGGTAGTCTTATTCGCCAGCTTTCACTCTGTTCTGCCAAGCTGGATGCCGATTCTTCTGTCCCTGATGTGGTTATAGAAATTCTACAACAAATTGAGGTATGAGAGGAATTAGCTACTACCTACCTACTAATGTCAAGTATTGCAGAGGGCAGAAGGAAAACTTCACTTTTGTTGTTTTTATAGACTTTTCCAAAATACTGTATTTCACTTCTTTGAGAGTTAGTGGCTTCAATCTAGAAAATATAACAGCTCTTAACCAGGTCCATTAATTAAATGGAATGTTCCATTCCCTGACCATGTTATTTAATAAGGAATTAGCTAGCAGAGGAAAGGAAAGAGAAGCATATGTGTAAATAGGAATATCAGTGTGTACTTAGACCAATTTTTGAAAAGGAGGAACACGTAAAGATAATTGAAAGCAGAGCATCAAGACTCATGATAAGACTAAAGACTGATGGAAATCACACTTGGCATAAGCTAGTCAGGAATGGACAGTTTTCTTAGTTCTTATTGGTAACAAAATGAGAAACAATAAGCCCTTAAATCTTCATAGTTCTGTAATGTTTGTAAGTGCTACCATGTCATTTTGCCTTTTTATCCTTACCTCAGTGTCATGATTTACAATAGGCTTTTTTTTTAAGATTTTTTAATTTTTATACAAGAACTGGGGTACAGGCCAGGTGTGGAGGAGGGTGAGAGGATTCATCCGAGACAGAGCAGAGAACAGAACAGGCAGACCGACTGAAATACACTGCTGAGGGGAGCAGTGGGCAAGACAGGAGAGGTCTACCCCGCCATGTGGGTATCTCCGTGGCCGGCGGGGATCGAGCTGGCACTGCAGAGGCTGCGGACAGCTTCACAGTGCTGCACTCAACTGCCTGCGCCACCAGGGAGGCCCTATAATAGGATTTTTTATTACTGTTTTATAGAAGGTGTAGCGGCAGGACAGGTCACTGAGCAGGTTTTCTATGGTCCGGCAGACCGGGTAAAGGAGGAGAGTCCTGGAGCCCTCGGTGGGTTTTGCAGGCTTTTATTGGGATTTACCAGGTACATGGCAGATAGGCCTGCCAGCCTCCCGGGCCCCAGCAAGTCTTCACTCTTTCTGGGTCTCCGGCGTTCTCTGGTGGTCTCTGCTGCTCTGCTTTCTCGGTTCTGCTTCTGCTTCTCTGCTTCTTTTCTTCTGTTCATTCCCGTGATGCCGCCCTTAAAAACCCAGTATCAGCCCAGGTGAATCCCATCTACATCTACCCATACCCTACTCCAGGTGCCCGCCATCAGGCATGCATTCAGGATCACAGGGTTCCGTCATCTATCCTAATGGCGGGAGGGCAGAAAAGCCTGATACTTTTACCTTACCCTACAGAAGGGCAGCAAGAGTCAGAGAGATGACGCGGTTACTTCTCTTGAGGAATGAAATTCCTATTTCCTGACCCTCATACCAGTGTTTTTTCACTTAGCACCTATTGTCAGGCAGAAATGAAAAGATGACCTTTATATTAGTGTGGCAAAAGTAAGCTGTTAGCTGCTAAGGAAGATGGTGTAGTGGGGAGAATTCTGGACTAAGTCTTAGTCTGCTGGTTCTGCCAAGAGTGCCTCATGGTGGTCTGGAAGGCCCCTCTCCCCTTAAAGTTCCATTATCCAGCAGATGAGTGTGTGATTTGCACTAGTTTCATTCGTGTGTAATCGAATTCACCCTCTGGGGTATTCAAATACAGAGCTTTAGAGGGCATATTTAGCCATGTGATGCTTCTGAGACTTATGCATAAGAAGCATTCACTGGCCAGAATAATTCCATTTTAGAAATTGTAAACATGCTTTATCTGCCAGCTTTTGAAAATATTCTATAGTGCAATGTGGTGATGCACTGTACCATTTCAACAGCTTCCTATTATTGCATTCCTGCTCTCTGAACCAAATCTGTTTGACTGTGTTCAGCTGTCTTTAATTTGTACTGACCAGATGGAGACAGGCCCTCACTGCCCGGTTACAAATGAGTAGATACTTAGAGGAATTACCACTTTCAGGAATGAGGGACAGGTCTGTATCATCTAGTGAGCAAAGCCACTGGCCTGCTGACTTTCCTTTAGTTTATGAAAATGTATGTTACATATAGTCTATTTGCTCACTTACAGTCATACTTGTGTTTGTGAGGTTTTCATTGAGAATTTAAATGCCTTAAAATTATACAGGATTAGGGCCTCCCCAGTGGTGTAGCGGGTTGTGCTCAGTGCTGTGAAGCTGTCCGCAGCCTCTTGCAGTGCAGACTCGATTCCTGGCCAGCCAGGGAGTTCCCCACATGGCACGGCGGACCTCTTCTGCCTTGCCCGCTGCTCCCCTCAGCAGTGTTTTCAGTCATCTGCCTGTTCTGCTTCCCGCTCTGTCTCAGGTGAGTTCTCTCACCCTCCAATGCCTCTGGCCTGTACCCTGGTTCTTGTATAAATAAATAAATCTTTTAAAAAAAATTATACAGGATTATATTCTGAAGACTATATTTAATTTCTAAGTTGGGGTCCTTAATTTTAGAATTTGAACACCTTTAAAAATAGTCATCTTTTTTATCTTTGCTGTTGGTTTTCGTGAATTACACATGTAAATAACTTGCACAATTCCTTTTATTAATTAGCTAGATGTCCAAGATATAAAGTGTTAAAGTTAACGTTTCATAAACCATTAGACATGGCCATTTAATAACACATTTCTCTGGAGCCCTCATTTTTAGTTTTGCGATGAAAAATCTGACTGATAAGATAAACTAAGAATAATTGACTTTCATGGCAGGCTTTGGAATCCCTTCTGGAAAAGAAATTGTCACCAAAAAAGGTGAAGAAATGTTTCTCTGAAATTCAAAACAAATTCCCTGTTGGTCAGCAAAGGGCCTCCGAGACATGGCAGAGTACTTCCCCGAGGAGTGAGAGGAGATCCTTTGTCGCCAAGGAGGTTTTCCCTCAGGAAACAAGACGGCCCTCAGTGGTAAAGAGGCTTCTTGCTGGTATGTGTCTGAAAGGGTTTCTGCATGTTTTTGGACAGTAAAAGTTGCTGCATTGAGGGGAAAGCCAGGCGTTCGAACCAAGTCCACAATCGGTGTCCTGGCACTCCTTGGGATAAGTGACTAGCTATCAAGGTGCTTTCTTAGACTATTCTTTCGTAGAGGAGGGTGGAGAAAATAAAATTCCTTTTTCTTATGTCACAGCATTTGGGCTATATAAACAGAGCTGGAAATTAGACCCCTGCTTTTTCTTTTAAGTTCAGTTGTACCTTAATGATAGATAAATATATGTAGCTCCCCCCTCCACATGTACATTTGATATGTATATATTTTTTAACATGGTAATAAATTCATGTTATTCCATGGAGTGGGATTGTTAGATTATGTGCTATGCACATTAAACAGATCTGCCAACTTGCCCAAGAAAGTGGGCATAATAATTATACTTTGACTAGCAGTGATATTCAGCATATATTTCTCTACACTAAGTGCTTTATATAATTTAAATGATTTTCTAGTCCTGGTGGAAAGTGGTATTATTGTTTTACTTTGCCTTTCCCTGAATCTTAGTGAGGAAGAAAATTGTTTCCTGCTGTGTTCCTTCCTTAGCATGCTCGTTTCTTTGTCTGTGATTTGTCTGTTCACGTCCTTTGCCATCTCCCTGCTGGGTTGTGTGTCTTCTGCCAGTAGAAATAATAATTACATGCATTCTGAATTTTAATCCTCTCTTGGTTTTCCAGATTATTGTAAATATTTTCTCGTAATCACTTGCCTTTGAAATTTGCTTATGTTATCTTTTCTGATATAGAAAATTTTAATTTTATAGGAAAAAATCATCATTCTTTCTTACATATTTAAATATTTCATGAAGCATCTCTTCCTTCGTTTTCAAAATTTTGCTGGTGGTGATTGCTTCCAGAGGAATTTAGAATGAGCTTGTCAAGTTCCAGGAAAAATGCTGTGGGTATTCTGATTAGTATTTCATTGAGTTTACAGATTAGTTAGGGAGGAAATGACATCTTTACAATAAGCAGTTGTCCCATCAGTTTATGCATGCCTTCCTTTCATCCCTTGAGCTGAATTTTACAATTTTCTGCATATAATTTTCTACATTCCCTGATATGGGAATACATAGGAATTCCTAAATTCCCTGATAGGTTTATTTCCAGGTATTATGTTTTATAGGTTTTATTCTGTTGAATAAAATATTTTTATTACATTTTAAAGTTGGTTATTGTTACTTCTAGGAGAGCTTTTGGATTTATACATTGGTCTTATATTTGGCAACTGCTGACATCTTCATTATGAAGCTGTACTTTGTTGTGTTAAGGTATAGATTTGAGCATTTCTGAAATTGAAATGCATTATTAAATTGATTGACAATATTTTTAAGTTTCTGATTGGTGCACAAAACAATGACAGGCCTTAAACTTGATGTTTTAGATGTGATGAAATAGGAGAATTTGTTCATTCTTTCGTATTTTTCCAGATAGACAAGATCACTTATCAATAAGGAAAGTTTTACCTCTTCTTTTGCAATTTTTATATCTTTGATTTTTTTCTCTTTCTGTCTTACTGAATGTTGTAATTCAGGATAATATTGCACAATGGCTTTAATGACAAGCATTTCCCTGCAGATTTAATGGGAATGGGAATGTTTTTTTTCATATGATGCTTACTGTTGATTTTTAGCAGATTCACATAGAGGACATTTTCTTCTGTTGTGCAAAGAGATTTTCTTTTCCTAATTCATCATCTAGAGATACATGCTTTAAAATGGTTCTAAGATTTTAATAGTATTTAAAAATGGTTTAAAAAGGTTTCTAAGATTTTAATATTGAAGTTTTTCATGTGTCATTTATATCAGTATGGAAAAATCCAGAAAAGATACAGTTAGAAAAGTACACAAAATATGAATTTACAACTCAATTAATTACCATAAGATTAACATCTGTATAGTCACTACCCAAGTCAAGAAATAGTACATTATGAGCACTAAGAAATCCTCTCCCTTCCGCTTCAAATCTGTATTCCTTGCCTCTTCCCCCAAATTATTATTTTGAATTTGAATGCCATACTTCAGTTTTGCCTGATTTGGAACTTTATAAAACCAGAATCACATAATAGGTTTCTCTGGACTGGCTTCTTTCATTTAACACTTTGTCAGATCCGTCTATTCTGTCTGTGTAGCTGTGATTTGTTTATGTTCATATCACAGTTTATCTGTTCCTTTGTTTTAATTCTTGGGTTTCCAGTTTTAGGCAATTGGAAAACTACTGGAATTGGTTTTTTGTGTCTTTTGGTATATATGTGCATGTACTTCTGTTGGAGCTATTGACAGGAGTATAATTGTTATGTCATAGGGTAAGTGTTTTCTAAAGTGTTTGTCATTTTATGGTCCAGCCAACTGAGTATGAGAACAGTTGTTACACATCCTTGTCAACACTTGATATTAAGTTTAAAAAATTTTAGCCACTTGGTGGTGTGCAAAGCTATCATGTTTTAATTTACATTTCTAGATGACTCGTGGTGTTGAGTACTTTTGTCAAATGTTTATGGCCATTCACATGGCTTCTTTGGTGAAGTTTTAGTTCATGTCTCTTGCGTGATCCTCTCTCATCCTGCTTTTCCTTTCTTCCTTTCTCTCTCTCCTTTATTTTTTACTCATTTGCAAGTGTGTGTGGGAGTATTGTGCATAGGGTTATCTGTCTTGTAAATGTTTTCTTAGGAATAAGATGTGGCTTGTTTTTAAATGTCTTAATTTCACTGTAGTCCAGTGTAGTTATCTGCTGGTATAATTTTTGTTTTCTTACCCTTTCTTAAGGTTGAAAAGACTTTTTACTTTGTTATTTCCTAGATAAGTTTCATTTTCATCAGATGGATATCCTGTTGAGGTAGCACTATTTGTGGAAAAGATTATTCTTTCCCTGAAGTGGCATGCAGTACCACTTCTGTCATCAGTGGTGTCCGCATGCTTGTGGGTCAGTTTCTGCACCTTCCATTCTCTTCCATTGATTTCCTCACTGGTTCTTAGGCCAGTACACACTTTGTTGTTATTCTCAGCCTTGATCCACAGTAGAACAGTTTTTCCTACCTGTTCTTCCAGAATGTCTTGGTTAATCTTGATCCTTGGTATTTTCATAGAAATTTTAGATTCAGAGCTTGTCGCTTTTTCCCATCTCCCATGCTTGCCAAAACAACAAATCTGTTGGAATTTGTTTTAAGATTTATTTATTCATTTATGCATAGAAGAACTGGGGTATAGGCCAGAGGTGGTGGGGAGCGGGGGTGGTGAGAGGATTCATCAGAGACAGAGTGGGGAACAGAACGGGCAGACTGACTGAAATACACTGCTGAGGGGAGCAGCGGGCGAGTCAGGAGAGGTCTGCTGCACCATATGTGGGTTAGCTCCCTGGCTTGGGATCGAACTCACGCCTCTACAAGGTGATAGTGCTTAGATTTAACCCCCAGGCCACCAGGGAAGCCCCTTCTGTTGGAATTTTGTTGAGGAATTGTTGCCTTTATAATGTTGAATCTGCCAATCTGCAAATAGGATATATTGTACCATTTAGTTATGTTTTCTTTAAGTACTCTCAGTAACTAACAGTTTTTGTGTGTGTGTGCCAGGGTGGGTGTCATCTTTCATCATATCTATATCTTCATTTTGATATTTTCAGTGTTCTTGTAAATGATCTCTTTTAAAAATTTTAATTTATAATGTTTATTGCCAATATATAGACAAAGAATTGCTTTTTATATATCAATCTTGTATCTACCAACTGTGCTAAACTCATTTATTTCTAATAATTTATCTGTAGATTATTTTTATTTTGCTGTGTATGTTGTCATCATCTGTAAATAACTTTGGTTGATTTCCTCTTTTCCAATTTTCCTTTTATTTCTTTTTCTTCTATAGTTTTCTGGTTTTATTTACTTGAGCTATAGATGACTGACACAAAGGTATGTTAAAGTCTCTTGTGATACTTAATGCTTTCTTTAAATATACTTTTTTTTTTTTTTTTTTAAATAGAGGCATGTTTTATTTATTTATTTGTTTGTTTGTTTGCTTGTTTTCTTTATACATGCACTGGGTACAGTCAGAAGCACGGGAGGGTGAGAGAATTCACCAGAGCCAGAGCGGGGAGCAGAGCAGGCAGAATGACGAAGTACAATGCTGAGGGGAGCAGCGGGCGGCAGGAGAGGTCTGCGCGCCATGTGGGACCCTCCTCCGGTGGCCGGGGAGCAGCCGGGGATCGAACTGGTGCCGCAGAGGCCGCGGGCAGCTTCGCAACCCAGCGCTCAACCGCTGCGCCACCGGGGAGGCCCACTTAATGCTTTCTTAATTTCTCATTGTAATTCTGTTCATTTTGACTTTTATATTTTGAAGTTGTAGTGTTAGGCGTAAGAGTTCCTGACTGCTAAATATTTTTTGTGGACTATATGTTATTAAAAATCTGTCTTTTTTAATGTCATTCTTTTTTCTCTGATATTAATATTGTTTCATCTACCTAGCTTTTTTTTGACATATTCCTAGAGTAACATCTCTTTATGTTGAGACTTTTTTTAGCTGTTTCGTTTTAAGAATGTCTCTTATAAATAGTTTATATTTTTGGTGTTTTAAATTATTTTGGTGTTTTAAATTATTAACCTACTTACATTTATTGCAATTAATGATATATTTGAACTTTCTATCTTATTTTATGTTTTTCATTTGCCAGGGTGTGCTGTTTTTTTTTTTTTTTTTCATTTGTTATATTGTACTTTATTAACTAAGGTTTTCTTGTTTCTTTTTTTCCTATACTAATTTGAAAGTTATGTATTAGTCCAGTTTTCACTTGATTTTTTTCTTAGTCTTATACTTCCACTAATTTTGTGGAAACTGAATCATTTAATGTACTACCTTTAACATGAATGTAACAAATCCTAATTTTCTCAATTACTATTAGATATTTACTCACTCTAATGGGATCTCCTCTTCCCTTTATCAGTAGGCAGGCAGAACTAATACAGTATCTTCCTTTTTGTTTTTAAAGATTTATTTTCATTTATTTATGCATACAAGAACTGGGATATGGGTTAGAGGTACAGGGGCTGAAAGGATTCACCAGAGACAGAGTGGGGAGCAGAACAGGTGTATCTACTGAGATATACTGCTGAGGGGAGCAGTGGGTGAGACTGGAGAGGTCTGCTGTGCCATGTGAGTTAGCTCCCTGGCTGGGGATCGAACTCAGGCTGTCAGGGTGATAGTGCTGAGACTTAACCCCTACACCACCAGTGAGGCTCTATGGAATCTTCCTTTTAACCAGAAGTCTGCTTTTGGTGATATTTCCCTCAAGGGCAAGCATCATGTCTATTTGCCATTATGTCCTTAGGACTAGGCCAGATTGTAGCATGAAAGGCACTAAAAGGAGAGGCTCTGTGCTGAGTATCGTTGCCTAAGAAAGGCTTCTGAGCAGCAAGTCACAGTGACTTGAGTATCAGGGCTTACTTGTGATACTCTGGAGGAAATGTGGAACACATTCCTGTCTGCACACAGATCCATTTCCTAAATAAGTTATAAGGTGACTTATTTAGTTATCTGATAAGTGGTAACAGTTATAACTCATAAGTGAAATATGAGAATCAGCTTCAGAGAGGGAAGTTGGAAGATCTGATAATCTAAAACTCACTATAGGAACAAATGTGGGAAAGAATGAAGACAAACTGACCAACCATCTTGGGAAAACCTTGGGCGAAAAAGACATCTCTTCTGATCCCAGCTCCATCAGTTTCCGACCCTGGGCTGGTGACTTCATCTCTCAGAACTTTTTTTTCATCAGTAAAATGGGTATAAAAGTCCTGATGTCCATATGACTGACTTAGTTGTTGTAAGTAGCAAATTAGGTATTTACTGAGCCCTGTAAAAATGTAAGGCATTGCTTTTGGTTAATAATAATAATCCTAGGTTATTAAGAAAAGGTTAGGTTATGTTAGACATTTGCTGAAAATAAAACAATCATTGGTGACCATTTTAGCATTTTTTAAGCAGTAAAACTATGTGGTTGTAAAGAAGTAAGTGACCTTCAGTTTGCTGGATAATGTATTTATTGTATGGAACAGCCCCATAGACCCTGACAGGGAGAAAGAATGCATCTAGAGTAAAACATTTAACTGTTCATCATCTGAAAAATTGTCATAATCATTGTCTTGCTCTGTGCTGTCATGGTGAGGCTCAATGAGGGGATGAATATGAAGTATATAAGGTAAAAAGTATGGCACAAATGTAATGGATGATAGTCAATTGTTATCATCTTTACGAATTAAAGTCTGGTATTAGCAACTTTGCAAATGAATCCATTTGCACAGTTGACCATATTTTATTTATTTAATTTATGTTTTTCTTCTTGTCCTTATGATTTTGATTTCAGGATACATGTTCTGTTTCTCTTTTAGATATCACTTTGCTTAAATCCTCCATTCTTATCTCCTGTAGTCTCTGCTTCTTCTTCTCTCATCCCTAAAAAGTCATAGAAAGCCACTTGGGTGAAAAACCTTCTCTCTGTTCTTTTTAATGGGGATATATGCGTGAGTCTGATTTGATCGTGTGATTTAGGTCATTGTTGGCTAGTGTAGTTCTTCGTGGCTGGCCAGTGTTCGTATAACTGGTAAGATAGGTGTAACGGTGCTGGCTCCCTCTCCACCAGCAGTGTCTTCACACTCAGTTGCCCCAGGAACTCTTATATTACATTTGCATGCTAATTTATGCAAATCATATCTGAAAAGTCCTTAGGACCTAGATATCAGAGTTGCTTTGCTATATATAAATTGTGTGTTGATTAAAAAAAAAATAGATCAAGGATTCAGTCAGCATTCTTTTCTTTCAAATTATTGATATATTACCTTGCTGTATAAGTTGAATGGTCTTGAAAAGTATCAGATAAAAAAGTAGTGCAGGAAGAATCTGACCCTTGATGTACTGCTATTAAAATAGTGTGAATGGGGCCTCCCCAGTGGCACAGCAGTTGAGCGCTGGGTTGCGAAGCTGCCCGCAGCCTCTGCAGCGCCGGTTCGATCCCAGGCTGCTCCCCGGCCACCAGAGGAGGGTCCCACTCCTGCCACCCGCTGCTCCCCCAGCAGTGTACTTCGGTCCTTCTGCCTGCTCTGCTCCCTGCTCTGGCTCTGGTGAATTCTCTCACCCTCCCGGGCTTCTGACTGTACCGAGTGCTTGTATAAATAAATAAATAAATCTTTAAAAAAATAAAATAAAATAGTGTGAATGTAGTTTTCCCTTTTTTAAAAATATTTTAAATATACAGAAAAAGGAGGAAAATAGTAAATACTTGTGTCTTCACTATCCAGATTTGACAAATTTTAACATTTTTCTGTATTTGCTTCAGATTTTTTTTAAGAAATAAAATATTACAGGTATAGCTAAAGTCTCTTTTATAAACTCTCTCCCCATTTAATACCCCTCCTTCGTCATAGTTTACACTTGTTATAGTATGGACCGCTTCTGTTTTTATACTTGTACAGCTTAAGTATCTAGCCATAAACAATATAAGTTATTGTTTGAAATCCTATACCTTTCATGTAAATGGTTTCTTACAGTATTAGTATGTATCATTCTGCAGTTTACTTTCTCCCCACTTAGATTTCTAAGCCTTGTTCATATTGATACATGAAATATAATTTATTAATCTAACTGCTCTATAGGTTTTCCCATAGTTTATTTTCAGTTCTTACTGATTAAAATTTAGGTGGTTTCCGTTTTCTTTCTTCCATAAACAATGAAGTGAATATCTGTGCTTTCGGTGTACATGTGTGAGAGTTCCTCTGGGTTGAGTGTTTACATAGAATGGAACTACTGACTGGCAGTATGGGTGCATCTGCAACTTTGCTAGAACAATCAAACTGCTCTCCCAAGTAGTGAGGCCAGCTTACTTCTGCAACAGTAGCTTGTGAGATCATTTGTTTTTGTGCATCCTGGTTGTATTTGGTATTGTCACACTGAAATCCGTCCCCCACCCCCATCTGACGGATTTGAAGTGCTATCTCATTTTTAATTTAGATTTTTCTTACTGTTGGTCATAATATTTTCATGTTTTTATTGACAGTTCAGATTTTCTCTTTAAATTGCTAGTTTCTATCCTTTACCTATTTCTCTATTGGATTGTTTTTCTTATAGATTTGTAGATACTCTTTATATATTTTGCATAGTAATCCTAAATCAATTACATCTATTGTGCATATTTCCTTCCATACTCTGACTTGTCTGTCTGCTTCATGGTTTTTTTCAGTCAACAGTGAGTTGTAGTTTCGTGCAATTAAATTTATTTTATTTTATTTTTAAAGATTTATTTATTTTTGTACAAGAGCTGGGGTACAGGCCAGAGGCACGGGAGGGTGAGAGGATTCACCAGAGACAGCAGGGAGCAGAACAGGCAGACGACAGAAGTACACTGCTGAGGGGAGCAGCGGGCGAGACAGAAGAGGTCTGCCATACCATGTGGGATTCTCGCCCGCCAACGGGGATTGAACTGGCACTGCAGAGGCTGTGGACAGCTTCACAGCACGGCGCTCAACCGGCTGTGCCACCGGGGAGGCCCTCGTGCAATTAAATTTAAATACATCAGTATTATATTTGAGTTAGTGAAAGCTTTATTTGCCCCAGTGTCTCCTCTATTTTCTTCTAAAAGCTTTAAAGTTTTCCTTTCTCATTTAGGATTTTATTCCGGAATATTTTAGAATTTAAGTGTTGTTTGGAGTGAGATGAGAATCCAGTTTTATTTTGTTACCTGTGGATACACACAATCTCAGCCCTGTGTTGAACTGTGTAGTTCATACTCACTGACTTGTCATGTGGCCTTGAACATACCCTCCTCCTTTGCTGGATTCTGCCTGTTCCGCACCACTCCCACTCCGCCTTCATCATTGCAGTTTTATCACGAACATTTTATCTCTAGGTGAATAAGACTTCTCCCCCGCCCCACTCCCCACTTTGTTGTTCTTGAGAATCACGCGCTATTCTTGGAATTTCACTTTTTGTAAGAATTTTAGGATCAAACTATTTAGATCCGCAAAAAATTATCTGTCCTGATTTTAATTGAATTTGCATTTGAAATTATAGATTACTTTGGGAACAACTGGCATCTTTACAATATTTTTTTTCATTCGTGTAAACAATTTGTTCAGACCTTGTCTAGTGTCTTTTAAAAATACCTTTGAAATTTTTTCTGTAAATGTTTTGTACAACTTTTGTTACATTCTTGTTAAGTGCCTTATAATTTTTCTTGACAATGGGAGATTTTTTCTCTTCTGTTTTCTCTAATTAGTTACCTTAACATGTGGGAATGATACTGATTTTTGTGCATTTTTCTTCTTTTATCCAAAAACCTTGCTGTGAACTCTGTTGTTGTAATGTTTTGTGGAGTCTCTTGAATTTTCTATGTAGATAACATCCTCAAGTAAAGATAGTCTTATTTCCTTTCCCACTGCCGGTTGAATGTCATATGTGAAGGTCAGGCTTTATTTTGTGTCAAATTGGGAACCATTGAAGGTTCTGAGAAGTGACATTTTAAGTATCTACATCTTAGAAAAGTAATTTTGGTGGCCAGGTAAAAGTATGATTGAAGATAAAGAAGAGGCCAGTGAGGAGATACTATTATTATAGCCACAAGACATTGTATACCTGACCTTGGGAAGGTCATGGACAAAGGAAGGGAGATAAGTGCAAGACATTATTTTGCCCTTAGGATCAAAGGGACCAGAAGAATGGGTGAAGGTTGGTGGTGTGAGACATAGGGAGTCAACCATGACATGGAGGTTTCTGCTAGTAGAGCTGCTGTAGAAGCCAGGGGATGAGGAGCAACTTTGGCAACAGAACATCTCAGCTTTCAGTAGGCCTGGGATAGCTATTTGGATGTCTATAGAGAATCATTTTCACCACTTTGATTTGAATAACTTTTCGTCAGTTTGTCCTTCTGCAATCTCCCTGTAGATAAGTATCAACCTGATAGAGAGCTTCCAGTGACCCAGAAGTTGGAAAGTGAGCTTGATGTATTAGATGTGAACGTTCTCCCAGAAGAAGCCCCATCTATTCTAGAGCAGAACGCAAGCTTCAAAGAAGGTATGTTAGCTCTGGCCAAAACCAAAACAGTGAAAAAGAAGCCTGTGGCCGAGAATCTGCCTTTGAAGAAGAAAGATACTATGGCACCGGCAAGACTACAGCAAGTAAGGAAACCACTTCTTGGTTTTGGTCCATTTGTACTAATCTGACATTGTCCAGAGTCACACAGAGTAGTGAATGGTGGAGCCAGGATTTGAGTTGCCAGTGCCTTTGAGTCCAACTCTCTAAACAAAGCTGATTTCGTTTAGCTCCTGGTTATTTTTATTTTGTTTGGCAAACAAATAACCATTTTTAATATTGTGCTAGTACAGAGTATTCTCTCTTGTCCTGTTTTGGTAGGATATTAAGTAATTTGATAACAAAGGTCCTAATTGGGCAGGTTATTTTAAAATCCTTTTTTTCCCTTGCTTCTTATTTAGAAGTGTGAAATTTGAGGGGATTAAGATTTGATTCCTGCTTAAGATAAATAATCACTCAATATTAAAAGGCACTCTAAGGTAACTTCCTAAAATGGCTCTGGGAGCCAGCTGACTTAAAACTACATTACATTTTAAGCTTTTTTCTATTGTTTAGCTACCAGAGGAGCACTGGCCAGAAGATCACATCCTAACCTGAAAGCTTGATGTAGTTACTGCCCTTTGGTGGTGCAGCTAGAGGCTTCACTAGGAAACCAATATGTTGTCAGGTGACCCCAGAGAAAGGATATTTACCAGTTATCCATAGGCCATGGATTAGGGTCAGGTCTTTTTTTTTTTAAAGATTTATTTATTTATGCATGCAAGAGCTGGGGTACATGCCAGAGATGCGGGGGGTGGGGGGCAGTGAGAGGATTCACCAGAGACAGAGTGGGGAGCAGAACAGGCAGACTGACTATACACTGCAGACTGAAATACGCTGCTGAGGGGAGCAGCGGGCAAGACAGGAGAGATCCGCTTCACCATGTGGGTAGCTCCCTGGCAGGCCGGGGATCGAACTTGTGCTGCAGAGGCTGTGGATTGCTTTACAGTGCGGTGCTTAACCCCTTGCACCACCAGGGAGGCCCACAGATCTTTTTTTTCTTCAAAAGAGACTCTTACGGGGGCTCTCTGGGAAGTCACGAGGGAACCTATGTGCAGTCAGCCGGTTGCTCTTCTCCAGGGACAGCCTCGTTCTCCACAGCATTTAAAAATAGCCTGCTTCATTCTCTTGAGAGGGCGGTGCCTTCCCACCTTCATCTTATCCTACTCCTCCCATTTTAGCCCATTTCATCTTCTAGAAACTCTTGAAGAAATTCCCACTTTATAGATGAGAAACCTAATACTTAGAGCAGTTAAATATTTTTGCTGAGAATATTTTCTAGCGTTTTTTTTTTATTTGTTTGACTAGGAATAAAACAAATAAGTGTGTAATATATATATATTATATATCTTATATGTACAAAGAGAGGGCAAAGGCAGGGATTCTAATTTTGTACGTCCCCCTACCCCCACCAGAGATGTGTCAGTGTAGTTTACACTGTCCTCCTCGTTTCTTCCACAGTGCTTTCCACCTAGGTTTCATGCACCTAGATGCATGAATAGCATAGGGACACTACAAGCTTCAATAAACTGGAGGTTGGAATCAGTTTCTTTGGTATCCATTTGACTTTATAATTCATATTTACCTTTTACAGACACTCTATAAAACTGAAAAAAGTAGACCAACCCAGCCTCTCAGCAAAAGCAGGTTGCAAAAAACAACAGTCTCATCCAGATTAAAAGTGAACCAACAGCCTGTAAAAGACCACAGGACTCCTTGGATACCTCCAAACCCCACATCCCCTCCAGCATCTCCTAAATGGTATGTAAAGATTCGGGTGACTATTTGAGCACATGATCTTACTTTTCCTCCACAGATCAAGGGTGAACTGTTGCTTAAGGCAAATAGCAGCAGCCTTAGTTCCCATTCTCTTAGAAATACTTTTTTGGGTAAGTAATACTTGGAAGTATTTCTTTTGAAGCCTGTTGGTTCCTCACATGGGCCATCCAGCATCCTGTGGACATTTGTACAGGGAATCATGTGTGTCCTTGTACAGAGAATCAGGGGCTTCACTGTCTCTTCCCGCAATAAATTCCAGTTTTCTGAAGTCAGGAACTGTGCCTCTCTTATACCTGAATGTCCACTGCCTAGCACAGTGCCTGGCATTTAGTCACTCTTAATAGACATTCATTAAATCTTTGCTAAATGAACACTTTAAAATAATTCCAATTCCACCTCCAGATAATTTTTTTTTTTTTATGGCCAGAAGATTCCTCTTTATTTTTTTTTTAAATAATTTTATTTTTATATTCCCCATACAATTGCAACCCCCCCATTTTGACCCCAATCCCTCCCCTCCCACCCCCCACCCCACCCCCAAAAAGTATCTCTGGTTCATAGTTTTTTGTTGATTTTGATTTTCACTTTCTTATGGTTATTCATTTTCCTGGTCTCTTATTTAAGTTTTCTAGATTCCTGCTATGAGTGAGACCATCCGGTATTTTTCTTTTTCTTTCTGGCTTATTTCACTGAGCATGATCCCTTCCAGCGCCATCCATGTTGCTGCAAATTGCATGTGTTTATCTTTTTTGAATGCTGAGTAATATTCCATGGTGTATATGGACCACATCTTCTTGATCCAGTCATCTATTTTTGGGCATTTGGGCTGTTTCCAAAGCTTAGCTATTGTAAATAGTGCTGCTATAAACATAGGGGTGCAGGTGCTCTTTGGAATTGATGTTTCTGTGTCCTTTGGGTAATGTTCAACATCACTTGTAATCAGGGAAATGCAAATCAAAACTACAATAAGATACCATCTTACACCAGTGAGAATGGCACATATTAAAAAAACTAGCAACAACAAATGTTGGCGAGGGTGTGGAGAAAAAGGAACTCTTCTGCACTGTTGGTGGGAATGGAAACTGGTCCAACCACTATGGAGAGCTGTGTGGAGATTTCTTGACCTACTAAACATAGAGCTTCCATATGATCCAGCAATTCCAGATAATTTTAAATTATAAAACCATATACATCTCATAAACACTGTCCTGCATACAGGGACAGTAGGATAATGCTCATGTTACTGTCTTGTCACGTTCATTCAGAACACCTGTAGATGAGGAGCCTCCACTCCTCAGAGCTGGAGAAAAGGTACTGTCCTTCAGGGACAGCAGGAAATAAGTGGACACAGCCTTTGGGGGATTGGTTAAAGGTCAAGGGGAACTTGTTTACCATGGGGCCATACTTTTTGAAAGAACAAGGGAGCAGGAGGTCAGAAGCAAAAAGCAGTCATATAGGGACGAGAAGATGGTGACTTGAGTGCTGCTTTTTTGCAGCGTAGTCAGAGGACAGGGTAAGATACCTCCTTGGATTCACTTGAAGACTTTGAATGATTCCAAATGAGTAGTCTTGCTTGTCTTTCAACCTTCATTTTAAAGTTGAAGAAATAATCTGTGAGATAATGTCTTTGGTTATGTGGCAGAGCGAGCTGAGACTAGAATCTGATCTTCTGATTTCATAATATACGTTCAGTTTTTATTTATCTACTCTAAATTCTGTATTTTCACATATGTGTTGGCATAGAGATGTGAATTCAATTGGTAAGATCATAAAAACCTCACTTAGTTGAGGTTTGTATTGCAATCCAAGTCTATAAAGGACTGTCTGGGGTATGCGTGACAGGTGAGGGTAGGGCTGTGGGCTCACTGTGCTAGATTAGGCCTTACACAGGGACAGGGTTGCTTTGTAATGTGGATTGTGATTTGTGACCCAGATCCATCAGGTAATGGCTTTTGTTGGAGTTCACCTATAATTAACAGTTGTCTTTTCATTTAAAATAGTGATTGCTTCTATGAAGTAAGGAGAACTTCTCTCCTTTGCCATTGAGCCTGACTCCTGGAGGATCTCACTGTTCTTCCCATTCAGCTTCTGCTTCAAGAACCCGTGCTGTAGACACCATTAGTTTAGCGCTGGCTTTTTGATGAGCCATTGGATGAGCCATTGGATGTGGAGTGAATGATTATGAAGCGTATACCTTTTCATTTTTTGCAGTGCTGCATGGCTAAGGGTGAAACCTAATGCTAAAGATGCCACAAAAGAACAGTCTGTTCAGCAAGAAGATGTTCAAGAGGAAAGTCACTTCAGAGGTGCTGTTGGGCACGAAGCAGCCAGGTTGGTGCTGGTGTTCAAATATTTGAAAATGAAAGGACCCTTTACACATAGACTCAGAAGTGAGCACTTCCATCTTTTCACTAAACTGCATAGCTTGCAAGCGCCCTCTCTTTTATTCCTTATTTTATTCATTCAAAAATTATGTATGTGTCAAGTGTCTGCCGATAGCTTGTTTTATGTGTGGCACAGGCGCCAACTCTGTGGTGACAGAATCCCAGCTCCTTATTTATAGTCAACAGGGAGGATATGTCACTAGCTCTCATTTAAGATAGAGCATGGTATGTGCCTAAGAACTAGGGGGTTAAGAACTGAAAGCATTTAGAGGGGAACAGCATGCTTTTTGCTGCAGATATCTAGGTTTCACGAGGGAAATGGAAACTAAATCAGGGCTTGAAGAATAGGCTTAGGATAAGGGAGAGAGGGCCTGGAGGGTGGAGTTGAGAATATTCCAAGGGAAAAGAGCATTGAAAACAGGTGGCTCTGCATTTGTTTGGCTGAAATTGTTCTTAAATTTTGGGAAAACAAAAATGAAGTAAGCGGTTAAATAATATGATAATATTTACCTCTCTGAAATTGAAAGACTCAAGGCCTTCCACATACAATAAAACTGTTGAGAGTTGATTTTTCTCTTCTGCTTTTATTTGGCTTCACTATGCCTTTGTGGCTCTCCTGACAATCTATTTCTTTCTCTAAATTTGAAACTATATAGCAAGGGCTTTGTTTTATAGTTGAACAAGAAATCCTTAGAAATCCTCGGTACAGTGATGCCTAGTTTCCTTGAGAACACTTGTGGGCAGTTTCTTATTGCTCTGCTCACTGGGAGTACTACTGTACATAAATGTCTTTTTATTTACATTACCATCACATGGAGAGCTTTCCAGGGGTGTTACTGAGTCTTTAGTGGGGCCAGGATTAAGCTCTGAGGGGTCCTGACTCCTGGTCTGTGTAATAACCTGCAGGTCAAGGCAGAATTGGTCTGATTCTTTTGTACTGTCTGCTAGACTTGCTTGGCTTGATGCTGAAACTTCCAAAAGACTGAAGGAACTAGAAGAATTAAAAGCTGAAGAAATAGGCAAAGTGCAAAAACAGAGGTAAATATTTGTTTCTGAGTTTGAGGAAGCTGAAGCAGACCTGTTCTTTAGTGTCTAGCTACTCTGGCAGCTAATTGAGATTGTAGAGAGGTGTAGTTATACTTCTTGTGTTTACTGGCTCTCCGCCTGCTTCAAGACTTTTGAAGTCACCTAAGAAATCTGTAGCGGAGCCAAGATTAGAGCTTAAGGGGATCTTGACTTTGCTTTGAGGGGAGTTGGGATGACTCTTTCGTATTCTCCTCTAGACTTGAATGGCTTGATGCTGAAACTTCCAGAAGAACAAAGGAGTTGCATGAACTCAAAGCTGAAGAAATGGATCGACTTCAAAAACTGAGGTGTGTGTTTGATTCTGAGGAGGAAATCTAGATAGTTTTACCAACCAACTTGGACTGCTTAAGCCTAACCTCACTTAATGGGTGAATGAATGAATACATGAAAACCTGCAAACCTGTGTGTATTTGATAAAGTATTTTTGCTGGGAAATACTGATTTTATGTGGAGTTTGAATGATAACTGGAAAAAAAAATCTATTATTTTGGGGAAATTTTGGCTGAAAGATTAGTGTCTTACATCTGTTAGTGTTGCCCTCAAAGGTGTTTTTCTCTTTACCAGGTCCCAGTCCTGAGGACAGAGGTTAATATGATGTGCATGTTTGCACATATGAATGAATTTATATATATATTTGGCTTCACTTGGGTGCTGCCTAAGGTTTCCAAATAAGGTTGCCTTATTCTGTTCTCTGCCTGAGAGTGTAATCACCTAACTAAAGGCGTGAAGACATTTTTGACATTTAGTCTGTGCAGCTGCCACTACCTCGTTTTTCCAGCTCTGATAATTCACCCTGAAGTCAGGTGAATAGAATACTCTTTGCAACAGCTGTGCATTTTGTCATCAAACCTGACAGGACATTCACATCTATTTGAAGGGCTATGGTTCTTTTGTTAGAGGATTAAGACTTTTTTGTCTGTAGTTAAGATTTCAAGTCATACAATCACAGAATCTTAGGATTTGCAGGATCTTCTGCCACAGCAGATGCTTCCTATTGTTATGCAGTAGCTGTAACATGTTCACGCACACACAGCTCCTGTGCTAGGTGGTCACAACAGTCCCAGGCACTCCTTTCCTTAGTCATCTCTCACTATTAGAAAGGTGTGGCCTTAGGTTGGGATGGAATTAAATTCTCAGTGACTCCTATCCATGTGTTCTTCTGGAGAAATAGCAAAGACATAATTTTCTGTGCTCCAGTTAGCCCTTGGAGTGTTTTTTTAGTCAAGCAAATTCATACCTGTAGAAGAATATGCTACAAGTACAATCTAACATATTACAAAATTAAACCCATGCACCTCCATGCTGAGCCAAGAAATAGATCATGACTTGGCTCTAGACATTTCCTGTGTTTCTCCTAGTTGTATCCTTTTTTTCCCCAGAACTAACCATTGTTCTGATTCCTGTGTTAATCTTTATATTACCCTTTCCATAAACCTATTGCCCCTGTATATATCCCTAACAATATATTGTTTAATTTTGAAAACTGAGAAGCAAGCATAATCCTAGCTGGACAGAGTTCACTCATTACCTGTCCTGTGTATCTCTGGGAGTTTAGGCATTTGTCCCAGGAAATCAATGGGTAGGGGCACATGAGTCCTTGCCATGTACTTACTACATTTGGAGCATCAGGAAGTGAACCAGGTAGACTGCACTTCTGGAAGAAACTGGTTAGGAGGATCAGGTGGTCAGAGCTGCTGCTTAGCTCTTTCAGGTCAGCTTTTGTGGGACGAGAGGAGTATCGTTAGTGGACAGTAGGTCCCAGGGGGATGTGCAGGTGCTTCATCAGCACAAGGGCAAGATGAACCACGTGTCTAGGGCAGGTACACTCGTATAGCTTTGCCTATTTTCCATATCATGTGTGTCATCGTAGTGTATTTGCTTATTTTTATGGAACTGATTTAACCTCTTGATAAGGCATGAATGGGAAGTAAATCTTTCCAAATCTTGTAAGTCAAAAAATGCCTTTAGGACCTCCCTGGTGGCTCAGGGGGTTAAAACACAACCTATGAAGCTATCTGCAGCCACTGCAGCACGAGTTCAATCCCCGGCCAGGGAGATACCCACATGGCGTAGCTGACCTCTCCTGACTCGCCTGCTGCTCCCCTCAGCAGTGTATTTCAGTCAGTCTGCCTGTTCTGCTCCCTACTCTGTCTCTGGTGAATCTTCTCACCCCTCACACCTCTGGCCTGTACTCCAGTTCTTGTCTACATAAATAAATAAATCTTTAAAAAAAAATGCCTTTATTCTGCTCTCATATTCACATATATACAAGTGCTCACATTAGAGTATCTGTAATTGAAGATTATTTTTTATCAAACATGTTTGAATTACATTTTTATTGTGAGATACTTGTAGATTCAACTGCAATTATAATAATATAGAGGAATTTAGGGTGTCCTTCACCTAGTTTTCGCTGATGGTGGCATCTTGGGAGCCATCATAAGTCGCACACCAGGATATCAACAGACACGTAGTTGGAATGCAGGACACGGTGTCATCGCAGCCACCCCTCATGTGACCCTTTATGAATACACCTGAATACACCTGCTTCCTTTCTGTCCCACCTTCCGTTGGAGCCTCGGCAACACTAACCTGTTCTCCTGTTCTCCCTGTCTATGATTTGTTTTTATGATGTTCTTGATAGCTCAAGAATGTTGTATGTATAAGTAGAAATCTTGAGTATGTGACCTTTCAGGATCGGCTTTTTTTTTTTTTTTAAACACATTTCTCTGGGGATTCATCCAGCTGGTTGCATTTATCAATCGTTTGCTCTTTTTGGGGGGCTCAATTATAGTTCATGGAACAGATGTACCACAATTTATTTAACCAATCATCTTTTGAAGGACATCCAGGGTTCCCAGTTTTAGGCTAAATTTCTATAAACATTCATATATAGGTTTTTTAGTGAACACAAGTTTTTGTTTCTTAGGGATAAGTGCCCAGAATACAATTGCTGGAGTGTTTTGGTAGCTGTGGCTTTTTATAAAACTGCCAGACTGTTTTTCTGACCTTTTCGGGTTCCCACCAGCAAGGCTGGAGGGATGCAGTTCTGATCTTTGCCAGCACTTGGTGTTGACACCGCTTCTTTTCACCATTTTGGTAGGTGTGTAGTGTTAATCTCAGCCTAGGTCGAAGTGATTTCCCTCCTAGCTAATGATGTTGAGTATCTTTTTCTGTGTTTATTTGCTCTCTACTTGGTCTTTGCTGGTGTGTGTAGGGGTGGGGCCTCAGATTTTTCTGTGGGGTTTGTCTACAAGAGCTGTGTTTTCTAAAGGTTTTATTCCTCCCCCCCCAAATCCCCCGCCCCCCCCCCCCAGGCTAACTTTCTTCGTACTTTTACTAGAGAGAGTGGACTTTTATTAGGGCATATTTTTATATTTTGACTGTGCCTCTTGGTATTCCTACATTGCTGGCTTCTCCCATACCTAGTCTGGGATATAGAAGATGAAAAGAAAACTCAGAGAATACCATTGTACTGTTCCTCAGGTCCTGAAGTCCCTAACTGGTCTGCCTTCTCTGCTCTACCTTTTCCATTGTCTTACGTTTGTTTATAAAGGTTGTTTATAAAGGTTCTTAGTTGTACTTAATGGTAAGAAAATAGAAAAGTACATTTATTATTCCACCTCTCCAAAGTAGAAAGCCTGATCTGAATTTTTAAAGCATTGTTCCACTGTCTTGTTGCTAATAAGAAATCTGAATCATGCTTTTTTTCTCTAGAAGCTTCTTTCTCCCCAGTGTTCTGAAATTTCATAGTGATAGGGCTTGATGTGAGTCTGTTTTCATTCACCAGTGAACCTTTTGAACCTGGCAACTTATTTTGTTTGCTTCTTAGAAATTGATTGGCTTGGGCCTTGCTGGTGGCATAGGGGTTAAAGTCTCAGCACTATCAAGCTCTCACCAGCCACTGTGGCATGAGTTCAATCTGTAGCCGGGTAGCTGACCCACATGGCGTGGCAGACCTCTCCTGCCTCGCCCGCTGCTCCCCTCAGCAGTGTATTTCAGTCAGTCTGCCTGCTCTGCTCCCCACTCTGTCTTTGGTGAATCCTCTCACTCTCCCACTCCCACACCTCTGGCCTGCACCCAAGTTCTTGTATGCATAAATAAATAAAAATAAATCTTAAAAATAAAGGAATTGGTTGGCTTTATTTCGTACTTGTTTTCCTAACTTTAGTCTCTTTCAAGAACAGGAATTCCTGTTTTTTGATGTTGGACTTCTTGGATTGGTCTTCTGATTTTCGTACCTGCTTTTTCCTCTTCTCTCTCCTGCCATCCTTCTCTCCGTCTCCTTTCTCTTTCCTATGAGTACATTTCCTCAACCTCATTATCAAACCTGTCTGTTGAATTTGCCATTTCTGCTACAGTGTTTTTAGATTTTGAAAGCTCTGTTGTAGGCTCTGAAAATCTCTTACTATTTCCTAGTTTCCTTTTATGTATACAGTACTATTTGCTTTCCAAGTATATTTAACAATAGCTTTCCCCCTTCCCTTTGTCCTACTTTTCCTTCCTTAGGTATTTAGTAATTCTTGTCTATCTTCTAATGTTTAAATGTAGGGTACTGATTACTGATTGAAAGCTCTGAGCATGTGGGTTGGAGTTAGTATTCTAGTTTTAACTTTTTTTTAAATGGTAGTATAGTTTACAGTACAATTATAATAAAATGAAGTCTTAATGATATAATTCAATAGGTTTTGACAGATGTATACTTGGAGAACTAGTACTTTACCCAAGATAAAAACTATTTTCATCAACCTAGAAATTCCCATATGTCCTTTTCCAGCCATTCCTTGCTGCACACTACCTGAATTTCACAGAGGCAACTGCTTTCTAGCAACTTAGAATGGTCTCATCTGTTCTTGAATTTCATATCAATAGAATTACCAGAATCTATCCTTTGTGCCCAGGTACTTTACAAAAATATTTGAGATCCATCCACATCGTGCATCAATCAATAGTTTGTTCCATTGTATGAATGTCCCATAGTCTACTTACCATTTCCTGTGGATTAACATTTGGGTTTTTTCCTATTTTTAGTATGAATAAAACTACTATAAATAGTCTTACACAAGTCTTTTGTAGACATTTGCTTTTATTTCTCTTGGGTAAAGGACAGGCAGATTTTTAATTGGCCATAAATTTTTCCAAAATTGTATTATTTTTTACTCTCCAAGGCAAAGCATGGTGAGTTCCTTCCTAGTTCTTATGCATTCTAGCTAATATCTGGTATTGTCAGTCTTTTTAATTTTAGCCTTCTTAGTGAGAGTATGGTGGTGTCCCTTTGTTGTTTTATTATCATTATTTTAATTGTGACATTAGGAGTCTCTCCATCAGATGGTGCTTATTCACCTTGTCCAGGAGACTGATGATGATGAGCTCCTTTTCTGGTGTTTACTCTTTAATGTCTGTTCAAAACTTTTACCTAGTTTCTATTTTTTTAATTACTGATTTTTAAATATATTTCTGGATTTGCAGCCCTTTTCAGAGATGTGTATAGCAAATATTTTCTCCCAGTACTGTGGCTGGCCTATATATCTGCTTAATGGTGTTTTTCAATAACTAAAAGTTTTAAATTGTGGTTAGGACCGGCTTATCATTTATTTTATTTTACTGTTAGTCTTTTTTTGGTAAACTGTTTCAGAAATCATTGCTAATGCTAAGATCCCAAGGATATTTTCCCATGTTCTTTTTCTAAATACTTACAGGCTTACCTTTTATTTTTATGTTTGTGATTCATTTTGAATTAATTTTTGCATCTGAGGGTGGTGAGCTGCTAATTAAGGTTCACTGTTTTCCTTATGGATGTCTGGCTAGTCCAGCACATCTGATGAAAGGGTTATTGAACTTGAGTTATTTAATCTAGGGTAGGGTCATTTGCGTGGGCTGTCCTAGGGACCCTCATGTTGGTCTTTTGGCCTTTCCTTTGGGATAAGTCAGACTGCCCAGAGAAGTTTTCTGATCTTTTGCCCAGGGGGACAGGATGCTATTGTCCTAGGTGCTGAGTTGGGAAGAAGGCTGTGAGTCTAACCACTCAGCGTTCAGCATGCACACATGATTCCCTTTTTTAAGTAGGGCACCTGCAGCCTCATCTGTGATTGACATCCTATAGTCAAGAAACCACTGCAGAGAATCAGCAACCAACTGACTTCTCTGTGTTGGAGAGAGGCAGTTGTCCAATTGGGTGAAGAGGGGGAGAGGGACCCAGGGGACTTGCTTTTCAAATATCATTTGATTCTTCCATATTTAAGCCATCCCGTTGCAGCTTACCCCTAGATTGGAACTGCCGGCTCTTGCCAGCCCTGTGTCCATTCAAGTTAGCAGGACAAACTGGGTTCAGTTTATCCCTTTACTGTCCTAGAGTTCAGTTTGTCAGGTCAACTAAACTTATTATCATTTTTGTCCTTCTGTCTTCCAACACCGTTTCTTTCTTGTCTTTGGGGGTTTATATCTAACTCTATATTAAATAGGATTTAGGGAGGAACAGTTTTCGTTTCATTTGTTTTATCTTCTCTTTGGTTGTTTAAAGGCAGCCATTATTCATGTGTCTTCAAATGCTTTCTAAATCCTTGCACGCACAGTGGGGTCAGGACCACAGTGTTATATCACCCTGGCACTTGTTGGAAATGCAGAAACTCAGGCTTTGCTCAGACCAAGCAAATAAGGATCTACATTTTAACAAGAGCCCCCAGGGAATTTGTGTGGCCTTTAGAATGATAGTCATTTGATTTCCCTTCCCTTAGAGTAGGAAGGAAGTATGCAAAAGAGGATATTTTCTTGCTTTTGATTTTTCCATTTTGTTTTTACATAGTGTTTCTGCCACCCAGTTAGCAGACAAGGTAGAGAAGGCAGTTATGGACCGTTTGAAGCCTCTCCTGGTCAAAGCCCAGGTAATGTAGTTCATTTAATTTGCTTGCCTTTGGGTCAGCCTATAGAACAGTCACTACAGAGGTCACACTAAGTGTCCCCTGGAGCTGGAGGCCACTGCCTGTGGTGCAGAGCATGGGTGCAGTGCTGCCAGGCCCCACAGACCCCCCATGCTGGTAAGGTGATGAGCAGTGAAACTAAGGGGAGAGAAAGTCCTACTTTTGAGAAAAGTGAGATTTTAGATTGCTGTCCACTGTTAATTAGAGCCGATAGTGAGTTTAGTTTTTGATTCACTGCTTCCACACTAATGCTCACTCTTTCACCTCAGTGGTTTGGATTGGTTATTATTCCAAAGAGTGAGATGTTAGGACAGCTCTGTGCACAAACCACTGTTTTCTACAAGATGAAATAATGTGCAGCATCACTGACAGGTTGAGCCATCCCCCTAAAAGCTAAGTGTAAGTTGAATGCTGCAGCCAGCCCTGGAGGCAGTCTTTTGGGAGGAATAGAGGCGGTCTTTTGGGAGGAATAGATGGGGCCACCAAAGAATTCTGTAATAGCAAACGAAACAAATGACTTTCTGGGTCCCTGAGAGGCCACTAAACTTCTGTATCTCTAGTTTATTAATGTTCAATTATGATAAATGTTCATAGAAATCTCAAGAAGTAAGAGGGACCAAATAGTTCAACCTCCTTGTTTGAAAATGATGAGGCTATGGAACAGAGAAGTTGAGTAATTGCATAAAAACACACAGTGGATTTGACAGTGTTTGTAAAGTTGAAGGAAGAACAGGGCAGAAATCCAAGTTCAACACACGGCATTTATTTTTATGAAGACAAAGTCCTTTGAATTTCCGCAAACTGCCTAATGTAGCTAAAGCCAGGGAACAGTTCCACACAGAAGTTATCCTGGTAACAGAATTCATTTGTACTAATATGGGTTGTAAATTCTTATGATTCATGAATTTGTTTGTCTGTTTTAATAGAGAGTCAATTCTTCTGTGCAAGCGGATACTCACTTGAAGGATCAGCTACCAGGAGACCCAGCAGCAAACCAGCCTGCAGAGAAGGTGTGTGCAGGCCGGTGTTGGGTGTTCTGGACTGACCCTGGCATTATTACATGAGAATGTCTTTCCTTGTAAGGAAAGTGATAAGCAGATTCTTTGCAAATACTAGATTATTGTACTCAAGAAGGGTGTAAATTATTTTTCATATTTGGCGTGTTAAGTCTTACAGTGTATAAATTAGCATTATGACTTAGATCAGCCATGCAAAAGGCATGCTGAAATCTCTGGAGACACAGCTTTTTGTCAGTGGCTCTTTCCTCTCCTGATGGCAGAATGAGGGTGCCCTGCCTGACCTGAAATGTTGATGGCCTGTGGCAGGAGAATGGCTGCCCTCATTTCCTTTTGTTCAGCCTAGTTTTGCTCATTACTGGCCTGATTTCCTTCTCACCCAGCGCTAATACTTATTGCTAGGCAAGCATATTTTGAATGCCTGGTACATGACCAATATTTGGCCTAGCAGAGAAAAAAGGTGGCCCAGGGAATAAATGAAACCATTTGAGAAAAAAAACATATTTTGTGTTTGTCCACTCTTGAGCGCTTCCTCTGAGGCCTTGGGCTTCATCTCTGTGGGAGTGTTCCTGCCTAGGCATAGGGCTGTGGAGTGGAAGGTGCAGATAGTACCATCGAATCTTTGTGGAAGTTGTAAAGAAGTTACTGCTTTATTTGTTCAGAGCAAGTAAAGGGCAGAGCAAGTGTGAAAGTTTCAGAGTTAGAGGGAAGTTGCATTGAAGCTTCGCCATCCACTGACCGTCAGAAAGGGAAGACAGTAACTTTCAAGAGGATGATCCTATTCCAATTATTAAGTAATATTTTAACTGCAGTGTATTTTCATAATCTTTCAGACTGTAATTTCATTTGTATCAATTTTTGACAGAATTTCATGTGAAGGCAGGCCTCTAAAGACATTTGATTTTTACAAATTCAGGTGTGCGGTGGCTTGGTGTTTTGTGCAGCATAGATATCAGATGATACATTTTTTTCTAGCAAAAAAATGAGACTAGCATATCTATTCTAGGTAGGCAACTGCATACTATATTTTACTGTGAAAGAAGAATGAAGTAATTATGAATTCTGCCAGTGAAATAGGCATGTTTACTAGAAATAAATATTACCAGAAAGATCAGCCTTCTATGTAAGAATTATTCTGTAGACACTGGTCTTTAATACAATTTATTGAAAATGAAAAGTGTCCAGTATACTTAGAGTTCTTGGTTACTGTTAAGTATCAGCATCATTGCAAGGAGTTTTGTAGGGAGTACCATCAAGAGTTTATAAACAACTGCATAAAATCAAAACAAAAAAAATTTCAAAGTTGGCATGATGAAGTAAGAAGAATTTTTTTATTATGTTAACTTAGAACTGTGGGACCTTGAACTGAGCCTCAAATTCTCATCTCTAACAGTAGATATTTATTTGCTGTGCTTTACAAGTAACATACGGTTCTCTTAATAGATTTACTTATACCCAAGATAAGATCTCTGATATCAAGAGAAAGCTCTTGGAAGGATATCATTTTAACAGATTTGTCTATTGCTACTGCTTTTGTCACTAACTTGCACATGAAATGTATTTTTCAGGAAACAGAAAATTTTAACCTCTCCACAAATGGACACTGCCTGCTGCTCTGTGTCCTGCTTCTTCCTTTGTGATATATTGTGATCTTTCCATTATCAGCCCACCTTATCTTTTGGCATTTAGTGCTCTTGACATTCCATCCTGTATAGGTAGAAACTATTACACATATGCACATATCTTAACTAGATCTGTATTATTGTTTGGTTGTCTCTAGGCTTTTGTAATTTTATTGGAATGGTTATTTAACTGATTTTTATCTCTTTGTTTAAGGTTGGGCATTTCTTCATATTGTTATTGGCTATTAATATATTTGAATTGTTAAAACATTTTTTGAGTTGCTATGAGTAACCATTCACTGAGTGTCTTTGTGCCAACCACTATGCTAAGTGTCCCTATGTGCAAGTGCTGGTATGTTCCTTTTAACTCTGCAGTAAAAGGTTTTTATTTCCACATTATAATTGAAAAGGTTGAGACCCAGAAAGGTTAAGTAAACTTGCCTGCAGTCGTTGGCATATCCCTGGGCAGAACCAGGATTTAGTCCCAGAAATATCTCATTCTAGAATTGGGCATGATCATTTCTCTAGCAGACATTCTATGCAAAAACCTAACCTTCAGACATATATTAAAATCTAAAGTAATACAAGGCATGTAAAAATGCTTTGCAGACTGTAAAGTACTTTATGAATATAAAGAATGTAAGGTTAGGGAAGGTTGGTCAAGTGCTTCCCTGTTATAGTTAGAAAGTCTCAAGCAAAGACAAAGAATCACAAACTTTGTGATGTCATGAGCAGATGTTTTTGCAAAAGCATTGAACCCAAAGAAGATAGCTTATCCTCCGGAGTATGTGGCATGTAAATACACTTCTAAGTGTAGCACAAGGAAGGTGTTTGTTTTATAAACTGACAAAACAGGTAGTCATAATTTACATGGACATTAATGATATAACTTGGCTAATGCTAGCATTTAAATGACTGTGGTATAAATTATGCTTTTGAGGTTTACTGACTTAAGAGAGGTTTGATTTCCCATAGAAACTCAGCTGGTTGGATCATTACATGGTTGTTTATTATGATCAGTAATCTAACTTCTCCTTGTATCATCTTTCCATCCCTTTCCTTGCTTTGTAGGCTATAGCTGTTGATTCTGAGCCCAACAAGATTCATCAGCTAGATGATTCTTTGGAAAATACCACTCATGGGCCCTGGGATATGACTCACTCTAAGATCTTGGAGTCCGAAGCCTTAGCAGCCTTGGGGGACAGCCCATATCTGGAGACCATGATACTCCGAATGGAGGAAATAGAAGTAAGGTCTGGGGCTGTCGGGGAGAGGGTCCAGGGGTAGAGAGGGTCTTGGCCAAGTGCCCCTGGTTTTAAGTCCCAGCTCAGCTGCCCAGCAAGTATCTGACCTTGGTAAAGCCACTTACCCTCTCTAAATCTGTATTATTGTTTGGATAAAATGAGGTGTGAAGTTTATCACTACTTGACACGTAACTCAGGAAATGATCAATATTATTGTCCCCCGATATCGCTGATAATGTGATTCAAAACACACTGGGCCAGAGCTGGTCCCACAAATGGGACTGCTGATTTCCTCATCCCTCAGCTTGTAATTGCTGTTCAGTTGTCTGTGCTACTGGCTAGCGAGTGATCCTATTGATCACAGATAATTTTTCCTTCTTTAATTCCCATGTACTAATGTAGAATGCTTTTCTTTCCAAATTTTAGATGTCAGGCTAAAATCAGGCATTATCCAGTTCATCCCCTGGTTCAAAACAGGAAATTGAGACCCAAGAAAGGAGTGATCTGGCCAGGGTCATAATAAATTCCCACCAGACCTAGGATAAAAATCCAGGTCTCCTGACTCCAAAGCAGCATTTTCTTTTTAATTATACCATGATTAAATCTAATTTTATCTTTGCCACTAAGTAGAAACATAAAAGAAAATTTTTTGTTGATTTTTGAGAATTTAAATATGTGTGGGTTGTCCGAATCTTGTAGCTGATTTCCCTTTCTTGGAGGTGACTGTCTAGACTTGAAGTATCCATAATGGTAGCCTCGAGCCACGTGTGGCTAATTTAGATGTAAATGAATTAAGATTAATCGCCCTCCTCACATTTCAAGTGGTCAGTGGTTAGTGACTACTACGTTGGACATGGCAAACAGAACATTGCTAGCGTCACAGTGAGTTCTAGTTGGTAGTACAGGTCTAGATTAGATTACATGAGATTACATTAATTGCTTCATTTTATTTTAGACTTTACCTCCTGAACTAATCACTTCCTGGCCTGGCAGATACCTGTTGTTATGTCTTTCTCAAATGTCTCTGCAGAATTAATACTTCCTTAATAGTCCTGGTTCTTTTTTTTTTTTTTTTTTAAGATTTATTTATTCATACAAGAGCTGGGGTGCAGGCCAGAGGTATGGGTAGTGAGAGGATTCACCAGAGACAGAGTGGGCAACAGAACAGGCAGATTGACTAAAATACACTGCTGAAGGGAACAGCGGGTGAGTCAGGAGAGGTCTGCTGCGCCATGTGGGTAGCTCCGTGGTTTGGGGATCGAACTTGTGCTGCAGTGGCTGTGGCTAGCTTCATAGGTTGCGTCTAAACCCCTTGCGCCACCAGGGAGGCCCAGTAGTCCTGATTTTTAATGAAACAAATTTTTTCCATAAACTAAACTTGTTTTAATTTTTTTTTTTTTTCAAAGAAATACCAGGAGACAGTTCGCCAAAGATACAGTAAAATTGTATATGCTGATCCTCATCTTTGGATGCAGGGAGAAAAAAATGGTGAGCATCCCCCCTACTTTTTCTCCCAACATTATATTCTGAAAAATTTCAAACACAGAGAAGTAGAAAAAATTGTACAGTGGGCACTCACATACCCACCTTCTAGAGTCTGCTATTTATATGTTTCTGTATTTGCTTTCTCTTTTATCCGTTTGTCTTCTGTCTGTTCCTCAATTCGTTTTGTATTTTAATGCATTTCAAAGTAAGCGGCACACATCTGTGCACATCATCCTAATACCTAGTGTGTGTCAGCGACTGGGGTTGAATATTTATTTATGATTATTTTCCTTTTGAGGCAAAGTTCATGTATAGTAATGTTCAGATCTTAACGGTCTCATTAGATGGGTTTTAACAAATGGTTACATCATTGTTACCCAAAGCCCTATCAAAAGACAGAGTTCCCTTGGGCTCCTGCCCAGTCAGGTCTGCTGTGCCCCCAGCACCTACCGTGCTTTTCCCCCACCATGTATTAGTTGTGCCTTTTCCAGCATTTCATATAAATGCAGTCATACATGCATGGATGCTTGTTGAAGGCTCCTTTCATTCCGCATCATGTTTTATATATTTTTCTGTGTTACTATTTCCTGTTGCCGCTGTGACAAATTTAAGTTTCTAACAAGTTAACAGATTTAGTGACTTAAAACACAGGTTTCTTTTCTCATAGTTCTGGGGGTGAGATGCCCAAAATGAATCCTAAAGGTCTGAAAATCAAGGTTTTTGCAGAACTTTGAGAGAGTTCTGGGGAGAATCAGTTCCTGTCTCTTCTGGCTCCTCCTCGTCTCTCTCCCTCTGCCTATTCAGAGGTCCACTTTGACTACATTTAGCCATGTTGGTAATCTAGGCTATTCTCCACATCGCAACTTAAAGTCTCTCTTGCCACAGAGGGACACATTCTCAGGTTCCAGGCATTAGAATGTGGACACTTCTGTTGGCCATCGTTTGGCTCTAAGCTGGGATCAGTAGTTCCCTCCTTCTTGCAGCTGAGTAGCAGTCCACTGGTCACACGTCTCACCCATGTGCCCATGTGTCTGCATTTGAGTCTTTCTAGTTTTGGTCTATCGGAAATAACTGCTCTGAATATATTCATGTGTTGTCTCTGTATGGACATAGTTTTTATTTTTCTTGGATAAACACCCAAAAGTAAATCTTCCAGGTCATGGGAGTGTAGGTGTATGTTTAACTTTATTAAAAAAAACTGCCAAATCTTTCCCCAAAGTGACTACCATTTTACACTCCCTTCAGCATTGAGTTCCTGCAATTTGATATCTTTGCCAACGATGTTCTTATTTTTAAATGTAACCATTCTGGTGGGTGTGTAGTGATCTTGTGTTTTTAGTTTTATTTTCTTGACAAATAATGATGTTTAGAGCATTTTCATGTGATCATTAACTGTATATTTTTGTATGTTTTGTATAAAATTGGGTTTTCTTTTAATTCTATTATAGGAATTTATGCATTCTGGGTATAAATTCTTTGACAAATATATGTAGTTTAAAAGAAATAACAGCTTTATTGAGATATGATTCACATACCATAGAATTCACCCTTTTAAAGTATACAGTTCAGTAATTTTTAGTGTATTCATAGAGTTGTGCAGCTATCACTGCTATCTAATTCCAGAACATTTTCACCATCCTAAAAGGAAACTATGCATCCGTTAGCAGTCACTCCCCATCCTACCTTGCCTCCAGCCCTAGCAGGCACTAATCTCCTCAGATAAATGTTGGAAATTTTTTTTACCCCTTGTGTGGCTCATCTACTAATTTTCTCAAAAAAATTTTTTGTTGTTGTTAGGCTATTTTAAATTTTGCTAAAGTCTAACTTACCAATTTTTCTTGTATAGTTTTTGCTTTCTTTGATCTAAGAAACCTTTGCCTGTTGACAAGTTGAAAAGAGAGTCTCTTGTTTCACCTAGAGGCTTTTAATGGTTTTGGCTTTTATGTGTAGGTCTGTGGTCCATCTTGGCTAAAAATTTGCCTATATTTTGAGATAGAGAATGAGTTTTCTTTCTTCCCCCCCCCCCCAAGTGGAACAAAGATCCATTTGTTCTCATACCATTTGTTGAAAAGATTTTCATTTTTCTCCTCCATTTTTGAAAATTAATACATACGCATTTTGGCTGCAGTTGCTATGATACTATTGCAACTTGAACTGGGAATGTCAGTCAAATTCTGTTTGACTTATGCTTATCAGTTACTACCTTACTCAATGAAAGGCGGAGAATAAAATGTGGTTAAACATTACCTGTGAAGAAATTTAAGTACTATGAGTATTAAGAGACATAAAGGAAATTGTGGGTACAGAAGCTTTATAGCAGCAGCTGTGTCACATGTACATTTTTTAAACTATGAATTTGGGGTATTATTTTACAGAAAATATTCATCGTATCCTAACTAGTCAGAAAGATGAGCCATTTAAAATCAATTCCAATCCTTTTATGTTTTCTCTAATTCCCAGCATTCTATCCTTTGCTCATATTATCCCCTGCCCCCCATTGTAGCCTCACCTAACAATCAAACCATTCTTCAGGAGGCCCAGCATAAGTAGTCCTACTGGGGTAGTGCTTTTCCTGGTTCTCCTGCACTGGGGAAGGCCTCCTTCCCCACCTGAGAACTCCCACAGACTTCTGACAGGTCTTCGCGTGTGAAAAAGTTATTTGTGGAGGGGTCTTCTCTCCCCGCAGAATCTAAGGCCAGATTGTCATATTCAGCTTGTCCCCCACCATGTTAAGCATGGGCCTGGCATGGGGAGCCCCTTCTGGTCATTGCTTAGCCAGTCAGAGGACGTTTTAGCTTCTTCGTGTGTGGCAGAGGACAGGGAATGGTGAAGGGCAGTCATCTCGTTGTGGTTTGGCGACTGGCCACAGCGTTAGGTTGCATCATGCAGAAGACGGTCTTACTAAGGACGGGGTGTTCTCTTTTCTCAGGACAATTTAAATTATTAGTCACTATCTGTGACTTTGTGGAGACTCTAGGTATGCATGTAGAAGGAGCTCTTCAGAACACTAAGACCTGAATCAGATGGAGGCACTTTTATTCCAGAAACACAAAACCATAGTAAGAGTCCTGTGTTTGTAGTCATCCTCATTGTATGTTCAGTCACACCCCAGAACTGATGGTGTGAAGTGGTTTATGAATTGTACAGTGTCTTTATCTCTTATCCTCTCTTCCTAAAATCAATTGAAATTGTACTCCCTGTAATATTGTTAAAAGAACTGACTTAGGCAGTATTTCTTTTGACAGTAAGAAGACATAAATCTAGAAAGGTGAGTCAGAGAAAGTTGTTTGACTTCTAGCTGCTCCTTACCTAAGAGAAGGACAAATTTTCTTCAGACACTTGAAATACATTTAAAATTTTCAATAATCTGAAACTCAGAAGAGCTGTCAAGCCTTCAAGGTACAGTTAAGAAGTTAATGTTTTGACTACCATCATGCAGATTTTTCCAGCAATGCCCAGAGACAAATTAAATCAACTAATTAAGTGCTCAGGTATGAGTGGTTTTTTTCCTTTTCCAGTGATCAAATCATTTAAAGGTGAAAAATCAAACCCAAGTGCTTTCCACTCTTTGAATGGGTAACTGGATCCTAATGGGCTCATCCCAGGGCTCATCCCAGGGCTTCACTGGACCGCCTGGGTGTCTCCTTGGTGAGCAGAGGCTTCAGAAGGAGTTCATTGTTTGATGAAACTGATTCCTCATTAAGTTGTTTCTTTGTAACTTTCAATTTCACTTTTTCATTTTTCCTTTCTATTGCTCGCTGCACCCATTCAGCATCCATTCCAGGTAGGAGAGATCACATGACTTCCTTGCATCAGGACAGCTCTGAGAGGCACATCTCCTTTTCTTTACAGGCAATCACTTTATTCCTTCTCTTTTCTAGAGCAAAAAATCCCAGCAGTAAGTGAAAAGCCTCTGCCTCCTTACCCGATCAAGATCACAAAGATAGCAGCTCGTAAAGAACCAGACGTGAGCATCGTGTTAGAAAGGCCCAGGAATGGCAAGTGAGTGGAAGCAATGCCTTCTGATCGCGCGGTAGTGGGTTGCCTTTGACATTAAGTTCTGAATGCCTTCAATGGCCACAGATAGAAATTCCCTCCAGGGTAGCTCCATAAAGCAGCACATTCAGAGGTTCAGACTCGAGTGTGCTGCATCATGAGCTGCTCAGCATTCAGTAACATCTTGCTGGTTCTTACTGGTGGAGGCATCACATTAGCATGTGAGGTGTGCTGTTAGTGGCTGTAAGGTTTGTTTTAAGAATTCTTTTGTATGGCACAGGAATTCCTACCAAGTTGAACATTCATTCCAGTGAGAATGGGAAACAAGTAGTGATGGGATGTCGTGTTTTGTTCACCATGAGAAAGAGAAATGAAAGCAAATTGTTGGTTATCAGGCCATTTACCCTTGCTTTACAGATGACTTTTAAATACTTTAATCATTTTTATTTGCTTTCAGTTCCCTGGATGAAAGTGTGGGGACAGAGGAGGCACCGGAGAAAAGAGAACTTCCCCTTCCCTCCCTTTCAGAAGATTCTCCACAGAAAGAAGGTTGCACTGCCCTCTTTGTCCCCCCGGGTATGCGGCACAGCATTGGGGACTACTGCAGCCGTTTCGAGCAGTACCTCCGGATGATATCTCACGAGGCTGTGGGCTCCTTCAACCCGTGGCTGATAGCTGAAAGGTCAGTAAGATGTTATAAGCTGCTGTTTAGAAATCAAGGGCCAAATGTCACCTTACTGAAAGACTATAGGAAGGTATGAGGTCTTGTGCTATGCTCTTGGATCCTGGAGTTCCAGTGGTAGCTTTTGGGCTTGTGACCAGGCCTTCTCTGCCAACTGCCCTGTTCAGATCCAGGAGACCCCCAAATGTCTGTGTGATGCCACCCAAAACAGCATTCTGCAGCTTCCCCTTTTCAGGTGAAGGCACAATACCCAGGAGTCAAGTGCGGGCAAATTTCCTCTTGCTGTAGCGACATTCATGAGAGAACTTGGGTAGTCCTGGGTGGGAAACAGATGGTGAGCTCGTGATGGTTTGGACAAACTTGCACTTTAGAGCAGCAGGTCTTCAGACTGTGAAACATATTCTTTAACCCTTTGCCTTCCGGCCATCATCTCTCTCGAGATAGAGATTTGTGGAGATCTGTGGATAGTTTTGTGGAGTAAAAAAGAGTCCTGCTACTAAATATTTGAAGAATGATACCTTTCTTTCATGTAAGTAGTTAGTCAATCTGTGTAAGGCTGTGGGGTGCCAGATCATGCTGCCCCAAGAGTTGCCAAAGTTGCATATTGATTCTTTTGAATTAAAGAAACAGTGAATGAATGAGACCCTAAACATCTCTTTCTCCTAAAAGCACAAGTCTCCTCTGATCCTCCCCATCCCTGTTCCCCTGAGGCAGGACATAAATCTATGTGCAAGGTCCCCTCCTGCACAGAGTTGGAGAGACACCCCAATCATCAGAAATGAGGGCATGAAGCTAACAGACTCTGCTTAGGCTCACTAGATTAGTTATCCAAACCACAACTTTCAAGAATGTTTTTGTCCTGTCTGTTTTTCTCAGATTTATTGCTTCTTTGTCTAACGTAGGTTCTATATTTTATGAACCTTTGTGCGCATGAAACTAAGTTCCTCATTTCTCATGCTAATCTCTCTTATGTCAGCAAAGGAGGTGAGCGGGAGGTCCCCCCAAAATTCACTCTCTAGGCCCAGATTTAAATCCTCATATGTATATCACTTTATTACAGACACGCAGGGTATTTATCAGTGAGCTAAGTAGTATGCCCTGAGTGTGTTTCTTTCTTGAACAAGTTTCAAACATAACTCCGGAGTTCATAATTGCCTCTTTTTTATTAGCTTATTTTTAAAATACGTGTTCACTTTCCTCACACGCTAGCCAGCAGCTCTCAGTATATATCCTCTGTGATCAGCTGTGTCAGTTGAACTCATCTCTCACCTGCACCCCCACTCTCTCTTCTGAGACTCTCATTCCTTTTCCGGCTGCCTGGCTGCTCTCTAGATCCAGAGCCTGGCAGTGTAACTCTGGTCACCCCACGTGTTGGGCTGCCGCCTGCCCACTGTATTGGAGTCCATGCTCTGGAATGCCCTGGTCTTCCTCTGAGGCTATGCTCTCATATTGATAGACCAAACCTGCTTTAGGCATTTGAGAAAAATCTCTTGAGACTTACATGTTTGAAAATGTCTTTATCTTCATACTTGATTAATGATTTCGTTGGGTTTAAAATTGCCTTCTGATATTAAGGAGAGGATGACAAAAGGTCTGAGGTAGTTCACATTGGGCAAATTCAAATAATCAGAAATGAGAAGAGTGTTGTTTTCAGTAGCACAGCAGCCAGAGGATTCTAGAGCATACTTCCAAAATTTAACCCCGGACTCTGCACTCATCTAAATTATCATTTAAATACAAGGATAGAATAAGGACATTTTTAGGTATGTAAAGTATAAAAAATTTAGTTCCCATGTACTGTTTCTTAGAGAGGTGAGGGTGTAGACCACCAATACAAGGTGTACACTGAGAAAGAGGAAGATGGGATTTAGGAAACTTAGACTCCAACATGCGACTTCCAGAAAAATGGCAAAAGTTATTTCCGAGAGAGGAATTTTTCAGTGAGCATAGAAAGCGGCCAGTCCAGATTGGATTCCAGGAGGAATAGTTCTAGAGGGGGAAGCTTAAAAAAAGGAGAATGGACACATTATCTAATGTGTTTGAATGCATCAGAGGTGCTTTTGTATTTCTCTTAGAGTTTGGGGATGAATTCATGATAGAAATATAGAACGCACAGCCAATATAAAAACAAGGCAGTCACTTCTGGTTCTAGTAATGACGCACTTGGTAATTTGATCCGCCTCTCCCACTGAGGATAACAGATAATAGAAAAGCTAGATTAAAAATAAAGTGCAGATGCTTAAAGGCATCAGGAAGTTAACTAGGTAATGAAGAATAACTGGGCCAGGATTATGGACAAGACAGAGATAAGGGAGGTGAGCCCTTTGTGTGGCATCAGAGTGTCAGTTTTGGGGGGAGGTGACTAGCAGTTTTGACAGCCTCTTCAGGTCAGAGCACAGAGGTGGGACTTTAGGGCTTGCCAAGGTGGGAGAGTTGCCTTAGTGAACTTCTCCTCCCCTTTGATTGGGATGCTGAAGGGTGGCTCTCTAGAAATAAGGGTGACCTAGATGCCAGTAGGCCCCTTCAGGGACTCCACTCAACTCTACCCTAGAGTGTCTCAGTTCCTGCAATTGGATTAAGGTAATTTTAGATGATTTCCCCCCCGGCAGGAGGTAGAAGCAAACATAAATTATCTGTAGAGATATATAACATCATCATTGGACTTAAATTATTCTAACAGTGTTCAAGTACCATATCTGGTATATGGTAAAAATTAACCAGACAACAGAGAGGCCTAACAGTTGTAAGGATGAACTCACAGTAACTCCAAATATGGCAGCCATCAGCCATGTAGTAGAATAACTGCCTGCTATGTTCATAGAGAGGAAAGACACAGTTTAGACTTTGGACAGAAAACTGGGAACTCAACTAAACCCATTTTAGAACTGAAAAATACAATTTCTAAACTGAGATATTTGTTGGATGGGCCCACTAGCTCATTAGATACAACAAGAGAAAAAATACAGACTAGGAACAGGACAGAAGAAACTATCCAGAGTGGTGCATGGAAACACTCGAAAAGATTAAAATGAAGGATTGAGGTTAAGGGACATTGAGGATAGAGGGACATATCCAGTGCATTTGTGACTGGAGTCCCTGAAGGAGAGGAGAGGACAGAAACAACCTCCAAAGAGACCAAGGCTGATAACTTCCCAGTCACAAGACTGCAAGCCAATGATTCAAGAAGCTCTAAAAGCCCTAGGCAAGAAAACAAAAGTGAAATCCATACCAAGGCGTACATATAATAGTGTGGTTGGAAAATCAAAGTCAAACAGAAAATCCCGGAATAACCTGGAGGAAAAAGAAAAAAGAAACAGGAAAATTGCCAGCTATGGGCCTGGCCTCTTATTCAGGTGCTGAAAGAAAAGAACTGCCAATCTGGGGCTGTAAGTCCAGTGAAATATATTTCAAGAAAGAAGGGAAGACAGGTTCCAAATAAACACAGCAGAGAAAATTTATCATTAGTGGACCTTCACTACAGAAAATATTAAAAGGATATTCTTCAGGCAGAGCAAAGACCTGGCCACAGATGAAAGGTCAGAAATATGGCAAGGCATAAATAAAGGGAAAAAAATCGATGTGTAGTAAATGAATATTGATACTCTATAAAATAATAATGTCTCACTGGTGTGTGGGGAGTGTTTGTATACTTTTAAGACACAAGATAAGAATAGTACACATGGTAGGAAGGGGATGCAGGAAGCTAGAGTCCTAAGGTCCTTGCAGGTCTGGGAAAATGGTAAGAGTATCAATTAATGTTAGACTTTAAGTCAAAGATTCTTACTGTAATCAGTGTAGCCACTAAAAGAATAGTAAAAGAGCAAGCATCCAAATTAATAGCAGGGACAGACTATACTAAAAACTTACAAAGGACATTCAGAGTACCTCCCTACAACATACTTATTAATTACAGAGAGGAGGCAGTAATTCCCAAGGGAGAAATCTGCAGGTATCCCCATGAGAAGAGAGCAGAATGGACACTCAGTAGTAGTAGGATTAATAGATGCACTGAGTGGGCACAGTAGCCCTTCTCTGGCATTTGTTCCAAAAATGTCTAGCCGGAAGCATCAGACAAGCCCTAACTGAGGGACAGTCTACAAAAAGACACCTTTACCCTTTAAGAAAATATTAAGGTCACAGAAGGCAATGACTGAAGAGCAGTTGCAGATTGGAGTTGACTAAAGACATGACAACTGAGTGCAACATGTGAACCCTGGATTGAATCCTGACAAGCAACTATTTCCTTTTCAAGGACATTGTTTGGGCAGTTGGCAAAATTTGAGAAATGTTAGATTATAATATTCTATCAATGTTAAATTTACCATTTTTATAATTATATACATGTGTATTATTGTTCCGTATACACTATCCTTGCTTTTAGGAAATGTACACTGAAGTATTTGAGGGCTATCAAATCTGCGGTTTGTTCTCAAACCGGGGAAAAAAACGTGCGTGGGGAGGAGAGAGAGAGAACACACATTTGGAGTATCCTCGCACTTTGTTTTTCTTCAAATATCTTGGCTATTTTTGGTCTTTCAAATTTCTGTTTAAATCTTACAGTTGACATGTACATTCCCCCGCTGAGTGAAAGAATGGCTCCCATACTTGGCTGTGCTACCTTTAGCTGTGTTGTTTATCTTCCAGCTTTTCAGAGGAGCTGGTGGATGAAGCTCTGGGGACTGTGGCTGCTGAACTTCAGGATGTGTGTGAAGATTACGCAGAAGCTGTGTTCACCTCAGAATTCTTAGAAGCTGCTCCATAAAGGCTCTCTGTGGCGGGCCAGCCAGCCACACAGGAGAAGGGCCAGCACCTCCTTGTGTTCTTGACCTCAGGAAATGTGTATCCTCAGCTGTACATCCAGACTCAGAAGGTGCTGCCGCCCCAAAAGGAAGAAATTGCCAGTGAGGCCATCCTCGTTTTGCATTTTCCCATTGTCACAGCGATGGTTCTTGCAGTTTATATGAAACACATTCTATTTATCAATGCCCTGGAAACGTGAATTGATTATGACAATATAATATTTTATGAATGTATAACTTTCCTGTCACAACATGTTCATTCCAGTGGCTCAGTTTGGAGATCAGAGTGTTTTGAAAGGTAAATTGATAAGTATCTTTCCCACAGGGATTCAAGTTGCTGTTGAACCCATGGGTGGCACTGATGCCAACAAAAGTGCAGTCATACTCTGTGCCACCGCCTGGCTGACATTTGCACCTGTGGCTCTTTCCTGTTAGGACACCCCCGAGGTTACAGACATGTGTGGGGCACAGAGGTGGCTTTTGCTGCCAGCTCTGTTGCGGTGTATTAAAAATAGGAACCTGTCAGTTATCAGTGCACAAAATAATCATACCTTTCTCTAATGTTCAGTTCCTAGGTGGTTTTTGACATTTTTCATTCCCACAGTCTTTCATTGCTGTGGGTTAACATATTTTGACATACAACACTGTCTCTGAAGTCAGAGACAGCTGGAGGACTTCAGAAGAGGGCCAGTGTGTACCTGGTTGAAGCTCATTGTCTGATGGGGTCACAAGTTTCTAGTTTCCATCCCACAAAGGAGCCTTGTGTGGGAAGAGAACAGACCTAGAAGGTGTGAAGACCTTTTCCCAGAGAAAGGAGGAAACTTAAGATAATTGCTTGGTCCTCGAACTTCTTGTAACTCCTGTCTTACCAAGAGTAAAGCCTGTGTTTTCAGAGACTGAACTCAGGAAAAGAAAGGGAATGTGCATAAAAATAAGGCCACTGCCTGGAAAAAGTTTCCCTCAATGTTTTTGCCTGAGGCTTGGTGAAAGAAATGTGAAGAGCGAGTGACGTGAGACACACCCCATGGAATAATGTGAATCTTTTTATAACACGTATAGTGTTGTCATCTGGGATTTTTCTCTCAAGTACAAGTATTTCAGGTGATAATTTAAGCTGCTTGGTCATACTTGTTTGTGCAAAATTGATTTTTGTTTAATGTTACTGTCTTCCTGCTTCGTTTTATATACCCTCAGAATTTAAAAGGCTTCAAGGGGAATTAAAGGTTTTTAATTTGGGGAGTTATGTGTTTACACTTGAATTGATAGGAGTGTCTGTCTTTGATAGCTTGAAGTAATTTGTGTGGCAAGTTTTACTGTGCTGGTTTTTAAAAATAAACTCAATATTTTAAAGTATGTACATGTCTGCTTGAAATAATGTACATTGTTTTTTTCCACAGGCAAATTGAAATGTGATTTACAGAAACCACTGAGAACACTTTTATTTTTGATGAGCAGAGGGAATTATTTGCCATCCCTTACCCCCCAGAAAGAAAATGACAAAAGCTGACATTATTGAGCACATACTCCATGCCAGGCATTGCCCTAAATGCTTTCCGTGTAGCTGTTTAATCTTCATGTCATCTGTGTGAGATGGACACCATTTTCGTCCCCATTTTACACAGGGCTGAGACGAGGCATAGATGGATGAGGCATGGAGCCATTGGGAATCCCAACTCTGAACTCTGAGGTGTGCCTGGCAGACTCCATCACTCCCCCTGGCACCCACAGTGCCTTGGGTCATGGAACTGCAGAGTGGACAAGTGGCCCAGCTTGAGGTCAGGCAGGACTAGAGAGGGCAGAGACATGAATGGCGGTGGTGGGGGGAGGCTGGGGGGAACAGAAATGACTCTGCTGGGGTCTGCCTAGGCATGTGGAGATTGGGGGTGGTGCTCAGGGAAGTGCAGGTCCTCTTTCCCTCCTTCCCTTCCATTTCCTGCTTCCTAGCAGGTAAAGGGGGTATGTGCAGAGGGAGTGGGGTGGAAGCCATACCTGGGAGGCAGCTTGAACTACTGCACTGTGGGTTGGGAGGCAGGAGTAAGGACTTGAGAGAGCGATGAGAGGTCCCTGTAAAACCTGTGCATCGTCATCATGTACTCATCTTCATCACCGAAGTGCCCTTTGGAAGGGCAGCCCTTAGAGCTCGCGCTTCTTGGGGCTGTTGAAAAGCACCTGAAGGCCAATAATATGCCCGGGTGTCTTCCTAAATACTGGCCTTCTTGCTTCCAGCTCCACCGGGTCCTGGAGCAGGGACCTCAGATCTGGTTGGGCAGCCACCTGTGTACAGTTGCTTAAGCTGGATTACGCGGGCCTGACTCGGCTAGATTTCCATCAGACACCCTGAGGGCTTCTTCCCAGTTCTCAGCAAGGATCCAGCTGTCAGGCCTCAGACAACTAAGCTCCCTGATCAAACATGTGGAGCCACGCTGCCCTGGAGTCCTGGTTCTGGTGGCCAGACTCTGGATGATTCTGCAGTCAGGCCTACCCCACACCGTGGCTCTCCTGTGACAGCACCCGGCCTGTGCTCTCCTCAGTCTTCACAAGGCCTGAAGTTTTGCCCCCAACCCTTTGCCTGGAGTGGGGTGCCCCAAGACTGCTCCCACTGAACCTTCAGCTGCCACTCTTCCTAGATGTCCCATAGCTGTTCTAGCGCTGCATTTACCTGCAAACCCTTATACATTTTTCTTGAAGCAAACTTGCTGCCTTCTCACAATTTTTCTGACTTTCCATCCACCCAGCTGGCTTGTTTTCCTTCATCTAAGTCCATTCCTACCACTGAGCCCCGCCCATGGCCCCAGCAGTTGTGGCCCTAGGATCAGGCTTTGCTGTGTCCTGCTGCCATGGAATAAAGAAGATGCCTGCACCCGGCACCCTTCCCTGAGCCCAGGCTCTCTATGGGCCTGCTCCCCACCCACCTGCTCTCCTTCTCCCCTTGTCTCTCCTGAACACTGCTGTACCCTTGTCACAGGGTGGCGAGCCCCTTGTTTCCAAGCCAGCTGCCTGTGCCATCCTCTCGCTCTGTTGGTGGTGTTCACCCCTCCCTGGACATACCCCTAGAATGTGTTTTTGTTTGTCCCTCTGCCCAGTCCAATACCTTCAAATCCTTCCCAGGAAACTGTAAAAAGTAGTTCCCAGTAGTTCTAGCGTACCCTTACACCAGAAGCTGCATAACTCCTGGGCAGTCCGACTAGAGTCCACCTGGGATCTAATCATCACTGAGATACACTGCCTGTCCTCCCTGAGAACCCCTCTTTTTCAGCCGCCTTCCCCCTCCTCACCCTTCCGCACTATTGGCTCTTTGCTTTCGCTGCAAACTGCCACCCCAACCCTGCCCCTCTCTGCTTCCTGTCTTGGGATCTCTACTGCCCAAACACAGCCCTCCTGGGGGTCACTGTACCTATGTGGAGACCCCCACCCCCACCCCCACCCCCACCCCCACCCCCAGCCAACCCTGCACATTCCTGCCTGGGTGCCTGCTCATCAGGATGAGCCTGGCAATGGCTTGGGAATGGAGAATTCCAGGAAGCCTTGGGCTTCTGAAATGCTGTGATCAAGAGGGGCAGGAGCATTTAGTTCCCAGACCTGGGGGAACTCTGCCATCCACCCCGCAGGCCCAGGGTTCCCCAAGAATGGGCTGAATTTGACCTAGGAAACTCCCTTTCCTTTATGACCCCCTACAGACCTCCTGAGAGAGAGTCCAATGCCCAGGACCGAGCTTAGGAGGAGAGGCAGTTCTTAGCCACAGTTGTCCAACACGCCATTTCTTGGAGGGTCCCTCAGAGGCTGATGAGTTAGGTGAATGGTGTCAGGATTTAACACCAGGCCACATCTTCTCAGCACTTTGCCATTCACACAATACTTTTAAATATATTCTCTTGTCTCCAGGGCACTGTCACCACCCTGCTGTGTGTGCCGGTGGTGACTCAGGCAGGTTGACAACTTAGTCACGAGTTAGAATCCCTTGCGACCTCTGTGCCTCAGTTTCCTAATGTGTGAAATGGGAATAACAAGTCACTCAGGGATGTGAGGATTAAGGGGAATAATCCATGCAAACACCTGGATAGCACTTGGCATATAGTAAGTGCTCAACAGATGTCAGTGATTTATCACTGGGACCTTGGCTTTTTCTCACTTAGCTTTGTGAAGTGCTTGTTCTTCCTTCCATTGCGTTCTTTCCTGTGTACATCTTGTGCCTCTCCTTGCCTAGCCCTTCAAATCCAACTCTGGGCAACACTTTCCTAACTGTGCATTTAGCTGCCCTGAGCAAAATATATCTGGGTCCCCACTGGGCCACCCTGAGCTAGATAGCCTCCAGCTATGGGCCGCCTACACCGGGAGCCATACTTCTGCTAGCCTGCTCTGGGGCTTCAGGTGCCGCCAGACCTTTCTGAACTAGCCACCATCCTATGGAGTGGGCAGTCCGAGTAGAATAGACCCATTTCACAGATGAAGAAATTGAGCCCCATAGAAATGAAGGACTCGTTCAGGGTCATACATTTACAAGTGACAGAACTGAAAATCTGCATATTTTGACTTCAGGCCTAGTATCCTTTCATTTTCAGACACAGTTTTTTGTCTTTCAAGTAGATGATTCTTGGATGGTCTAGAAAATCTTAGCAGATGTCAATTGTGAGTGCAAGCTCCATTGTGAAATATTTGCTGTGGTTCTGCTCTGTGTGTTTCATTCTAGGCATACAGAGATGACTGGGATGTATTTCCTAGCTCCACCCAACATAGCACAGCCACCCAGCTGCCCAGGGATGAGTAGCTGCCTCATTTTCTATCCATTTCACCATCTGCCTCCTTCAACCCCTGTGCACCCAGTATGGCCCATGGGCAATGATAATAACCCACAGCTTGAGTGCTGACTAATCTTACTTGATATCTCACACCAACACTGAACCGGGGATTAGTAACCCATTTTACATATGAAACTAAAGCCAAGTGAGGCAGAAATTTGCCCAACTAGAAACTGGTTGTTACTGGCTCTGACTACAAAAATTGGCTCTTCCTGGTGTCCTGCAGTGCCCATCCCTGGGCCCTGGCATCGGGCCTGCCTCTGGCCAGGCTTCTCCTCCCCATGCCTCCCTCCAGGGGCTGGGGTTCCTCTCTGAAGGCCCGAGTCAGGTGGCAGCCACACGCTGTGCTGGGGCTCCCCTGTGCCAAGGCCTGTGCCAAATTGGATCTGCCAGTACCACTTTGCTAGGTGGTACCTGGACTGACTATACCCACTGAGCACTGTTGCACAGATGGCTTCTGCCCCATGCGGACCAACCTCAATGACAAAGCCAGCGTCCCCAGCCTATAGTTTCTAGCTTCCTCCTCTGCCTCCTAAAGGCACCGTCTCAGGCAGCCCTTCCCTGCGCGGTGGGCCACTGAGCACCAGCAGTTTGACATTTTCCCTTTTAGCAACCATAGCAGAAAGAAGCCCCTCATTCCCGAGCATCAGTGAAGCCCCTGGCTCAGTGCTCTGATTGGTCAGATCTGAGTCACATGCCCACCCCGGAAAAGCTGGCAGGTGAGCAGCATCTCCACTGCATGGGCCGAACATGGACAATGGGAAGTTTCCTAGACAAAAAGTGAAGACTCCGCCATCTGAAGCACAGGGGATGCTTGCAGGGCAGGAAGACCTGCCAACGTGCACTACAAAAAGTAGCATGTCTTCCTAAGGTGATACGACACATTTTAATGTGATCAACATTCATTTAAGGCTCACCACATGCTATAGAAATGCAGGAAGAGTTAAGGCACAGACCCTTGGAAGATGGAACAAAGGTAAAACAGAGAGGAAAGCAGCGTATCATGGTGGTGTGTTGAAAGGAGTGATTCGTTTTTACTGAGTGAAGCTTGCAATTTGGGTGGTCTTCGTGGAGGAGGTGGCTTTTGAATTATGCTATTCCCATGATTAAATAAGAAGGGTAGGATCTTCCAAGTAGAGAAAATAGCATGGACCTCAAAGGGGAGAGCATGTGTGTGAATATAATGCAATCACCTTAACTCAGGTGCTGGTGGGGTTTAACCATTGCTGAGACAACCCCGGGGCATCTCAGCCCCCATGCAGGCGAAAGGAAGAGCATGTCCAGCCTCAGAAGGCAGTGGGGAGTGGTCTTTGCAGCTCAGCTCATCATTCCTCCCAACTGATGGTCTTTGTCCAGCTTCAAGAAGAGGCCCTTGAACAGTGGTCGGCGGTCTCCCTTTTCATTTCCTCCCTCCCTTCCCTGGAAAGCATGATTTGTCCCAGATTACGATTGCTTGAGCTTCTTAATCTTTATTCTGTTTCTAAATGGGGGAATCTACTGGGAGCCCCAGGCCCCTGCCAAGCACTCCATCTGTATTTAATCAATCCCTCCTCTGAAATCCAATCCGTC